TTTTTGGTTGGAGGGAGAGGGGAGGGGCCAAACTGTGTTATCACATTGTGCTTAGCGCCCTCATCCATGCGAGGGACTTTGGAGTGGTGGTGATGAATGTTGTCTTAGATCAGAGCTCCATTTACTGCTGCCGAGTCGCTGCGCAATGTGACAATAAAGGTAGTATTAAAACCATGGGACTGGGAATTTCTCTTTCGGGCCAAGTCCCTAAAATGGCCATGTTTTATTGACGTACACGAGCAGCTGACAGGACGAAACCCCGTGTATGAGTCTACACTGTCATGGGCCCTTGTAAGTCTTTGCTTTCCGTTCTCTTTGACTATCTATGGTTGACTATTGGTGCCCTATCATCTCGAAACTGGATCAACACCATTAGAGTAGTAGTGTCATAATAAGTGGCGGATTAGTCTGAATTGCGGTCTTCGCGCGCGTAGAATGAGACGGAATGGGTCACCATCTATTCATGGTTTGGATTATACTCCATAGACGGGGCATTACGACTGGGCGGAGCCGGACGGTACGGAGTAGAGGAACAGAAGAAACCTGGAAAGGCGCAGCAGCAGATGTTGGATTGGGTGAATGACGAGTTGGAAGCGGATTCGTCGGCAGACGGAGTTTGAGGTAATCAATCACCCCAAACCATCATTGACTCGGATGGTGGACTTGTTTAGGGTATGTGCCACCACTACCAGTAGGAGTCACAAGGGAGAGGGGGCTTGCACCGGAGTATGGTCGCTGAGTGAGTCGGGCGGTGGTGGCCCCGCGGCCTGCGCCTGTCTGTCCCCAGCAGGAGCCTTACTATTTCCCAAGAGAAAAAAAAAATGTAATAGTTCAGAAAGTAAAATATGTGGAAAAGGTTAGTTCAAGGCAAGCTGAATGCAGCGATTGGACTACCGTCTGTTGGAATCAACTACCGCCATGTGGGACCATTGATTGGTTGGTTTAATTTCATTACGCCTCCTTTCTGGGTCCCTTGTGCACTTCTCCCCATCCCTCCGGACGCATAGTTTACTACTCTCGACGCAACATGTTGCCTATGCCCCAGTGGTCCCCTCTCATTCTTACACAACCAGTGGATAAGTCGCGTTGGCTAGGAATTTTTCCAAAGTTTCATACATTACTGCCTATTCATTCCCTCTCATATTACCTCCCATATCCACCGGCAAACTAGACCCCTTTAAGCTTAGTGGCTCCTTTCTCGGCCAAGTTCCAATTCTCATCCCAAGTGGTCCATACCCATACCTGACGCAGAGGGAAGTGTAGCTACAGTAGTAGTAATCATCCATGGAGCCCGTCCTTCCCGTACATATTTTACCTCGCCATGACAACCCGATCCAGTATCCTTGTCATTCATTCGGTCGATGGAAGTACCACCCTGTTGGCGTCCCGACTGACTTGCAGTTCATTTTTATTTTTTTGATTTTATTTTTCATTTCCCTTTTGCCTTACACTAAACCCTGTTCAGTCCTCCGTAAGTTATCCAGAGTTCATTTGGTTACGGAAACCTCGTAATCAGTCCAGTTTGGCCACACCACTTTCTGACTTAGTTACCATGACCATACGTATTTCCCGCGCAGCCTCTCCCCCGCCTTCACTTTGCCCCATTCCTAGTGGGTGGTTAGTAAGTTTTCTGTCTAAACCCAAGTATTGATTTGTAAGAGCGTTGTAATTTGATTATTACACCGAAAAGTACCACCAACTCGTCAATATTCTTCCGTACCCAACCCAATTTCCCATTCCTTTGCCTTCCGCCAGGTTGAACTAGAATTGGCGATCAACCACACATAGAGTGAGTGCACAAACCCCCCTTCGTCCACTCTTCTCCCGTGCCTCCCGAGGGTACTGAGCAATGGATCCCTTTTGTCCCTCGAACCGATTTTCTTTTTCCTTTCCTTTTTCTTGCTTTATTATTATTATTATTTATTTAGTTTTTATTTTTTTTTTAAACAGCTCCAGTGTTATTTTTTATTTTTCCTTACCGTTGTTGTGTAAAAAAAAAAAAAAAAAAGAGGAGCCCAGAGCCTAGAAGGAAGGCGGCACACGACGCGGCGACCACGGCGACGGTTGCAATGCGACGCTAAGCCCGAACTTATTATTGGATCTGATATGGGTCCTTTCTTGGACGGAGGCAGTCAAAAGTCAGTACTCCGTAGATGATGATGTTCGCTCATCACCACAACGAGGTCATCCCCTCCCTTCCATCCATCTACCCTTTCCCTTCCCTTTTGCGGTTAGAACGGTGACCAGGAGACTTGACCTTAACTAATGAGTGAAAGGTTTTCCCACTAAACCCGAACTGGGGGGCTGCTGACTGACCCTGTTCAAGTTTAGTGAGCCCTTCCACTATTCCGTAGCATGCATCCACTTGCTTTTACCCCCTCCCCGTGGCTCTGACATCAACCGGTATTTCAATTCTCTTCAAGACAAAGCAGAGACAATCAAACCTGGATGACCAAACCGGAACCGACCCAAACGAGTCCAGAAAGGAGGATCAGCCCTCTGGACCTGCGTCCGGGTCAAACTTTGTCTATCCTGTATGGTCATTGCACTTCTCCGGACATGGACTAAAGACCTACCCTGGCTCATCTAGCGGAGATGTATGAGGTTTAGTTGTTATTTGCTGGATGAGGATGATGTCTTGACTTCATCCTTCATTATTACTCCATTTTTTTTTTCCCACCTTCCCTTCCTTTTTCATATTTATTTTAACTTAGTGTTTCTTTTTCGCCTTAATTCAATTTAAATTCACCTTTTTTTATTTTTATTTTCTTTTTTCCTTTCTATATGGTTTGATTCCATAGAGGGTCTGGGGCTTTTTAATTATTATTATTATTATTTTTTTTTTCTATTTGGCTTTTTTGATTCTTTGGACTTTCCTTTTATATTAGTTTTTCTGATTTTGTTACTGGATCTATGAGTTTTCTATAACTGGATGTACTTGCAACTTCCTAAAGGTTCAAGTACATCTCCGTTCTCACCTTCCAATCTATACCAATTCACAACACTGTGACTAAACACTATATTGAAATTTGCTTACTCTTGGTCTTTCCTTTTTTCAATTAATCTTCCTCCACCCCCTTCAGTGCCTTCATTCCACCGGCCAAGGGACGATCAACATTCACTGGATCCGCTACTGTTGCTATCCTCCGGGACCTTCACGGCATTTTTTTTTTTTTTGATATGACCAAAAGCTGGATCTATCCTCCACCTTAGTGTTCAACAACTCCAAACAATTCTGTGCAATTCTCTGTGGTCTACCAACATCCATCAACACTATATCTCTTCCCAGACGGTCTAGCCATTCGCAAGTGAACAGCTATCAGTGCCAGCGATATTGAATACTTAGCTGCGGTTGATGCCAATGGGAGTTCCATGAGAAGCTGTGTCCAGCAGTATTAAATCAACAACTGCTCTCCTCTATTATCAGCCTGCAAACCTCCTTATGTCGCTTCCAGCGTTCTCAACACAGTCGTATTCTGTCCCACATCCGTTCACCCCCACCATACCTCTCTATTCCCGGACGGAAGATTCGACCTGTGCGAAAAGACAACATCTCGAGACAGTTTTGGAGGACCCGGATCACCACTGGACCGCACCGTTCAGGGACGGTCTGCCTACTCCCCCAAACGATATGGCCGGTGTTGCGTATAATAGCATTCCGCCCTCCGGCTATGGCGGTAAATTTGGAGTTACCCTTCCTCCCTACGCCAAAGCACCGAACTATACACGCATGGCAGCGGACCACCACTCTGCTGCATCTGTACCGCAGTCGAAGCCACCGAGTCAACCCTCACTTCAAGACGCTCCGTCTTCTGAGCCAGCCAGCCAGAAGAAAGGAGGTTCAAAGTCTGTTGCTTCTTACTTGCAGATACCATCATCTATTAACAACAGCAAGGGTAATCTGGCCGATTTTGCTGCTCAGGTAAGGGACCATTACCGCTCGCTGTGTGATTAGCCATGTATGCTAATTCAGGCAGATGACATGCTTGTTCTGGTTTGAAACTACAGCCAAGTTGAATGATATCGAAGAAAAAAAGAACCCCCTTCTGTGCATTGTTCCTGAAGCGATCCCGTCCGCTGGTTTCCTGAAATGGGTGACAAACATCCTCTCGACTACGCAAGTGAGCCAGAATGTCATTCTACTGGCACTTCTCTTCGTATACCGGCTGAAGAAATTCAATCATCGAGTCCGAGGAAAGAAGGGTAGCGAGTATAGATTGATGACGATTGCTCTTATGCTGGGAAATAAATGTTGGTTTGAACACCTTCCAAAGGCTAATATTCAGAAAGTGAACTAACCAGCGTTTAGTTCTCGACGACAACACCTACACTAATAAAACGTGGGCCGAGGTTTCTGGCATTTCTGTGCAAGAAATACATGTTATGGAGGTGGAGTTTCTCAGCAATGTGCGGTACAATCTCTTCGTTTCGGAGGAAGGGTGGACGCAGTGGCATTCGAAACTTAGTCTTTTTGCCGACTTTTTCAACAAGGCATCTTTGGTGCCGGAACCGAAGGAACTCGAGTCGTCATCTCCAGCACTTCGTATCTCGCCAAATCTAGGAGCTTCTCAAGTGTCGCCCTCTCAAAGACTACCCTCTCCTCCCAATTCGGATGTTCTTCGTACTCAGAACTGGAGCTTGCCATCAAACGCACCAGCATACGCAGCACCTTCCCACTTGGGCAAGGAATTCCCGCCGATGCCTTCCAAGAAGCGAACCCTAGACGACTACGTCGAAGACCAACCCTCAAAAAGAGTGGCAATGCCGGCTGCTCTATCTACATCGATGTCGACGCTTCCATCGGCTGCTTTGACCGGTGTGCCTACTTTGCCACCAGTCTTGACAGGAACATCTGCGCCCTCTGCGAATAGCTTGTCTGGATCAATGTCACGATTGCCACGTCCGAACTTCCCACCATCTTCTAGTGCCCTAGCTTCGGGCATTCCAACATCTGTGCTTCCCTTTCCCTCCGTTGCTAATCGCGCAATGCATTCGGTCTACAATCCTTCCACCAATTGGGTCCCCCAGCTGCCACCAACACAGGTTCCCTCCATTACAAATGGACTGTACAACCCGTCGGTGTCACTCCCAGACCCTGCAAGGCAGCATAATAGTCCGTTTGGCGTCACCTCAGCCACTATCTCTCCCGCCATCTCTGCATACTCGAGCCACACCCCCCAGACTAACTTGTCGCCTTCATTTTTCCTTGCAAACCGCAACTCACCTTACCGGCCTGTTCGCAATTTCAACACCTTGTTGATTCCTCCGCCGTCATCCTCACTTCAACAACAGCGCGCAGTTCCTTTCGAGCATATGCATTATCAGCCACTCGGCAAAACTGCAGCAGAGCGCAAGACAGGCTTGCTGCCCTACCTTCATCATGAGGCTTGGCCGCAGGCACCTTTTCTTCAACCCACCTTCCATTCAACTCCACACTATTAAAGTTCATTGACATCTTCATCTCATGTTACGATTGAATCATGACTCCGTACGAAAGAGGTGTTTAGCCCTTTTTCTTTCTTTTTTCTTCCATCCTGTATTTTGTACAGTTTACACCTCTCCTTTTTCTGTTATTCTAACGACCTTGCATTATTACGGCGTTCAATATTATAGACGGCTACTGCATTGAAGAGCCAACGGGATCACTAAGGATCAGGGAAGGGCGACCTTTTTTTTTTTTTTTTTTTTTTTTATCTGGACGAAGCATTGCAATGGCGTTGTTGATTGCTATCTCCGTTCATACACCCAAGTCGAACATCTGCTTGCATTGACATGTTTAGGAGTTCGCAAGTGACATCATAAAGAAGTACCCAAACAGATTCATATTGGTCTGGAAGGGATATAAATGTATGAAAACTTTTTCGATTCATATAAACCAGTCATTGTAACAGCCCCGTTCAGCGTAGCCACCGCCTTCTAACAAGATAATTCTGCCATAGAATGAGTGCGGTAACTTCTTATAGAACAATTGACCAATGGGAGATGGAGTAATGCTGTAGCTGTAGTGAATACTACTAGTAGATAGACTAGTAGGTAGGTCAACTGGAACAAGAATCCTTGACAAAATTAATGGAAAAGCACATAGCAGATTAGGTCTTCATCAGCTTAACGCACAGAAATTATGATATCTTAAACTTTATGACAAGTGGAGTTTTGGACCTACAATACAAAGTCCCACCGGCCCGATGTATATCCGGCAACGGGCCTCAGGCCTGCCTCCGAAAGATCTTTGGCGTGTATCTCACGCCGAAACCCGTTGATTCCCCTTCAACGACGACTGAACATTGCAAATCACCATGCCACCCAGGCTTCAAATACTGCCTACCCAGTGGCAGCGCCCACTTTCGAAACCCCTAGCCGCCGTCTCGTCTCTTTCCCTCCTTTTTCCTCAGCTTCAGCAACAAAGCCGCAATGCTCACATCCTAGCTTCCCTTTCCGATACCCCGGGTGCCTATAACAAGCGGATCAGGAGAGGTCGCGGTCCAGCATCAGGGAAAGGTAAGACCTCCGGAAGAGGTCATAAGGGTCAGAAGCAGCACGGAAAGGTCCCGGCTAGATTCAATGGTGGTCAGACAGCAGAAATTATTGTTCATGGCGAGAGAGGGTTCAATAATGTGTATGTTTCCTTATTTTCTGTATTCTGGCTCTCCCGGCTTAACACGCTGCCGCCATTACCGAAATTGCAGGTGCGGGAAACATTGTGAACTCACTGACTCCGGTTAATACAGGTTCTCTCTTGACCTCGCCCCGGTCAACCTCGACCGCATCCAAGAATGGATCGACCAAGGCCGCATCGACCCTGCTCGGCCCATCACCATCCGCGAGCTGGCCCAATCACGCTGCATCCACCAAACAAAAGAAGGAGTAAAGCTTCTCGGTCGAGGCGCTGAATCTACCCTCAAACAACCCATCCATATCGTCGTTTCTCGCGCCTCAGCAAGCGCTATTGCTGCTGTTGAGGCTGCGGGTGGATCCGTTACTACCAGATTCTACACCAAGTCGGCAATCGCACGTATCATGCGCCGTGAGACGCACCCGTTCGTGTCTACGGCCTGGACAAAGGAGAGTGGTAGCGAGGGATTGAACAACGCCGAGGGAGCTGAGAACCTGACCGAGTCTGCCATTATGAAGGAGATGGGCTTCCAGTATAGGCTGCCCGACCCGACGAAGAGAAAGGATATCGAGTACTACCGTGATCCTGCTCACAGGGGCTATCTGAGCCATTTGTTGAAGCCTATGGAGGGACCCAGTCTGTTCTTCCGCTCGCCGGTTGAGAGGAAGACTGCTGCTGGTGTTAAGAAGGAGAAGGTCTTGCCCGAGAACAGACTTTGGTAATTTGCTGCTTGTGAAGAGTTTCATTAACAATATGCTTGGGGATGATCAGCAAGCCTCATCCAACGGAGAACTTTGCATGTCCCTTTATCAGCCTGGTGATGGCCGAGTGATTCATTGTCTCTGCACTATGTATTTTTTCCCCATTGATGTTCTCTTTTTGGCCTGACAACTACTTGTATAAATATGCACTCTAGATACGTGAATAGGTTGGATGAATCTTGATTTTCCTATTTCCCTTTTTTACATTGGTATAACAATTCGCAGAGTACCCAAGTCTACAGTGATGTCTCTGCCTGTTGTGGAATGTCTCCTGGATCTCGTCGCGCTATCTTTCTCATTGGTGTATACCCTGGGCGTCGCTGCTCCCGCATCATCCTACGGTGGCATTCCAGTCGGTGCTGCCCTACAAGTTGTCTTACTGTACGTCTGCCTAGACAAGGCAGATATCCATGCTTGTGCCCCGGTAAGAATGAGGAGAAACCTTAGCGATTACAAGATTCCATACTGAACTGCGGCAGTACAGCAGAACTGTGTAACCAATAATCTGGACTGTTCACCATGCGCATCTCCAACTAATAGGTAGGAAGTACCTTGGAAGATATATCGATGTTACTCAAGAAGAGTCAAGGTGCACATGCGACGTGGCTCCAGATCTCGTTCAAACATGGACTTTGCCAGAAGAGCAAGCGTTGGCAACTCGAGAATACGAAGGATGGATAGTCAGCTCTAAAAGAAATAAGAGTGAGACTGTGGCATCCACTGCATTAGAGCAGCAGCGAAGTTCACGCCCCTTTCTTGACGCCTTAGTTGCTGATACCTGTCACCGTTCCATGTCCAATATCACAATGAGTGAAGTGGAAGATGATGAGATAGAGCTCTTGCACTGGGGCATTCTAGGTGTGTACTTAGCTGTCCCCTATTCTATTCTAAAATACGCTGAAGAATGACCTATCATTTGAAGGCACAGGATGTTATGCCAAGTGTACGTGTTCTCAATTCCTCTGCCCCAGACATACGGTTCGCTAACCCGCCTAGGCTTTGTGGGGAACCTCAATTATCATATGGGCAAAGAAGATCCAAATGGCCCTCATCGTGCATTAGTCGGCGTAGCGTCCTCTCGTTCGGAAGATATGGCTAAGGAGCTCCTCGACTCATTTGACGTTCCCGACTGCACGTTGACATTTCGCGACTACTCGGAGTTAGTTCACAGTAGCCTCATCGACGTGGTGTTCATTGCCACACCACACTCCCATCATTTCCAAAATGCTTTGCTGGCCCTCGAAGCTGGAAAGCATGTCGTCTGCCAGAAGAGCCTGACAGTGAACGCTGCACAAGCCAAGAAGCTGTTCGAGATTGCACAGCGGAAGCAACTATGCCTCATGGAGGGATGGTGGCTGTGGTGGCCACAAGCAAGTAGAAAGACCTGTCAGCTGCTTAGAGAGGGAGAGATTGGAGAAGTTAATCGCATAGTTGCCAACTTTGGCATCAGAAACAACTATTGCATGTTCCGCTCCGAGAGTGGTCGACTGACTTCGAAAGAGCTTGCTGGCGGGGCGCTCTTGGAACGCAAGTGAACCATAAATCATCGCTGTTTCAAACCAAGGCTAATGGCGCACTTAGTTGGTAGTTTGGCCCTACATTGGATACTTCGGGCTCTCCCAGGAGGAGCGAGTCGCCCAACCCAGGTTACGTCTACCATGAAGAAGTATCCCAAGTCAGGCGTCGACGAAACCACCACTGTCGAGATGATCTTTTCGACAGGTGTACGTGAAATACATGCTAAAGCAAGCGCCAGCCTATCTACCGCAGCCGGCTCCGACGGACAGCTCGCATATGTGATTATCGAAGGCTCTAATGGCAAGATCGAGATCCATGGATGGGAAACGATACCAACAGAGTTGTATGTCTTCAAGAATAGATATAGCCTTTCAGAGCTCTATAGAGAGACACTCCAGGAGGCAGAGCCGTTGTTTATCCCGGAGGCGGACGAGGTCGCACGATGCATCCGCGAAGAGCTCCTGGAAAGTCCCGAGATGCCTTGGGCGGAGAGCCTACTAGTCATGGAGATCATGGACTTGGTGCGCAAGCAAAATGACCTACACTACCCGCCGCAGATTGAAACGTCGGAGCCCTCTATCAGTCCTCTTTCTAAACCATTGTGGGGATGGTTGTCAAGCACGGGGCACCAAGTATGACACAAATTCCTGATAATCCAATCCAATACAAAACTATCTACGTTATTCGACACAAATCCTTAGAATAGGAACACGTACCATGTCATAGTCGTCACGAGAAAAATGAACACAGCTCGGTATCCATATATGCCAGACAACCTCCACCTACAATGTCATCATTCCCCTTCATATCCCAAACGAAGCCCGAACTACTAGATTTCATCCTGCATTAGCTGAACAGTAGTTCCCCTCCTCAAGTCACCAAGCAATCAGCCTGCGTTCCTTTCTACTAGCTATGGTACTTTATTATCCACCCGCTCGCCAGCAGTAAGGGTATGTGTGCCCCATTTGCACAGCGGGTTTCGTGTAAGTTTGAGACTCGGTTGTTAGTCTATTCTACATTGGCTTTGCGGTCACTGATGGATGACTGATTGTGGGTTGTATACAACACTGGGTCTGTTAGCTGATGTTCACTATATGGGCTGTGTTTCTTTATAACAGTGTCGAATGCTATTTTTTTTTTATTTTTATTTTTATTTTTATTTTTTTTTTTTTTTTTTTTGGGGTGATTGGACTATCTTGTTGGGGAAGTGGAGGACAATTCTTTGCGATGAGGATAGTTATTGAATATGTCTAAGGAGATTATCAAACTTCACCTACCAGTGCACACATTGTGATAGCTTTTTGGGAATGAATTGTAGCTTTTTCAGGCCTCCTTCTAGAAGGCGATGCTATTATAACTAGAATCCCACGAACTGCATAGTACAGCACAGCTACCAGCTATATAGATACAGGAAAGGAGAATATAACGGTGCACAAAATCAGACCAACCAAACGCCATGCTTATGAACAGAATAACTTATCCTCCGAAGATACCATGACCAACCATTGCATGAAAAGTAGCATCCGCCCAGAACAATCAAAGCCATGAGGCCCCCCAAGAGTAAACACTATGATGTATGAAAGGAGCCTCCGCTGTATACCGAAATGTCAACCAATAGAATCGCAAGCAACAAAAGCACAGAAAGAGAGGGTATCATAGATGATCAACTAATCCCGAACACCAGCGCTTGTCCATATCATAATAGCGCCAGTCTTGATCATCAATATATCGTAAGTCGAAATGCAATGCGTCATATCCCATATTTCGAGTCACCTCACCTGAAACGGGTAAGAAATCAATACGAAAAGGAAAAAAAGAAAATAAAGAAAGAAAAAAAAAAAAAAGAGAAGAAGCCTCACAGCTTCCAGATGGTGTCGGCTTCACCATCTTCACCCATTTCAGAGAGTTCCCGCAACCAACGGGATGAGAGTACATCACGGATAGTCCAACGCTTTTCAACGTTCATATCCAAGCAACCCTCGATCAGCTCAAGGGCGTGCTCCCGGTCCCTGCGGGCCGTCATATCTGTTTCATCACCTAAGACTGCCGCCCTGTCCCAGTTCCCGCTAAGAATACGCGATTGAACGCGGGGCGTGAACGGATCTTGAAAGGGGCGAGATCCTACGACCACAGTATAAGCGATCACGCCAAATGCCCATATATCAACGGATGCGTCGATGACACCACTGGTAGAAAGAAGCAGTTCTGGAGATGCGTATTCCAAGCTTCCTGCAACGCTAGTACTGGACCCAGCAGGGCCGATAGTTTTAGGTGGCGGCCGATCCGCAGCGTCGTCATATGGGTCGGGAGAGTCATCCCCGTTATCGACATTCATCCATTCCGCCATTCCGAAGTCACACAAAACAAGATTCGATGCCTTCGTTCCGTCTGGAAGCTCTATCGGGTCCAGAAGGCAGTTCTCCAGTTTAATATCTCGGTGCACCACTCGGGCATCTTCATGCAGGTATCGCAGCGCACACGCTAACTGATAAGTATATTTCTTTGCAAGTTTCATGTCAAGACCGCACCGGTTTTGCCGAATAAGGTCGAAAAGAGTACCGCCGATGGCTAATTTAGTGAAACAAAATGTCGCGTAGTCAGTTTCGTAGACAGCGTCAAGTGTCAAAACATTTGGATGGCTGAGATATCGCCAGACTCGAACTTCATGATCAAATTCTGCTTGAACCTCATCGTTCTCCTTTTCATTCTTTCCCGAAACTTGTTTCCGCACAATCTTAACAGCCAACCGTTTGGTTGCACCAGTTTCATCGGCTTTGTACGCTTCCTTTACCGTACTGAACCCTCCAAATCCGATCTGCTTTCCCAGAACATACTCAGTCCCGACCATTTGGCCCTCGTCATCAGGTTGTGGTGCAGGCTCTTCGCCACTGCTCCACATGGAAAGGAACATGCTGGCGGGGGACTTGCCGCTCGAAGCTGTTGATCGGCGGGAGCTCTGGCGAGTGGGGCCTCGAAAACCTCTTGTTTTGCTTCCGAAAGGGGTTATAACGCTATTAGACCAGGAGCTGCGGTCATCAAGCGACGCAAATCCTTGCACAGGGGATGCTACGCAGAAAGGTGACGGTATGGCTCCTTTGGATCCTTCAGGAGGGGTACGCAGCTCTTCAGTGATGGGGGAAGCCGTGGAGATCGAGGTCAACGACGTGGGACGATCAATCGCCGAAGTCCCAGGCATGTCATCCTCAGGGCTGCTCAGGAAACCTTCCTGAGAATCGAAGCCCCGCTGACCCCGGTATCCTTGTCTCGGATAGTGATCATCATCATCATCCTGGGGTAGCGTGTTTTTCAGACTCGAGCCTTTTGCCTGGAACCTCTGGGGTCGTGTCCTTGTAACTCCCTTTGCCAACGGCTCTCCTAAAGCCTGGGGCTGTCCGGAGTCAAGGGTGATATTCGGGTCGAAACTGACGGAACGGCGGCGGCTGTGAAGGAAGCTGTCAAGCGGAGATGATTGTACATCCTCAGGTCTTTGCGGAAAGCTCACGTCTTCCTTGGGATGATCATCATGTCGGGGTACGGAGATAGGGGGAGTCGCTGAATGCAGGCTGCTCAGAACACTGTTGTCTTCATCAGTACCGTAACGGCGTGCGCCAGATTCGTGAAAGATGTTTGTACGGTCGCCCTCGATACCAGTTCCATCATCCGTCACTCTCCTGCCTCCAGCCTCACTTCGCCATCTAGGTCTGTGTGTAAGAGGAAAGGATGTGTCGATTTTCAACCCTGCCAACGCACTGTTCCTCTCTGTCTGAGCCATGCCCTTACAGAGAGCACGAAGTCCTCTTAATCGGCGATGTCAAAAGGTCAAGAAAAAAAGAAGGAGAAATTCACAGTCCTCCCAACTGATAAGAGCAGTAGTGCAACATCGAGAGGAACCAGCGGTTTTAAAGAAAAATGTATAAGAAACGACCCGTTTAGACAGGTCCGGTGGGGTAATGAGAATAAAATAAAGGTTAAATGCCTTTTAAAAGCAAGCCCAAGTGGTTCTCTTAGTAATGTAAATGGTATTCGACGTCAGGTAGCAACCACCAGGCAGATGTAAATGAGAAGAAGAAAGAAAAATCGTCAGAAAGGGACGAAAATGGGCAAGGATGGGCATATCGGGAGATAACGGAAGGCGATGTCATTGCAAGATCGGAAAGCCAGCAGCGGGGAAACGAAGATCATGCAAAATGCAATCATCATTGACCAGTTACCAACCATTAGCAGCACGCCCAGCGGAGTCCCGTGGGCCGGCCCTAGTCTCCTTTCGACCCTAGCCTGCAAAGTGTCACCTGACCCACCGGGAACCCTCGACTCGGAGCCCTAAGCCGTTCACCGGTGAAGCCCCAGCCAATCGGGGCGTTAAGCAGTCTAGACCTTGGCATTTGGGCTTCTTTCACTCGTTGGTTCAGGCACGAGGCCGCTTTGGGAATGGTTTGATTAAGCGCGCGCAAGGGGCGCTTGTTTGGGGGGGAGAATTAACACCGGAGAACCTCCTTTTTGTGGTTGTCTTGAAAGTCCGGGGAACTCGTTCTTGTCATTAGCACGGTTTCGGCTGCTGTACCTTTTGCTGCCCTGCTGCAGCCTTGTTTATTGTTGTGTTTGTTGTGAAATTTCAATATTACTCTGAGAGTATATTCTTTTCTTCTTTCTCTTTATTTTTTGTTCGCCTTGTTGCCCGACCTTCGACCAGCCCCGTGCGCCTCACTGCTGTACAGTTGTCAAATAAACCCCCCCCCCGCCGTCGCTGTTTGTGGCCCTGCCAATCTTTAATATCCGCCTCTTCATGTCCCTCGCGCCTAAATCTCCGCAGTATTCTTTCATTTGACGCACGCACTAGGCCTTTGCGACCTTCCATTCTTTATCAGGACCTTGGAGAGCGTCAAGTTATTTCCTCCCGTTTCATTTGACCCCAGTCTTCACGACTTAAATGAATCGCTCGTTGGCTCTGTTCTCCGCGCCGCTTCACTTTCATCCTTAAGTCGACAGTGAAAACTCACACAATATGACGCGCCCCCGAATTGTTCGCGCTGGTACGTCACGATACGTGCCATTGATACCCGGCTCCATCAGCTTCTAAGGCTAACTGCTCGGTGCCAGATACTCTTGATCTTCAAGACCAGCATGCACCCTCGGCTAAAGATCATTCGAAACAGAATATTATCGTAGGCAACGGCTTTGGGCCCCACCAGGAGCAATCCATTCGGCATGCCGATCAAGATACGAGAGAAGAAGTGATGCATGGGCCCGGGACCGAAGAAAATCACCTAGCCGCCGATGAATATCGCGATGGCATCGATATATATGACGACGACGATGATTTGGACGACGACCTAGGGCATAGTCAGCACGTTGGAGGCTCAGAAGATGGTGACTTAGCAGACGGAGAAGGTGACGATGATTTGTTGGATGATGATCTTATGGATAAAATCTCGAGCTCCCCATCTATCGACGACGGTGCGTTATATCTCTCAATGAAACCCCGTAGATCTCGAAGACGGGCCGATCCTTTGGATTTCTCGCCAAAGTTTGCACAAAGTTCTATCTGACATTGAGTAGAGGATATCGACTTCGAGTTTGTTTATGCGCTTCACAACTTCGTGGCAACTGTTGATGGACAAGCCAACGCGGCAAAGGGTGACACCATGGTCCTTCTGGACGACAGTAACAGCTACTGGTGGCTTGTTCGCATCGTCAAAGACGGCAGTATTGGTAAGCTGGGGGTTTAGATTCCTCCAACTGAAGCTAACTAGAAACAGGGTATCTGCCTGCTGAGCACATTGAGACGCCAACCGAAAGATTGGCAAGATTAAATAAACACAGAAATGTCGATGTAGGCGGTTCTATTCTAGTCTTAAATGACGTCTTCTAACAAAAGCAGCTTTCCGCGACCATGCTAGGAGACAACTCGGAAAAGTCTAAGAATCCGCTGAAGAAAGCAATGCGCCGTAGGAACGCGAAGACCGTAACCTTTACGAGCCCAACCTACATTGAAGCATCTGACATAGAGTTTTCGACGGATGACGAACTGGACGATGTTGCTTCTTTGACCGATACGGATGGATTGCAAGGGGATGTTGACGACTTGCAAGAGAGTGAGCATGAGGATATTGTTGTCGAGCCTCTGAGACCGAAGCCGCAAAGAGACAAAGCAAGCGAGGATTTGGAAACAGTGCACGAAGTCAAAGAATCTGATCGGGCCAGCCCCGAGAAACAACGATCTAGTGTGGAGTTGTTGGAGTCTGAAGGTAAGGCTATCCACCGAATTATACAGAACGAGACGTATGACCGATTGCTAAAACTTATCCAGCAGAAACAGCTGTCAGCCGGTCAAGAAACGGGACTGTGCGTAACACAGACTCATTCTTCAAGGATGACACCGTTGAGACGAAGAAGATCTCCCTTACACCAAACCTCCTCCGCGACGAGGTTGGAAGTAGTAGCGTTGCAAATGAAGCAAGAGAGGTAGGATACACTCCCATCAGCTCTGCAATTGGAGGGGTTGCTGACAATGTATCAAATCGCAAGACCCGTGGGAGCATGGAGGCTGTCGAGAAAGCTCTCAGCGCATATGATAAGAACAAGGACGACAAGAAGCGCAAAGACAAAAAACCAGGGATGCTCAGCGGCTTATTCAAGAGAAAGGACAAAAAGACTAAGGCAACCGAAGAAGAGACCGATGAGGCAGAAAAGGTTTCGGGTGAATTGTCTCGATCTTCGCCACAACCCAAGACATCATCAGAATCTGTATCGTCTCCGGAGTCCAAATCTCCTAACCCTCTCGCGGTACAGAAACAGGCCAGCAAACTGCAAAAGCAGTCTCCGGTTGTCCAGGCTCCTTCAAGGAATGGTGTGGAGCAGGAACGGGCGGCACAGAGATCACTGGAGGCTAATGATGATGTGAACGTTGTGCAGAGCCAGAGGAACGAGCAAACGATACGCCAAGTAGCGTCCGAGGACGATATTACACAGTCCCCTGTCTCAACTAATCCTCAGCAAGACCAATCGTTGTCCTCTCCCATTCGGACATCAAGCCCTCTGAAGAAACTCAACACTGCACAGCCAACTTCGGGAGGTACGGTAGCATCTCCTACCGGGCCTCAATATTCTCAACACTCTGTTACCTCTCCACCGCAGAATTTTCCTCCAAGGCAGGATGTGGGATACCAAGGCCTCCGTGGAGACTCCCCGGTGGAAGTTTCTCCAGTGGATATCTCCCCAGTGGAAGACCCATCTTCACCGGGTGCACCGGGAATGACGATGGATCCATCATCACCTGGAGGCTTCTCCGTCTCCCCGGTATCCCCGCCTTTGTCTCCAGCTGTCGAGAGCAATGGTAGCAGGAATCTTGATGCAGATAGAACGTCGTTCGACGTAGGGTCGACCGATACGCCTACATGGAGCGATGCTAGCCTGCGATCCTATCTCGACGATGAAAGCGATATCCGCGATCTGTTCATCATCGTCCACGATAACTCTAATGTTCCCCCTGCTGGCCCTGATCACCCAATTACTGGTAGCCTGTTTAAGGAGGAGAGCAAGCGACTGAAGGAAATGAACAGTCAGTTGGATTCGATGCTATCTGAATGGGTAGGCCGAAAGATGCGGAAGTCCATAAGCCAATGATCGTGTCGCTGGGCCTTAACAGACGTTTCTCGCTTAAACGTCTAGTCATTATGAAAGTTCTATGTTTGCCAGGAGCTAACAATGTGCTGGACACATGACTCTGGTTGGGCCATATTATCCCATTATTCTCTGTGTTTTCCAGGTTATTTACACGATCTTGTGTTCTACTTGTCTGGTCTCTGAAGCGCTCAATGCGCGGCAGTGCAGGACTACATATGGAAGACCTAGAATTTTTGTCTCTAGACTACAGAGGTCTGTTTTTATCTTCGGGCTCTGCTCCCTTATTTGCGATACCGCCAGCCGAGGGTCTCGTCTTTATTTTCCTTTGTGTGTTTTTCAAGCTCTCTTTCCTATGTCTAGCGATTCTGTTTCCCACATAACAAAGCCTATGGGATACCCCAAGTCACACACATCTTCTGTCGACTACATATTTTTTCTTTGCCTGTGATTTGATACTATAACTAGCGAATATTACGAAGATATGTTCATTTTTGAAATTGGTACGAAGTAGGCCGTACATCAATCCCCGCCAGTACTGAGCGCCGCCGCCAATAGCCTACAATCCACAACGATGCCCAAGCCAGATCTCCCATATATGAATAATACTAGCAAAAAAATTTTAAACTCAACATTTATGATCATCCACGTGTATTCGTGCACCCAAAAAAACCCACCGCCTAGAAACGGAGGTATTAAGTCAACACAGCCTCCCTGTATACGAAAGTCTCCGTCTCCAGACGGAGATTTACTCCCACCCACCACAATCTAGACCCCAACACGTAAGAATATAAAAGATGACTTGGATCCGGGAATGTCAGTTCCAATTCATCACTTACAACCACAAGTACGAGAATCACGATTATCTCTCTCATTTGCGCCTTCAATAATTATATTCATCATGGCCGCGGGCAATCCCCATACTGTTGCTTTCTTCGGTGCCACTGGCGGATGTACTTTGGCTTGTTTGGTTCAAGCCTTGGAGGCCAGTATCTGTTGCTCTGCTTGTATGTATTTCGTTTATCTATCTCTTCCATCTACCCCCTATTCCACTTTCCTGTTCGGGGTACATGTTGGTATTCAGTGGTGATTCTAAGGACAACTAGTGGTTCGTGATCCAGTCAAGCTCCAGAATCTACTGCGCCAACGGGGTGTTTCCGACTCAGTCACCGCAGACAAGCTCTACATTGTCAAAGGCAGCGTGACAGACCTTGACGCAGTGCAACAGACACTCGTGTACAATGGTCGACCCGTCGACATAATCATCTCCGGCGTCGGCGGCAAACCCATTTTCACGAACCCGTTAAGACCCAGGCTCGACAACCCGACTATCTGCCAGGACGCTGTTAGAACCATACTCGCGGCATCCCGGGCACTGGGTGCGAAGCCGGTGCTCGTCGCTATTAGCTCGGTGGGGCTGAGTACCAAGAAGCGAGACTCGCCGATTGCCATGCTGCCGTTCAACTACTGGCTGCTGAGGGAGCCACATGCGGACAAAAAAGTCATGGAGGAGACTATCTTTGATGAGATGAAGAAGCCCGAAGCGGATAGGGCAATTCGGGACTATACTCTTGTTCGCCCTAGTTGGTTCACGAATGGTGAGGGAGTTGGACTGGGTAAGATTAGGGCTGGGACGGAGATGGACCCCGCGATTGGGTACACTATTTGTCGCAACGATGTTGGTCTTTGGATCTTTGAGAACTTCGTTCGTCGGTCATTACAGTCGGAGAACCCGTATCTGGGACAGCCGATAAACATTACTGCTTGAGGGGGATGAAGGGGGTAAGGTTTTGGTTTGATGAGCTTCAAGTCAAAGCTTGATTGTTTTCGCGTTTAGATTTTTTGTTTTTCCTTTTTCCTTTTTCCTTTCAATGTTTCCTCTCCCTTTTATCCATCTTTCTGTTGGAGGGAGAACACCACGTGCTTCTGTGTCATATAGTTTTGTATAGTTTCCTGGAAGTTTTGAGCGATATATGTCAGATAGATGTCTCCCAGCCGGGAGCTATAATAACAACTCGATACCGGTCAACCAAGTTTCAATAGAGTATTTTCGAACTAACACGAGCCACAACGGAGTCCAGTCAACACGCCATCTGTCCTCTAGTCACCAAAGGGGCCCTGGTTTGAGGCTTCGGGGCCTGAGGCAAGGTCCATCCGGCAGAATAACGGGCCTTGAGCCAACTGTGTGGTCGCCGGATCCATTTTCAACTCAATGCTTTATGATTGTTAGAAACTAGTATCCTTAAGAACAGGCCTCACATAAGAGCTGTTAGCCGTGTTTGCTTTAATGGCTGCCGACATAAGAAGCCTTGACTGCCAGGAACAGGTGAGCATAGCTAGAGCTATGAGACGCCTAACGTCATTATGAGGGCCACGTTGCAGCCATAAACTCCTACGTCATTTGCCGCACAAGGGTCCTAGGTTATCATCGGGGTTGCTGAGCAACTGTGACAATAAATCGTTATCCAAGGTCTGCTCTGGCGGCGTAAAATTGACAGTATCATTATACATAAATTCTGTCATGTCAGATGGCGTGGAGTTTAGCTCATCCGGGCGGCCATCGGTATTAACGAGACTCAGGGGCGAACCCCTGGCGCCACGATACACCAACTCTAGACTTTCCCCATCACTTGGAAGCAAGGATGTTGGGTTTGGGGTGTAGAGAAGATCTTGCTCCGACCCTATGCTCGGCTTGCTCGGCTGGAGGCACGTATAGTCTTGATATAACTCCTCATGGGCATCAGTAATCCCCGGAAGGCTTAGAAGCGTGTTGATTATGGGGTCATCCACAACAAAGAATGGATCAGTTGTGCCTGAGATCGGCTGCTGGTTCACCAAGAGCGCATCAGGAACTATATCTGACGATGGCATGTCCCCAGGCCGGTCAGTGGAAAAGGGGAGATCTAACAACAAGCCCTCAAGATGGGGCTCAGGTGGCATCTGAAGGTGTTGAAATGCCAATTTCGCCCATTTGAGCCGTTTCTTAACGGGCCGCATCACAGTTCCACATCGTGACACCGCATCGCTTTTACAAATTTGATGAAATTTATCAGCATAATTCGCTAGCTGTTGTTTGATCGCTGTGTTTTCTTTTTGACTGTCAATCAAACCGCGGCTGAGGTGGTCATAAATATGAACTAGGGCTCTACTACACGTATCGAGCCCCAGGACAAGCATATTGATGAACGCCATGCCTCCTTCCCTCTGTTCCAGCATTATACCCTTTGACGGATCTAAGGAGCGATACGAAAGGGCCAGAAGTGCCGACGCAGACTGGCAGAAGGCATTTATGATCGTAGACGAAATTCTCAACGACTTTTGGTCCGTTTTATTCTGAGAGAATAGCATGTGTGTGATTATAACATGGTAGGCAGTCAACAAGTAAAGTTGTGAAGGCAATGTCGTGGTTTGACTCTCCACAGCTTGTACCGCCTGAAGAAGGATGTCTCTAATCTTAGCCGACAACGTGGGGAAGTCAGCACAAGACTGAAGGAGATCGTATAACTGGTGAATATGCTGCTCCTGCCATGAGGCCTTTGGTACTCCCTTGGCAGGCATATTGAGATACAGAATATAGATGTGAGACACCGTACTGGAGATATGGCTGAGAGGCCATAGATATCGTAAGGCTTGTATCTGTGCCGGCAGTGTAGATATGTTATCGGACGCCTGGTCTAAGCGTATCAGGGCGGAGGTGGTCTCATCCCGGCAGGGAAAATCAGGGATCTCGTCGGGGCCGAAGAGCGCAAGGGCCTGATCAAATTGCATAAACGCCCAGGTGGTGGTGGTTAAGCATAACCAGTGAACATTTTGCAAGACCTCTTTTTTGACCAGGTCAATTTCAACACCATTCAATTTTACGCTCTTCATATCGGCATTCTTCCATGTTTTTTCTAAACGTGAGGCCATATAGCAAGTATAGCCCACAATGCAGGTTGCTCGCCGGGCATGACCCAAGCACAATTCTCTCCATCCTATGAGAAACAAGGCTTGTACAGTGGAGAGAGCCTCGGTGTCGCCAAGTGGTAGCTGGCGCTGTTTGATTTGGATGGAGGCAAACTCAGACAACTTCTGGGATTCATCGCGTATAGCTCCATGTTGTTCGCTGTCACCACTTAAAACATGATACGCATCAGCCAAAATGATTGCCAATAGAGCCTCGTCCACTGTTCCATCCTTAACTTCACTAGTAAGCAAGGTTTTTGATACCAGTGGCGACAGAGGATGCACCGAAAACCACATGTCAATCAACTGCAAGATGCGGTGCTTTCCTAGAGCTGTTAGAGGATTATGATACTGTGGAGGGTCGAACATGGACGGTGTAGTGTCAGCCACTAGAGTAGCAATAAAGAAGGTTCGGTTGTTCTCTGGCTGTCCACATCTCAAAGAGCCAACGCGCAGAAGTAGCATTTCCACCATCTCTTGGGCAATGGAGGATAAGAGCCCTTCATAATTTACTTGATGGTGTGTAGGATGACTGTATGTATACGACTGCTGTTGACGTCTCTGAAAAGAACTCATAGACAACTGAAGAAGATTGGATTCCGATCCAGTCTTGCTGATAAAGTAATCATCAAACATCTGCTCTAGGTCATTGCCCAAAGTGTGAACCTTCTCGAGGGCCACTGATGCGTGCACCACCGAATCATCGCTCAGAACGCCGGATACTGCAGTATTAACCAATGAAATGGACTGCTTCCTGTCGCGCTTGCTGACACCCGGGTTAAGGGTGCACTTGTCCTCCGTTCCTTTGCGCTTTGGTCGGCCCTTGCGGGCTTCAGGGCCGTAAACGCAATTAATATTACGGTCTCGGCAAGCTTTGCAGATACGTCCTCCAGAACATCTAATCTTTCGGCCTCGGCAAAAGCGGCAGCTCTGTCGTAGCCTGGATGTCTCTGTATGAGCGTGTCAGTTGAAGAACACTTCGTAGAGTCAGAAGCTATAACAAAAAAATGGCCAGGATCAAGGCGTATTCATACTAATCTGGGTCTCCATATCGAGGGTGTCTATGAAGTGTGTTGCCGCTTGGTCACTTCCAGAGAAGTATGATTCATGAATCTAGTGGCGTTGGTGTTGAGAAATTGTTGACGCTCAACCTCGGATGTTCAAGCTGGCCGAAGTGATAATCAACGAGAACCATATGTTTCACATCTGGTCGTATCTGCCTAGAGCAATAGTCGAGCAACGAGACAGGCAAAACGAAGATAAGGATGTCTAAATCAGATGAATCTGGTAGACCCTCAGTCTGATTGCATTTGGTCGTAACGTGATTTATCTCCGAAGCCAAACTCGGCTAGTCGCTTTCTTTGGTGCCAACACAGCAATCCTCGATTATTTAGTATTACTCGTACAACAAGATCCTATATTCTTACAAATTATCTAAGAGAAATGATAAATTCTGGGCCTTATAGTCTACCCTCCATTCCTCCGTCCGTCAACTGCGGTCATCCAGGAATGTCTTCAATGTGACCTACAAGAAACCGAACACAAAGGAAGTTATATTTGAGACTCAGCATCGCCTCTGGATCTGCTACTGATATTAGAAGGGTGTCTTTGTGCTATAGAAGACTACGCTTGTATACCCGCTTGATGACCCTCCGCTTTGCATGTAAGAGCAAATACTGATATCTGTTGGACCTGCTTATTTTTGGAATAATTCCTCTGCTCAAGATAAATGGGACAATACTGCCGTTGTGTTGAAAAGCAGATATTGGCTATATGCCGTCCCATGTCGTTTAGGTAAATTGCTGCAGTAAAAATGTTGGACTACCCAGTGAGCGATTAGAACATGCTTTCGGTCACAGTTTTGAATCGAGTCCAGATGTGGAGAGTCACGCGGGAATGTAGACCTGTGCTATTTTCTCTTCGCCGTCTTCTTTTTGCCTTGTGCATGGTTGTTCTATTTGATTTTCAAGAACTTCTGAAGAAGGGCTCTACTAAGTCTGGCAGACTGGGGTATGGTATGCAATGTTAGAAGCTGTCACCTCATACCATCTTGGCGGAATGTCGCGCGAGAAGGTCAGCTGCGCTGCATGCTATGGTCATTAGGCAGTTAATCCATACTCCATGACTCCTCAAATGAAACAGAACCCAGTATTTATTGACCAACGCCTACCCCTCGGGACCCTGAATCAAAGTGCTACCTGCATCTACTTTCCACCCCGCCTTCACGATGTCTGACCCTTATGCCCAACACCCACACCACGCTCCTCCTGGTCCTGGACCCGAGGCGAACTTTTACGCGCCCGCAGACAGTCTGTACCAAAATCCACCGTACGATTATGAGTCTCAGCATCCTCATGCGCAGCAATTTCCTCCGGATCAAAACTACCAGCATGGCTCGCAGTATGACTTAGCGCAAACGCCGAGGTCTTATCCGCCCCAAATGTCGGGCCCGCAACAGGACTACCTCAACCCAGCTTCTGCGGAAGGCTTTGAGCAAGAAAGAAACCGTCGAGGAAGTAACGCTGATTATTAGTACGCTGCCATTTTATAACATTCCGATGAGTTCACACTGAAGTATTCCAGTAACGCGCCCACTGACGAACGAGATCGGGACTATCCACCAAGCTCTCATCCCCAAGAAGCCAACAACACTTCCGACAACGAGGGAACTGAGCGCAACCTGGCAGGGGCGCTTGCCGGTGGTGCTGGAGGCTATTATTTGGGACACCAAAGTAACCATGGCCTTCTAGGAGCTGTGGGTGGTGCGATACTAGGTAACTTCGTGGGAGACAAGATGGAGGATAAACCAGATGATGATGAGCACGATCATCACCACCACCACCATCACCATGGACATCATCATCACCGTCACAAACATCATCATGGTCATCGCCATCATAGTCATCATGGTCATCATCGCAGTCATTCTCGGCACAGTAGCCATAGCGGCAGCTACTGATTGGATACCCTCCTGGATCATTTTTTCTTCGATCGCTTGAGTGATATTTGCTGCTCTTTTATGTTGGTGCGTACACTTTTATGGGAAAATTGTTAGAAGATAAACATTCGGAATGTTTTGTAACGCCTAACGACTCGATGGCACTGGTCCTGAGTATGATGCCTCTATATATATGTTAGTAACTTAGTCTATCGTACAATAAATTCCTCTGGCATTTATCTGAAGCGACGCGTGGTGAAGCTTTTACTTTGCGCCTTATGCTCTCCTGGGTTTCGTAAAGCAGATGCTCAGGGAAGCGGGAATTGGCAAGTTCTATGCGACTTTTTCCAATTGTTCAGTTCCTGCAACGATCAAATTTGGCGAGGAAGTGAAGAGTCGATCGGATCATCGCTTTTTGCTTTTTTAAAACTTGGAACTGATGTCATTCCGGCTATGTCGGATGAAGATAGAAACGTAGATTCTAACGGAGAGGACAACTTTGAATAAGATTGCAAGCAGGAAAGCCATAACCATAGGTGACATTGTTCACTTGCAAGTAGAATAAATATATCATAGGCCTGAGGGACATCCTCGTAAAATTCCGCGCTAGTTGCCAACTCCCGGTCATTGTTTTTATCCGAAGTAGTCTGATGTGTAAATCATGAGTATAAAAGCTGCCTATCCAAGCGATAGCATATCTTATCGACGAAACGGTTTACTTTTCCCCACAAAGTAAATCTTAGTGATGGGTGCAATGCTCCACATTTATTCTGTCGCATATCACCCGCGTGAGTTTGGTCAAAGTAACTCTAAGCTTGAGAAGAAAACAGATATATGTAGTATGTCTATTCTAGACTTCGTGACATTGGAGCCACGTCACTGAGGGTATCCCACGGTCACGGTTCCCCGCCGCCGGGGATCCCGTGACCCCAACGGAAGATCATCCGCCGCCGGAAACCGGAGCGGAGCAGGGTTTCACGATCCAGTAGGAGCCAATCAGGAGGCGGAGATATGGAAGTCTTATCAGAGTCGGTCATCATCGCCGATCTTCAGCTCAGCCCTTGACTCGTGACCTAATCGGGGAGTGTGACTCGTTCTGCGTGCCATATCTGAATCAGGCCGAACCCCCTTGGACTCCTCCTACTCCTATCTCCTTTCCTCCTCTTGCTTTCTCCGTCTCCGTACTCTCCTTTTATTCCCCTTTGTCCTTGCAGAACGAGTCTCACACCGCATAGACCGGCACTCAGTACCCCGTGGGACCCTCGCCTATTCATCTGAACATCTCGCCGTGTCGTGACTTTCTCCTCTCCGTTTCAAGTCGTCTAGACCAGTTTTCCAATATTTCGGTGGAAATCAACAAATCGAGAATATGCCGCCTCCTTTAATACAGCACCTGACACAAGCGCTGCCGCAGCATTGTGAGCCGTCTTCGCCCTTTTTCGCTGCCATTTCCGCACATCTACACACGTGCATACCTACGCCGCTCGCTCTCATCTCATCGGTGTTGGGCACCCTCAGCATCGTCTCCTGGCTCTTTGCACAACTCCCACAGATATACAAGAATGTCCAGTTGCAATCTACGTCAGGCTTGTCCATTTTCTTTCTTGTGGAGTGGTGCTTGGGAGATACTAGCAACCTGATCGGCGCTATACTCACTCGGCAAGCTACTTGGCAAGTCATCATTGCAAGCTACTATGTCCTGGTCGACGTTACACTTGTCTTCCAGTTTTTCTGGTACACACATATCAAAGGGCGTCAGAATGGCTACGCTAGTCTCTCTCACTCACATCATGAGGGCGGCACCGGGGGTGTATTAGAAGGGGTATCCTTTTCCGAGAATGACTCGATCAACCATGCACCTTCAGAGACCACAGTCAACTCAGACGCGAAGGATGTGAAAGGTCGCAAAGAATCTATCTTCGGTTCTTATAATGGCCAGGTTCCGTCGTACTCCAATGAGAAGCTGAGCTCATCCCGTCGGTCCATGGTCAGAAAAAGCAGTGGTCCCAGCCTGCCTATTGCCTCTACGCGCACAGTTCTTTTAGCATCGATGCTCTGCGCCGTTGTGGCCAACGCAGCACCAACGGAGCCAGCCACCGAACCGCACCCCTATTTCCTCAGCCTGGAGTTCTTTGGTGCCCTTTTCTCATGGATGTCAACCGTCCTATATCTTTTCTCCCGCCCACCTCAATTATACAAGAATTACAAACGCAAGAGCACATCCGGCCTGTCTCCGCTACTCTTCATGGCCGCATTCAGCGGAAACTTCTTCTACTCCACGTCACTCCTCACAAACCCCAACGCCTGGTACGACTACCCTCCGTACGGCGGCGGCGGATGGGCTGACTCCGACGGCAACAACCGCGCCGAATGGCTAGGCAGAGCTATCCCCTTCTTCCTGGGGGCATTCGGCGTCCTCTTCTTTGACGGTTTCATGGGCGTGCAATTCCTGATGTACGGCACGCGAGATGACGAGTCCATTATCGAAATCGAAGATCCGAAGTGCGGACGCAGTCGCTGGATGCGAGTCCGCGGCTGGATGAGAGGCTGGATCCCCTCCGTGTCCCCTACCCGGCAAGCCCACCACCACCGTACTCCCTCAGAAAGCCAGGCGCTTCTAGAAGAAGATTGTGATAGATACGGTACAGTTTAAATGATTAACTAGACTTCATGTCGTGTAATCATCTAGAACTTTCTGTTTTCTTTACACTCATTTACCTTTCTCGACTGCGTTAAGCAGGTACGATTTCTTTATGACTTCATGACGATATTTCGGTGTGTGGGCTTTACTGTTTCTTATCGTTTCAAATTCTCCGGTTTTCACAGGTTCATTCTCCATCGTTCGGCGCCTTTGTTTTAGTTGTTCTTCTATATATCCTTTGGACGTTATTGGATTCAGGAATGGGCTGGACTCCAGGGTTTACTTTGAGGTGTTTGGTTACGGATAGATATCTGCATACGGGGTGCATATATAGCATAAACCTAAGGTACTCGAATACTATTTGACTTATTGGAGCAACGTACATGACCTCATCACATTAAATTCCTAGCTATATATATATGAAGATACAAATGGGTTCAATAAGAATGTATTAACAATCATCTACGTGTAAACGTGCATATATGCCAACGAAGCGATCCGTTGCGCCCCCACCGCTCATCAAACTCATTAGGGTACAAGTGTGTGGCCCCGTGCTTTCCAACAATAACAAGCTTGGTCTTGTCCCTTCCTCCAGCACTTGGTGGTGGGAGTGAACCAGCGGATGTCGATAAGGAGACAGCGAAGGGAAGGGGCCAGAAGAAAAGAAAAAGTGGCAAAAACGCCACCAGGTGTACAAGGTCCGGTCAGCCCCTCTGTCACACGGACACGGTGTAGTGAACAGGTGCGCCCGTGCAAGTTTGCTGTCCGGTAGTTAATGTTTCAAACGGCGTACCGATGGCTTGGTCAGAAATTCGTGATTTTCTTGCCGAGGCCTGTAACCATTCCACGTCATGTATGTGGAGGGGAAAACGTATAAGAATGCAGAGACAACCCAAGAGTGAGTGTCTAATGATACACAGCAAGCGTGAGGTAGTAATGGTTCGATCAGCCTGTGATGCGGCATGACCAGCATCAACCGAATCTGTAGGCCAACCCTTTAAACGTATATGTAACAATACCGAATGCAATCATGACGAACTAATACAACGGACCTTTGGCGTCCTGGACACCGCGCCTGATAACGTCCTCGATACGCCACCGCGGAGGAGCAACAGGATCTCGCTTCCGGTGCCATTCCTTCTCCATCTCTGGAGGAGGGGTCGCGTCCTCATTCGATGTGAGGGCTCCGCCGGCAACACCAGTCGAGAATTTGAGTTGCAGGACATTGCCAATCTCGTCACAAGCGGTTAATACCCGGTCGAGGTCTTCCTTAGTATGCGCGGCAGAAACGCAGAAACGAGCACGGGAGGAGACCAAGGGTGTAGCAGGATAACCGACAACGACAACAGAAATCTTTCGTTTGAGCATTTCATGGGAGAAGGCCGGCATCTTTGCGGGGTTGAACAGCAGCACTGGGATAATTGGTGAATCGTCGTGGCCGTACACTATAAAGCCAAGACGTTTCAGACCCAGACGAAGGTATCGGGAGTTGAAGGCCAAACGTTGCAGTCGCTCTTCGCCTTGACCTGGAATGATTTCGCCGTTGATGATACGAAGAGCAGACGAGATTTGGGACAAGATTGCTGGAGCTGGCGATTCTCCGTAGATAACTCCAGAATTCGCTGCACGAAGCTGATCGATCATATTCTTGTCGGCAGCAATATACCCACCATTAGCACCGAAAGACTTTGTCAGGGTCCCCATGAGAATATCCACTTCTTCTGTATCGATACCGAAATAGTCACAAACACCTCGGCCTCTCGGTCCAATGGCACCAATTGAGTGAGCCTCATCAACAAAAAGATGGAACTTGTAGCGCCGTTTCAAAGTAATCAAGCCTGGGAGGTTGCACATCGACCCTTCCATAGAATAAAGACCTTCCACAACGACCAAGATCTTCTTCCAGGGGCGATGAGTACGGGGCTGACCCTGACTGATAGCCTCCCGAAGCCTATTCTCCAGGTCCTTCATATCGTTGTGCTTGAACATACCGATAGATGCCCCAGAAAGACGTGCACCGAAGCGGATTGACGCGTGGTTCAGCTCATCGGAAATGATTAGGTCGCCTTTGCCGACCAGAGCGGGGAAAATGTTTGCATTAGTGCCGAATCCCATAGAGAAGACCATTGACGCTTCCTTGCCCACGAACTTGGCGACAAGATCCTCAACTTCCATGTGAAGATCTTGTGTGCCAACCTCCGCTCGGGTGCTAGGAGCAGTGATGCCATATTTCCTGATTGACTCCTCGGCGAGGTCTGCACATGGACCTTCAGACTGCGCAAAACCAAGGTAGTTGTACGAGCTCAGGTTCAGCGTATCGGTGGTGGTTCCGGTGAAGTAGAAGTGCTTGTTGTGATCATCAGTTGCGCGGTCGATCAGTGTGATGTATCTCCCGGGTACACCCGTAACAGGGCGCTCAAAACAATCATTAATGCGCAGCTTGAGACGACGGACGTAGAAATTGTCGAAGTCGCTGTTGAGGGCACCATATCCATTTCGGGGTTTCAAGTGTCTGTAATTCTCTTCACGGAAGCGTTTTCCGAAGAAGTCACGGACATGTCCAAATGCAATTAGGATTAGGTAACTAATGTAGGTGGTAAGAAGGTAATAATAGGGAGGCTCATCCATTATCGGCTCGGGAAAGACACCACCAGGATGCTGACTGGAATACCGGTGGCTGGGATGGCCGATGGTGCCAAATTGCGCGTTTGCCTTGGCCTGGCGACGAGCCTCCTCAGGCGAGGGGGGTTGAAAGAGCGTGGTCGGCGGTTCGTCCATATTGGGGTTGCCCGCGGTAGCAGTAGAGAGAGAAATAGTCGGTAAGGACAGTGAAGCCGAGCTGATCGAAGTATAATGAGCGTTCCCACTAGCTCCCCTGGCGGTCACGTTCGCAGACTGAGAGTCGGATTTGGACTTAGGGGAGGTTGAGAATAATTGGCTCAGGAGACTAGGTTTGCTTGTGGGCGCCTTGAAGGCGATACCGCCCTTTCCAGAGTTGGACGAGGTGGACTGCGCGTTGGAGGGGTCGTTGGCGGAAGAGTGGACGGATCGACGAGGCATTGCAAGGAAACCGCCAGTCGGAAACAACCAATTTCGCAGGAACACCGATATGGTGTGGAGAGAAACTTCTACCGCGGTCCTGGAAGGGAGAGGGAAAATAGAAGCTACTTGAGGAAAGAGGTAACGAGACTCCTGACGCGAGTTGTGCTTGTTGACCAGTTCTCGTTCACTTGCCAATGTCTCAGAAAGTACTAGGACAGCGACGGTCTGAAGTATCCACAGGAAAGCAGTCAGCCACAATCCAGACCAAGTGTGCGAAACACTTGTGCAAATAGTCAACAGATGCGAGGGAGGAATGGAAAGAAGACCAAGACTGGAGGGCGGTATACAAAGACAGGAGAGAAAACGAGGGTGAGATGCAAATGCAACTCCGAGCAAGCCGGAGTGATTGATGGTCCTGTAATTTCAGGTGGTAACGTAAGGCACAGACCTTTTGCACGTGGGAACTGGAAGGGCACGGAGCCCAATCGCAAATTCAATCTCTTGTCCTGGCCCAGATTAATTGACGCCTATCGCGATGAGACAGTAAAGAGAAGAAGAAAGAAAGAGTCAGTAATATGAATTAGCTGAAAAGACCATCAACCACAATTAATCCCTCCCCGATGGATCCCAGCGTTGGGAGGGAAAATAAAAGGACTTTTTCAAGAGTGGATCGTCCAGACCAAATGGTATCCAACAGGGACCCATAGTATCGTACGGTATGGTCCCATTGCCCCTGCATCATTTTACAAGCTGGTTCACCCAGGAATATGAAGTTATGGTACGGTAAGATACCGGCCCCTGAAGCCCCGATCTTGTTCTTTTCTTTTTTTATTCCCTCAATTCTCATCTAAACTAACTACTATCTTACTAGGTAGTCAGTAGTAATCTTACTACTCCGTAGTTAGTTAGTTAGTTACTACTTTGGAATATGTAATTAAAACCGCCCCAGAAAGGGGCAACGCAAGGCGAATACGACAGAGGCAGGTTTTTCACTTTTCAATCAAAGAACATACAAACAGTGTCTTGATCTCATACACCGTCTCTGAGGTAGTGGCTATCTTTTGATTACTTCGAGTATATACACCCATACATTCATACACCCAGTACTAGTACTCCGTACATATGCGACACTGCCAGCAAACCATGTGCCATATCTTGATGCGCATACGCAGTACGTAGTTGAGATAACATTGACTAACAGAAAGCTGTGTTGTTTTGCCACAACGCACAAGGTCGGAGCTTCCGTTGTGCAGAAGAAAATCGTGACGAGAAAAGACCGAGCTAGATATCTATTTTGATCTAGTAATAGTAGTAATAAGCATTGAAATTGAGTCGGTCGCCTTCTATCTAGGGTAAGGCGGGGTTTTTTTTGACTGCCTCTTCTCCGGAATTTCCCGCCCCCACGATCCCCGATTAGACCCTTGGCCATTGCCTAGACTGGCCATGTAGATTCGCCTTCGGAGTACTCTGTACCAGTCATTTCTATTTCGCAACTAGGTCTGGAAGTTAGTGATTAACTCAATCGTACTCCGTGCCGAAGCTGGCCGATCGAGATTTCAAATCGAACCATTTCTCAATACTGAGGTACAGTACAATAGTGCCTGCCACCCAGCAACCTTAACGATGACTGATTTCCTCTCCACAATTAGACAAAATTTGATTGAGGGGTATTGTAATTCATTAGGGGCATACCGATCATAATCGTTTCCGTCCATCATGTCTTCAAATGGAGTTTCTTCCGGTTCGAAAGAACTATGGCGGCATAGTTCTCCGCAGGACACACAGATATATGACTTTATGATGAAGATAAACGCAGAGCACGGCCTGTCTTTGAAGAGCTACGATGACCTTTGGCGTTGGAGTGTCTCGGAGCCTGCACTGTTCTGGGAGCGGATATGGCACTACACAGCGATCAAGTCTCATAAACCATATGACCGTGTAAGTGTTTGCAACTCTCTTGTCATGGCTCCTTTGGTTACCCAGCAGCAAGGCCTCTTCTCCTTCTGACAAGTAGTACAGGTCCTCGACTCTGATCAAGATCTCTTCCCTAGACCCAACTTCTTCGAGGGTAGTAGACTGAACTTCGCTGAGAATCTTCTCTACCCAGCTAACGCGCTCGGTGAGAATGAGGTGGCGATAATCGCTGCTACGGAGTCGGAACGAGAGTATGTTTCATGGAAAGAGCTGCGTGAACGCGTCCGGCAATGTGTCAACTCCCTAAAGGAAGCGGGCCTACAGTCCGGGGATCGTGTGGCGGGGTTTCTAGGCAATCATACCAATACCGTTGTTGCTATGCTGGCGACAGCTTCCATAGGAGCATTCTGGACCGGCGTCTCCCCAGACACGGGTGTGCACGCAGTGTTAGAGCGTCTGAAACAGATAGAACCGAAGATTCTATTCGCTGACAATGCTTCATTATACAATGGCAAAGTGCATGGGGCAGAGGCCAAAATCCGACAAATTGTTCCAGGACTGCCAAACCTGGAGCTGCTTGTTGTATTCGAGACAATCAAGTCACACCGGATCAATCTTGAGGAGCTGTCACCTGTTCAGGGAAAGGTATCTACGTACGAGTCTTTCCTCTCTGCCGCCAGCAACCCTTCGGCTCCTCTCGAATTTGCAAGCTTAGAGCCTGGCCACCCTGTCTATATATTATACTCTTCCGGTACGACAGGGGCACCTAAGCCTATTGTTCATGGATCGCTTGGAACCTTGCTGCAGCATAAAAAGGAACACATGCTCCATTGCGATATTCGCCCTGGAGACCGCTTGTTCTACTTTACTACTGTCACTTGGATGATGTGGCATTGGTTGGTCTCCGGGCTGGCTAGTGGTGCCACCATCGTTCTGTACGATGGTTCCCCCTTTCGACCATTTGACCCTGAAGGCGGGAATGGAGAGATGGCCATGCCACGTCTAATTGATGAATTGAAGATAACCCACTTTGGAACTTCGGCAAAGTACCTGTCTATCCTGGAGCAGGCTTCCCTGAACCCGCGAAAGCACCCCCATCGGCCGGTAACGCTGCAAACCCTGAGAGCGATATTCAGCACTGGCTCTCCGCTGGCGCCCTCCACATTTGATTACGTCTACTCATCTTTTCACCCTGATATTATGCTGGGTTCAATCACTGGCGGAACTGATATTCTGTCCTTGTTTTGTTCCTGCTGCCCTATCTTGCCGGTTCGCAAGGGTGAGATTCAATGTCGCAGTCTAGCCATGGCTGTTTCTGTATACGACTACGCAGGCAACGACATTAGCGCTTCTGGCGAACCAGGCGATCTCGTCTGTACAAAGCCTTTCCCTGCACAGCCGGTCATGTTCTGGCCACCTGGGGCTGTTGGTGCAGAGAAATACCGCAAGAGTTATTTTGATGTTTTCGGACCATCGGTCTGGCATCATGGAGACTTCGTGCGCTTGGATCCTCAGACTGGAGGGGTAGTCATGCTAGGTCGGAGTGATGGCGTCCTGAAACCGGCCGGAGTTAGGTTTGGAAGCGCAGAAATCTACAATATTCTGCTCAAGCACTTTGCAGAGGAAGTGGAGGACTCTTTGTGCATTGGGCGGAGGCGAGACGGAATTGATGCAGATGAGACTGTCGTCCTTTTCGTGAAGCTAGCCTCGCAGGAAAAGACCATACCGCAGGAGCTCGCGGCACGTATTCAAGCCACTATCCGCAAGGAGCTCAGCCCTCGGCACGTCCCAGGTATAGTGGACGCTTGTCCAGAGATTCCAGTCACCTCCAATGGCAAGAAAGTCGAGAATGCCGTGAAACAGATTTTGTGCGGCCTGAATATCAAGATCGGTGCCAGTGTTGCGAATGCCTCTTGCCTTGACTGGTATAGAGCATGGGCTACGGCGAATCCGTAACAGGCTCAGCTCGGCTGAGATAGATCTACAATTGGTTGCACGGCCATGAAAATAGATTAATCGGTAGAACTAGAGGTTATGTGATAGATGTGGGCGTGGCTTAAAAGCAATTCATTGTTTCAGACTTGGTCGTACAGTATAAATGACGATTCCATAAAAGACGTAGCCGAGCAAATAGAGATGGGAAAAAAAAGAGGCCTTCTATGCTATTGCCACACCTAGTTTGAAGATCTAGACTAAGTCGACTTATAAAAAGAAGGAATAATTGCTAATCGACGTCATCCTAAGTTGGTTTTGATTAAGGATGAAAACAGACCGGATTAGATAAGCCATGGGATCTCGGCTTTCATCCAAATCCTTGCGGTGGTCTCCGGAAAACAGCTCTCTCCGACAACACAAGGAGCACCTGAATTCAATCGCCTCCGAAACTATTGAATTCAAGATTGACAATATGCGTCGCTCAGTATTGCGGGCAGTTGAGTCTGCGAAGCCACTCTCTCGCGCCTCTCGTTCCGTTTCAAGGAGCTTCGCTACTGTCAACGAGGCTGGTTCCAAGGTAATGCCGAAATGTTGGGTGTTCGTTTGGTCTGATCTTCTCGACTAACTCATGTCTTTGCGCAATGCTATAGGATCCTGCTGAGCTCGACCAGATCACCACCTTGCCCAATGGAATTCGTGTCGCTACTGAATCTTTGCCAGGACCCTTCTCTGGTGTTGGAGTTTACGTCGACGCCGGTTCCCGATACGAGGATGAGAGCCTACGAGGAGTTAGCCACATTATGGATCGACTAGCATTCAAGTCGACCAAGAAACGGTCTAGCGACGAGATGCTTGAAGTTCTTGAGGGTCTTGGAGGTAACATTCAGTGCGCCTCTTCGCGAGAGTCGCTGATGTACCAGTCCGCCAGTTTCAACTCGGCTGTCCCAACGACTCTGGGCCTTTTGGCTGAGACAATTCGTGATCCCCTCATCACAGAAGAGGAGGTTCTCCAGCAGCTGGGTACTGCTGAGTATGAGATTGGTGAGATCTGGGCCAAGCCAGAGCTAATTCTGCCGGAGCTGGTACATATGGCCGCCTACAAGGACAACACGTTGGGAAACCCTCTGTTATGCCCGGAGGAAAGACTAGGAGAGATCAACAAGGCGGTTGTGGATAAATATCGCGAAGTATTCTTCAACCCTGACAGGATGGTTGTTGCCTTCGCCGGTGTGCCGCATGATGTAGCTGTCAAGCTCACGGAGCAGTACTTCGGTGACATGCAAGGGCAAAAATCTAACAAGGGTCCTGTTCTATCGGGAACCGGCATTGAAACTACTTTGTCGAACTCCAGCTCGGCGGTCGAAGAAGGGCAAGTGCCCACAATTCCCCAGTTCACGCCGTCGTCCACCACATCGACTACTCCTGCATCCCCAAAGTCCGGGTCCGGTCTCCTTTCAAAACTTCCATTCCTCAAGAATCTTTCCGGGTCGCAGAATGGCTCCGTGTCGCCATTGGATCCCTCCTTGGTGGAACCGTCAACGTTCAACTTGACACGTCCTTCTCATTATACTGGCGGTTTCCTTTCTCTTCCTCCAATTCCTCCTCCGGCGAACCCCATGCTTCCTCGCTTGAGCCATATCCATCTCGCCTTTGAGGCTCTTCCCATCTCCAACCCTGACATCTATGCTCTCGCGACCCTCCAGACACTGCTCGGTGGTGGTGGATCATTCTCCGCAGGCGGTCCTGGCAAGGGTATGTACTCACGCCTTTACACAAACGTGCTGAACCAGCATGGATGGGTTGAGAGCTGTATTGCCTTCAATCATAGTTACACCGACAGCGGAATTTTCGGGATCTCCGCCTCATGCAGTCCGACACGGACGCCCGAGATGCTTGAAGTCATGTGCCGCGAACTGCAGGCACTGACTCTTGACAACGGTTACTCTGCCTTGCAGGCGCAGGAAGTCAACCGTGCAAAGAACCAACTCCGCTCCTCTCTTCTCATGAACCTGGAGTCACGAATGGTCGAATTGGAGGACCTCGGACGCCAGGTTCAGGTGCATGGCCGGAAGGTTGGTGTGAAAGAGATGTGCGATCATATCGATGCATTGACCGTGGAGGATCTGCGCCGGGTTGCCCGACAGGTTTTCGGCGGTAACGTCCAGAACAAGGGACAAGGTACCGGCAGGCCAACTGTGGTTCTGCAGGAGGGCGAACTGGAGGGATATAAACTTCGTTCCTTCCCATGGGAGGAGATCCAAGAAAGGATCGCCAGATGGAAGCTGGGAAGAAGATGAATGAAGTGAAATCTAGAGAAGAAATACTCTACGGAATAGATAGAAGCCGCTGCTTATTGTATAGTATAGTTAAGAGAAGGGCGTGATGCCCGACATTTTTCTTCCCTCTATGTAATTAAAATGAATGACATCAAAACATGTATTCTTGGGCGCCGTTTTTACTATATCACTCATCTATTTTTAATTGCCTGGCCAGGTAAGGTAGAGGTCTTCTATGGGCTGCAGTATCAGTGCCTATTGGGGCCGAAGGTCATTGCCGCTTTTAGCTCCGTTTGGCTCGGGAAAAAAGTTGGTACGGAACGATGTCGAATCCGCAATCCTCTCCATTTACCCATCAATTTCCGTCACCTCTCAATTTCAATTCCATCCAATACCGCAACGCCGTCAATTTACCTCGCCCATTCATATACTTTATAATCTCCCATCCAATCAATAACCTATAGTCAAGATGGTTCAGCTCCAAGAAGTCGAGGACGAGCACTACGCCCAGGAGAAGCCCCAGGCCACCAAGAACAACGTCCTTCTGGCCTCGGATGACGAGGATGACGACTACACTGATACCGGTTAGTACTCTAGTGCATTCCCTCTGATTCAGCGGTGTCGAGGCAATCTTCCTATGTGTGTGCGAGACGGTACAAGCTTGCTCCCAGCCTGTGTTTCCGGCGGCACTTGCTGCGCCGACCACACTGCTGGCCCAAACACACCGCGTGGCCTTGCTGATTCCGACTTGGATACCACATTTTTTTCACCGATGCTCTAACATGTATAACGAATCCAGAGTCTGAGATCTCCGAGGACTCCGATGTCGAGCTCGATGGCGAGACCTTCTACGAGCGTCTGTCCGCTCTGAAAGATATCATCCCTCCCTCCGCCCGCCGCCAGGTCAACAGCACAGTTTCCTCCATCACTTCATTCACAAAGTCCAGTCTCATGTTCAGCGGTAGGGCACTCTGGGTTATCAGCACCAGTGCCTTCCTTGTCGGTATCCCATTCGCGCTCGCCTATGCGGAGGAGGAGCAGTATGTGCAGATGGAGCGTGAGCAGGGCATGATCAAGGGTGCCAACGAGGTAGGTCATATCTGAAATTTTTTGCTGTTATGCATTTCCAATGCCTTATTATCGCCATCACCGCCATAATTCACCTTATCTTCCGGTTGCGCCCGAAAGCCGAGACGCGGTGAAAACTCTTTTACCTTTTTGACGATCACGCCAACAGGCTGACAACATTCATATTTGAAATTATCGTCATTGTTCCTGTTTCTTGGCGTCATGTTTTTGACAACTTAAACCGTACATGGATGCTGATCAAGTCATTTCTGCAGATGCTCACCCCCGGAGCGATCTCCGAGGAGCAGAAGCAGGCTCAACCTACTCTGTAAATGGACATCGCTAGCGAAGGCAAAGACTGCAACAGGTGTCAATGATCAACCATTAACAGCCTTAACCTATAGTCTATGCTCGAACCGCCTGTTGCTTTAGAGCCTGCTGTACGCCATCGGTCTGCCTGGGGCAGATCAGTGTGGCAACAATGACCCTGTCTGGTGTTCCCGATATACGCAAATCGAACCACGCGTCAAATGGATTTGAAAACAGTAAAATTATTAAAAACTGCAATGCATGACCACACAATCCGCATGCGTTCTGAAAAGGGTATACAAAGCATCCGATTGAACAATCGCCTGCGATTTCCAAAATATAATTTATGGGTGGGCCGGCGCGGCAATAAAAAGAATGGACTTAATGGTTGGGGGAATGGCTTTCATCCATCTGTCATTTCGGAGTCTTCGATCCTTCTATGTACCTTTTTTCTTCTCCCCTCATGCCTCTGTTTCTGGAAGTCCTGGAGCGGGCAATGCATGTATTTGTATAACTCATACTGATTCCTTTTCTTTTTCGTTTCGCTGATGTCGTTTGTTATTTATTTTGGTCAACGTATGCCTAGATAATGGAACGTGAATGAATCTAGAGGTATGATTGTAAATAGTACTGGGCTATCATCCAAGAAGCGTGTAGAGCCATGTAAGCTGAAGCTTGTATCAAGCGAGAGAATAGCTAAAGGCAAAAGAAGAAGCAGAATCAAGGAAAAGACGTTCGAATGAAAATTCGTATCAAAGGCCATGCCAGACCTGGGGTATCAACCGAGCGTACAAAGAAATTCCATCGGGGTAGTAAGCAAGAAGCAGGGAGATAAAGGATGACATGGCTGAATCATGAATCCAGGTGTATGTACATAACGTAAGTTTGAAGGGTAAAACAGATAATATCAACCAAAGGTGAGCCTCTCAAGGCCCATAGTAGATAGTATCTCAAGTAAAGATATCGACAGGATGAATTCGAAGAATAATAAAGAAACTTGGATGAGGTACTATCCAAGCGTCTATATAGATATCAGTCTGAATTTTATGGAGAGGACGAAGGCGAGAGTTTGATAGAATGAACATACCACTGATTCTCGAGCCGTTCTGAGGTTGATATGGAAATCTCGCCAGAGCTTCTTTATCTCGCCCTCGTAAACCATCAATCCGACAGCTTCGGCAGCCCTTTTCGCCTTTTTCTTCTGGCTCCAGCGGTTCCGCCTGGATATTTCCTTGTCGGACATGTAGCCCATTCGTTCAAGATGGTCTACTACCCATTCATTAAGGTGAAAGCGCCAGTGGATAAGAGTGTGGGCCATAGCAGCTCTGTTTTTGCAATGTCTGGGTGTTTGTGTGAGCTATGCTTGAGGGGGGAATACAGAGTGAATGGTATCAGGCGTACCTTCCTAGCAAGAATCGAGTGTTCTCATCGGGGAGAGCATGCCCATCTCGATCCCGTTCTCGTCCATCTTCTTCGGTGTCACTGTTCTCGTCGGACAACGGCTCAAACGTCTCCAATGAGTATGCTTTTCCGTATAGTTTCATGTCGGAGGAGGCCGGGTGGCCGGATCGATTACAGGCATCGCAAGGGTGGTTCTCCAGTGTTGGATACCCGGTAACTTCCATATGAGGCCTTGCCATGAGGGCACTACGGAAGTTGGCATTCCATACTGAGGAAATTAACTGCGATCCAGTCCGGCCTTTGACCTCATCTTCTAATTTTGAAAATGCGACTTGGTAGACTGGGCTAGAGCGCTCAAAGGCTGGATTAAGCTGGTTAAATACCATCCATTCCACTGCGTCTTGGAAGTAATCTTTCAGTTGCTTGTATGAATGACGAGAAAATTCGAAAGGCATATCCGGGAGACTGCTCGGTGCACCGAGAGTCCCATCTTCTAGAACGAAATCATCTTCATAACGATCAAGATCTTCATTGCTTGCCACAGAGGATTCAACATCACTATCCTCTTTTTCTTGACGGAAACGAGGTTGTGGAATAGTGCTTTCGCCCTCACTTTCATCCTCGCTTTCTGATGAGCTTTGCGGAGTCTCTGGGCTTTCGTCATCGGTTTCCTTTTCACCAGCTCTCCGACGGCGTAACGCTTCTAGGTGTTGCTGTCTTTGGGCTCGCGCAGAATTGGCCAGCCTACCTCTGGTTCGTGTTTCTTTCACCACTAGCAAAACGGTCAATAGTTAAGAAAAAAAAAGGTGCCGAATCAAAGATATGTAGACCTACCTGAGTCTTGAAGATCTTGAAGGTCCTCCCTGAGATCTAGCTCGTCTTGATCCAAGTTTTGTTCCGGTGTCCGTGGTGGCTGAGCATCGATGGCCCTCCTTCGTTTTCTTGCCGGGGTTGCAATAGGTCCTTCGTCAGAATCGTCATCATCCAGAATAACAGTAGGCTGCTGTGCCGGGCCTCGTCGTAATTTCCGACGAGGCCGAGAGATTATATCGTCGACGTCACTATTGTCGGACCTCACGGATGGTGAGGGATTTTGAGATGGGGAATCTGCGGTGTCGGATGGGGTCTGAGATCTCTTCCGCTTCAAAGCTCGCGACTTCCTTACTTTTCGAGCACTGGTAGGAGCTTCTTCATCATCGCTTTCGCTCTCTTGGCGGAGAGGCACCTTGGTCTCGGAAGTAGAAGGCTGTCGTAATTCATCTGCAAATTCTCCATGGAGTTAGGATAAGATACCACCACAGTGTAAGACTTATTTTACCGGTGCTCTTTTCCTTTTCCTTCTCTTTCTCTTCCTTTCCCTTCTTGTCCTTTTTCTTCTTTTTCTCCTTCTTCTCCTTCTTCTCCTTCCTCTTATTCTTCTTCTTTTTCGTAGGGGTGAGGCTTTCGGAAGTTTCTGCTTTCGATGTGGAGCATTGCTGGTCTGCTGAGGCCTTCACGAACGGAACAGGCGACATGCTTCCGATCGATGGCCCGCTTAGTAGGGACCGAGTACTGCGGACAGTGGGCATTGACGGATGGCCATAGCGCAGAGTAGCTTTGCGGTCACTCTTCTCACCGGGATCCTCGGCAGAATCTTGCGACAGGTCTATCGGAGCAAAAGAAAGTCGCGTCTGCTTTGCTCTTTTACCATAAGTGCGGGGCATCAGTGACACAACAGGTGAGTAACACCGGATCTGCTTGGGGGTTTGTATGTAATCAAGGTACGAAGATGAATACCAGGGTATAGTCGAGTGGATCCTGAACAGGAGGAGTTAAAGGCGAATGAATGAAGCTATTCGATCGAGCAGTCTGATGATCTTTCAAGCGCGATGGACCGCGTCGCTTCGTCACGAGAACACGTGATTCCATTTGGCCCGAATTGGTTGTGGGAGAGACTCGGATTCATCTCACTTGGGGATTCTATTCCTTAGAGGATTAGAGAAATTTCAAAATCTCGGGGGGAAAGTGAGAGGATCAATAGGGAGCATCGCACTTGCTTGTATCACTTTAGCGGTTGAGATTTGGCACAGCCTACCCCATACTTATTCGCTTTACTCTTGGGTGAATAGGCACTTACTGACCACTGTTGGGTTCACTGTTGAGTTTTATCAACAGGAGACAGTTTCCCCCATTTGTTTCTTTCTTGAAGCTGTACGCAGCTTTACAGAGAGCTCCTAGGCTGATAGGCACCCTCTGCATACTCTCTTGGTGACTGGGTACTTACATACTCTATGGATGTACTTTCTAGAATATATAGATGAGTCGGGTTTTGTGGCTTCAAAGCCATGGCAGCAAAAGTTAGTACCTACAATCATATCTGAAGGTCAAGGCGCACTTTCTCCATGTAGAGTATGGGGCTCTGAAGCGTAGTTTCCTGATTCCTCGTAGTGAACCGCAACTACGACTTCCTCTGTTCTCTATCAAGACCTCAGTCGTTAGGTCTCAAACAAAGATCTACCGAAGTACTCGCTCTATTTTAAAAGCACTGTTACTCATTGGAATTGCATTTTGTCATGTATTGCGAACGATGTTTCGTTGCATTCCTATATGCATTATTGAATCTGACTTCCATTAGGCCCAGTTCAGTTCCTTGTTTCGATATGGACAGTCGAGGGGATGCGCCATTCTGCACTGAGTGCATCCCTAGCACATTGACTAATACCACATCTACCAACGTATACCAGTTGGGGTTGAGTTGTGCAATATCCCTCAACTGTACGTTGGTGTTGGAATCGGCACCGGTCCTTTTAGTGAACTTAAGTGGCATAGCATCTCCAAAACCTCAAGTCAACCCCCCTCTCAGCGGGGCACTCGTGCTGCCAGTCTTTCAAGTGAGACTAACAAACTCACAAGGATGTGTATGCAGCTTGGAAAAGCTCATATCCATGAACTCAGATGACCCCGTACAGCTAAGGTATCATTCATCATCTGGCCCGGTACAGGAATGTAACTCACATAAGTCTTTATCAAGGCAAGATGGTCTGCAACGGATACATGCAAGTCGGACCAGAGCTAGTGAGCCATATCCGGCCGCTAGACCAGACAGTACAGCTCAAGTCTATGTCGGAAATCTTGAAAGTCGCCTGACAGTTATTCGCGACTGGATTATACGGATCTTTACGGCCAACACCACCTTGAACAATCCCTACATAAAGAGGGAAGCTTGGAAAAGGTCTATTCGACAGAAGTTCCACGATTTGAGGTTGAACTGTCAAGACAGAATTTGTCGAGGATATAACTTGGAGAAGGTTTGTACCTCAAAGAGCATGTCTATAGCAGAAAAGGATGCTTGCACTGCATGTTACCCACGAAAGAACCTGAGACTTATAGGAGATCGATGCAATGTGCACAGAACAGTGGTGTACCAAGTCCTTTATCGGGCTTGCATGTTGCTGGGATTTCTCGCAATGGTAGCTGTTATTTTGTATATGGTGCGTTCTTACAGGCGCTCGCGCAGAAGCCGAGCATCTAGGAATCTGGCAGCCGATACCTTTATATCTTCGGGTCTGCTACCTATGGCCACAACGACTTCGATTTCTGCATCCACTTATAGTGGTTTAGGTTTGCGGACAGAACACAACCCTACTATGGGCGACACCCAGTACTCCAGAGCAAATCTCTCCATGGCAGAGAGAAGGCTCAGACGTCTTGGTCTCTTTAATAGGGAGCCTCGCAAGGGGGTACGGGATGTTTTCGATCTAGAGTCGCACGGGTCCATCGCTGAGGGAAGCGGGATATTGAAGGAGAGGGTTCCTGTATTACCTCGAGTCTCAAATGCAAGCCTTCGGAGACATTGTGCGACTAAGAACATGAAGCAAGGGCCCAGGGGACCTAGTGATGAAGGCAATGGGAGTCGCAGTGGCTAGACTATGGGCACAATCATAGCAATACCTTCCAGGTACATGGACTATTTCCCGTTTAGCTACTTGCCTTACTTGCTTGGCCCAAGTCAGGCAGTGGATGGCGAAACTGAAGTCGGTAGGACCAGGGCGTTAGATTAGTAGTTTTGCCAGTATGGATATTAGGCTGAATAGGAGAATTTAGAAATTAGAGTAGGATGGTTCATGTGACCCCCTTGTGACTTCCCTTCTTCGGCCATGTGAATCCAGATCCTCCGCAGCATTTCGTACTTCCCACCGTCTCCTCTTTACCATCCATTCCTTTCCCTTTTATTAGTATCCCGGTTTTATTCAACCATCATGGGCCCCACCCCCATCTTCAATTGGTGGATTCCTTCACCTTCACTCCTAGTCCGGCCGCGTTGCCGCTGATTCGTGGAAACGTTTTGACGGATGTCTTTCGATGGCCGAGAATTTCCTCGAATCTCGACCCCGGATTTCCCCAGACTCCCCCGTCCCATTCTACTGATGCCCCAACACATCGCTTCATTCGACTTTTCCCCGGATACCCCACCACTTAGATTCCTGAGTGTTCGTTATCAAAACTGGGCCAGCATGCTAGTGCCGCCGGGAAGGATTGGTCGAGCTCGCTTGGCTCTTAACGTGGCTGGAGGGCTGCAGCTATCACGGTTGTGTCCCGTGGTTCTAATACGAATATTGTCGTCTCGTCGTCTGGTTGCCTTGTCGTTATTTCTATCAACTACCTGACGAGTCGTATCATTATATATACCCGAGGGTGGCAGTGGACGAATTCCCAATTGACCCCCTTTCTCTCATATGAAGCTTCCTACTATCTCCCCATAGACTTCAGTTAGTTACTGGGAACAGGTGACTCTTAGACCTGTCATAGTCTGATATTATTATCGAAGCTGCAACGCAGCAACCATGGCGTTCAATATCATGGGCTCCAAAAGAGCCTATAACTGGTTCGTGCATATCAGTCGCAGTCAGAATCAATACTTACTTGGGAGATTCTAGGTATATCTCCTGTGTCGCAGCAGCATGCATGGTCCTTTATGGATATGATGCATCAGTATACAACTCCGTACAAGGCTCGAAAAACTGGGTCGTCTATTTCAATGACCCAGATGACAACATGATCGGAGCTGTCAATACAGCTTATACTGTGGGTGCCATCTTTGGTGGTTTCTTCTTGGGAGGACCCACAGCAGACTTTCTTGGTCGTAAATTTGGAATGGCAATCGGCTGTGTCATGGTGATCGCTTCCACGTTCATGCAGACCTTCGCTCCTCGTGGGAACATTGCGTGCTTCCTTGCTGGGCGATGCATCATCGGTGTCGGCCAAGGCATTGCTCTTAGTAAGTCGCTTTGCTCTACATATCACGTAACTAGACGTTGAAGGCTGACTTCTCGACCGTACAGCTGCGGGTCCTATCTACATTGGCGAGCTTGCCCCGGCTGAGATTCGTGGGAAGATCATGACCTTCTGGCAAATGTTCTACTCTGTTGGTTCCTTTATCTGTTTTTGGGTGAACTACGGGTGCACAGAGCACAAGGAGAACCTGGGTGAATGGGACTGGAAGATGGTTGTTATCTTTCAACTCTTAGTTCCTTGCTTGATCCTAGCACTTATGCCGACCATTCCAGGCTCTCCACGATGGCAAGTGTCATGATGCCGATAAAGTTGTCTGTTTACTAATTATTTGTCAGGTACATTCAACGGCACAACGACGTTGAGAAAGCCCGTAAGGCTCTCCAAAAAGTTCGCGAACCTGATGAGGTCGAGGAAGAACTCCTGAAAATCCGCGAAGCTATTGAGTACGAAAAAGAGGCCATCTCTGGAAGCTACTCTGCGCTGTGGAAAGACAAGTCTCTCCGCAAGCGTATGGCTCTCGCTCTGGTCATCAATGCCGGCCAGCAGATCACCGGACAGGGCACACTGAATACATACTCTACCAAGATCTACCAAAAGGTGTTTCCCAGCGCTGGCCAGATTGCTCTCATCAATGCTCTCAATGCGACCTTTGGTATCATTTTCACGCTCAACGCTGTTTGGATCATTGATCGATTTGGGCGCAAATTTCTTCTAATTGTTGGTGGCATCGGTATGGGAATCTGCATGATCATCGTTGCAGCAGTCGAGACCGAAACCCCATCAATTGGTGCTCCCGGCTCAGACGTCAAGAGCACACCCGTCGGCATATCGATCGTATTCTTACTCTTCCTGTTCATCTTCTTTTGTATGTCCCCGTGAAAAATAGATGATCATGTCGACCGCTAACATTTGTTCCAGATAAACCTTCCTGGGGAGCTACTGTGTGGATTTGGACATCTGAGATATTCTCTATGAATGTTAGAGCCCAAGCTGTGGGAATGGCATCTCAGACACAGAACGTCGCCAATGCCATCTTTCAACAGTTCTTTCCAACTTTCCTCAACAACTGCGGCTTCTACGCCTTCTATATGTTTGCGGGTATCAACTTTCTCCTAGCAGTGTTTGTGTACTTCTTCATCCCCGAGACCAAGCAGGTTCCTCTGGAAGAGATTGATGCTCTCTTTGGTGGCGCCAACCACGTCACCCACGGCGAAGACCTTGTGATGGGTGAGAAGCAACTACAGGTGACGCAGTCGAACACGGGTAATGAAAAGGCCGAAGCAGTCACGATTGAGAATGCCCCGGCACGGCAGCACTGATATCTTGCTATAATATGTAACCTTATGGGTCTTCCGTTCTGTGCTTGAATGGGGTCTTGACGTCTCTTTGAGCAGTCAATATTGGGATGGAGATTGTCTTGTACGTTTGCTTTTACTTAAAATAACTATAGTATGCTATACCAGAAAGACGAAAGCGCCAAAATTAATGTCTTTAAAACGATGTACTTGTAAGAACCAACCATGTGGAACAGCCCCATATTTTTATACCATCCTCGAATACAGACGTGGGGAACCATGAAGGATGTGGGGAGCCTTAAGGATTGTTTCTTTTCTTTCTCTTCTCATTCTCGCCTTTTTATACACGAATAAACTCTCAAGTCTCAAGTCTCCCTCATATTTTCATTCTCAGTCAGATATAGTTTAGTGCTTGCTCTTTGGTTGAGCGCTCCAGGGTAGTTATGTAGGACCTCCATACGTCTCTATACCAGACATCTATTTAAGCAGGCTAAGCATACAGTTTCCCTCTTGGCGAAGTTAATCTTTTGGATCTGCGTCGATGGCACATAAATGGCATGTTTGCAACCTTCATGAACTGGGTAGATTTATACTTGCCCGTAGTCATACCAGATCTGTAAATGCATAAAAATGATCAACTTTTTCTTAGACCTAGTCTTAACATTACCAATATCCTGCATATAAAAATATTACACAAATACCTCCCATACCAACCCAAAAGACTCCAAGCCCCCAATCTAGTATAAAATAATATAATAACCTCAAGTCATGACCTTCGTCAGATGAAACACAACCACATAACGTCGCAATTACGTATAGCCCAATCCCCTAAACCACATCATCGCCACCAAAATGTGCCGACTTCTTCCCCCGTGCGGGATTTCGCGCTTCCGCAGTATGCGATACCATTACCTCCGTGGTGCACATGATACCCTCCGGGTCGGTGGGCGATAGGATATACTCTTCGCTGGAGTTGCTGCCATCGTTTCCGGGGTAGGTGGTGGCTGTGGTTGTGGTTGTTGTCGCTGTTGTCGCGAAGTGTCGGGAGGATGGGAGCTTCTGGTCTGCCTCGACTTCGATGCGGCTTTGGGGCGCGCTGTGGAGGGTTTGAGATTGACCTTGGCGGGAGCGGGAGAGGGAGCGGAGTCGGTATTGTTTGCTGCCGTAGGTGTTGTAGGGGCGGGTCTTGGAGTGGGAGCCATAGCTGCCGAGGACTTGTTTGAAGAGGGGTTTTAAGGTTGGGAGACTGCCAGCGATGATACCCATGTTGGATTCGACGCTGGAACGGCGTATATGTTAGTTTGGTGAGGGGTGGTGAAGGGTGGTTCTACGTACACGACCCAAATTGTGAGTGTGGAATAGTCCCAGAGGAAATCGCCCGTGCGGCCGTAGTTGGGGAGGACTGAGAGTTTGACAAATGCGGCGGCGCAGGCACTGGAGGAGACAATGTTAGAAGATCTGTTCTTAGACAGGCTACAAGGAACGAAGACTTACAAGATCCCCAGACCCAGAATACAAACCAGCGAGGCTTTGACCCGGCGATTCACCTGAAGGTGTCTGTTACGTATCCTAGCGTTAGCGCTCTGGCATTTGGCTACTGAAACCTATCAAGACACACCTTAACATAAAGGCCGGGAGGATAGCGAAGATCAGATCCGTCAAAATATTCAGCGCTGTTAACGTTAGGCAACGTGACATTAAATCAAGTATGAAGTTCTGGTTGGATCGTGTTCGTACCGGTATTGGTATAGCTCAACTCCAGCAATTGCGTTGGGGTAAAACATTTCGACTTTACCGACATGTCCCAGATACTCCGGATATCTTTACATTGGAAAATGAGGGTCTGTACGCGGGTTAGACATTTCCACCGTGTCTGGCATCGAGGAAGGGGGCGCCTGGCTCGTACCAAGAAGCAAATCGTTGTATAGAGGAGCATGAGCACTGCAAACAGATCATGCGCGTCAGAATAACCCCGTGAGCAGTAAGGAGCCTCAGCGTACCAATTATAACCCATATGAAGATCTTATAGCCCTTTCGCGGGGCAAAGCGCAAGAGGAACAGCCCAATGGAGATCTTGACGAGGCCGATCGCCCACATGTAGATGCCCTGAGTGGCGAAGTTCAAATGCATTGCAGTGGTGGCCGTGTCCTTGACATATGCTGTATGTCGCCCTGCACCATAGATAACTTCAGGTATTATAATAGCCCATCCAGCGAGAGACTAAAGTGAGGACGTCAGAATTGATGATGCAACGCAAGTGTTTCTGCATCTTACGAGCATCATGGTTAATATCATGGTATAATCCTGGATGCTGGTCAGCTTATTCATGTAATCCTAGAGCCTGAGAAATTGCTTACATCTAGGCCAACATTCCGAATGATAAACAATCGAACGTACATTCGTGCCATCACTGTGAGCAATGCGAATACGGTCGTAACCGTTGTGGCCGCAAGTATTCGAGGCGCTTGATTCTCATCCGGCAAGCCAGCGCCTCCAGGATGGGCGCTGTCAGACATGACAGCGTATCGCGCGGGCACCCCTATCACCGAGGGATCATCGAAAAAACGGTCCTGGAGACTGGACACAAGGTCGGCGAAGACGGACATCGATGGAGCTTATAGCATGGACTTTGATCCACGAAGATGAAGATCGCCAGGTTCTGTCGTACGAACTCAGAGACTTTTGCATGTCGAATTGGGAACTCAAAGTTGAGCGATGCATAAAACTGAGAAATCAAAAAAACGTGGCTCGGCCTGTGCTCGATTCGAGAGTATATCCGAAGCTTCCATGGCAAAGTCTAGAGTCCACTCAGTTCGTGGTTAACCATTAGTCTACCAACTAGCAGGAACAGCCTATTCCTGGCCAAGTCCGATTCATCTGTCTCAAACTATCTTCGTTCCTGGTTTCCGTTTGTCATCTCGGCTAAATCTCAAATATTACTCTGGAGCAGCATCGCTGTATCGGGTCGAGAGAAGGGCCCGACTGATTCATGGTTTCACACCCCTGCACAATCGATATACTGCGGTCGAAACCTGGCCAATGAGATAGGCACTGGCGATAGTAGACTCGTACTTCGTGATACTAAGTAAGGGCTAGGGCAAATGGGTCAAGTCCGGAATGACCGCCAGGTGGGTCATCGAGTGATTGTGCCAGGCCACAGTCCAAGTGGATAGCCCAGACTATTGGGAATTTGGGATTCCTCAAGGCTCAGCACTATCGACCAGCGCCACGAGGGGCATTCTCGTATAGTATTGGAGCTGCCTCGACTCTTTGAGAGGTACCCTCATATGGCAGACTGCCGCAATCTCCGTCAGTGGAGCGTATCGCGGCTCCTGACTTGTGGACGACTCTCCAGTTAGGGCCAATGTGCAGATTACCGACATCTTCCACGAGTTGATTAAAGTTCTGACTGGGGACTGCGAGGCCAAGGAATCAAGTTCCCGCCCAAAAATAAGGCACAATACTCTACTTGCATTGAGTGAAACAATTGCAGCACAATCGATATAACGGTTATGCTGATCCCTTCCAATCGTGAAAGCATTCAATCATGATTTTGTGCTGAGATCTTCAGGGTACGATCGGTGGAGAGCAAGGACGGGATTCAAACTTGGATCACAAGCTGACCCAATAAATGGGGGTTGGGTCGAAAGTTGGCACAACTGTGAGGTCTGAAGGACGGAAGATTATTGGGAAGTTGGGAGATTGGGAGATCCACCCGGGTCACCGAGTCCCGAACCCTAATTAAATCCGTCCAACTCCAAAGTTTGACTGGAGTCACTGGACAGTCACTGGACCCCGAGGGATATTTTCACTTACGTACAACTACATCCAATGTCCTCTGCATTAACGACTTCATGTCATTACTGTCATGCATTAGGGTATAAAGTTCATTCCCCCTTGCTCTCCACACGCCGCATAATACAACTACATCCCTCTGTTAGAAAAGAACAACAATTGTGTGAGAGAAAGAGAAGACGTCAAACCCCATCACCATCAGCACAGATCAATGCCGAGGTCCAACGCTCACTCATATTTCGGAGTCCTGCAAGGCTCCACTTGGCCGTCCTCCCCAAATTAGGACATTGCTGCGCAATAAATCTCTATTCGCTGCAACGGTCAACGCAGGGTGGCAGTCGTATCCTGGAATGGCTCCACTCACCGGGAGTGGAGTCAAGCCCAAGTCCAGCCAGCATCGCCGTCGATGGTTTTAACTTTCATGCAGTATCAATGCTTTCCGGCCCTTCCCACCAGCACGAAGAGCACCGGATGGTCCTGACTAATCCTTTTTCCTGAGCCAGACTCAGCCAGTCGCTTCGCCCCGACAGGAAATCAGGGCTTTTGTCCTTTTTTTGCCGGTCATCCGAGAACTAGCTGCAGCAATGGGGCCTTCGAGGAGCTGAACCACCACTCAGGGCGAACGAGATCAATATCAAGAAATGGTACGATAGCTGGATGCATACTTAGCTCGGAAATTTCAACACTTCGCATGGTAATTCGTGCATCTGTGCGTCTTCGGGATTCTCGCGGCATCGTAGATAGGCCCAACTCGGCCGTGGCCAAAAGCTTTATATTGACTATCCTTCCCGAATCCGTTGCGCTTCTGCCAGTATCCCCTCTCAATCCTTCTTCACCCTCAAGAGTCTCAAAATGGTCGCCCTTCAGGCTCTCAGTCTGGGCTTGCTGGCTTCGCAAGCCTTGGCCTTCCCTGCCGCCTCTCAGCAGGCTGCTACTGCTACTCTACCTACCACGGCGTCCAGCTCAACTGCGGTCGCCTCATCCCAGCTCGACCAGCTGGCCGACTTTGCGTACAACGTCACCACCGACAGCGTCGCCGGCGGCTCTGAGAGCAAGCGCGGGGGCTGTACCTTGCAGAATCTCCGCATCCGCCGCGACTGGAGGGCCTTCTCCAAGGCCCAGAAGAAGGACTACATCAACTCCGTCCTGTGCCTTCAGAAGCTGCCTGCACGCACCCCGGCTGACGTGGCCCCGGGCGCCAGAACTCGTTATGATGACTTCGTAGCCACCCACATCAATCAGACCCAGATCATTCACTACACGGTATGTCACCAAAGAGGCGGCCTTCCATAAGATGACATGAGATTGATCATGGCATAGGGTACTTTCTTGGCTTGGCATCGCTACTTCGTCTATGAGTTCGAGCAGGCGCTGCGTGATGAGTGCAGCTACACCGGCGATTTCCCGTAAGTCTACCTAAGTATTCCTCTCGGGTTTCAATGTACACAACTAACGATAAACCCAGCTACTGGAACTGGGGTGCCGATGCCGATAACATGGAGAAGTCTCAAGTCTTCGACGGCAGCGAGACCTCAATGTCAGGCAACGGCGAGTTCATCCCCAACCAGGAGAACATCCAGCTGCTCCTCGGTAACTACCCAGCCATCGAACTGCCCCCCGGCAGCGGCGGCGGCTGCGTCACCAGCGGTCCATTCAAGGACTACAAGCTGAACCTGGGCCCAGCCGCTTTGTCCCTGCCCGGCGGAAACATGACCGCAGCTGCCAACCCCCTCGCCTATAACCCCCGCTGCCTGAAGCGCTCCCTCACCACTGAGATCCTGCAGCGATACAACACCTTCCCCAAGATCGTGGAGCTCATCCTCGGCAACAACGACGTTTGGGACTTCCAGATGACCATGCAGGGCATTCCCGGCAGCGGCTCCATCGGCGTGCACGGCGGTGGCCACTACTCCATGGGCGGCGACCCCGGTCGCGACGTTTACGTGAGCCCCGGCGATGTGGCCTTCTGGCTTCACCACGGCATGATTGACCGCGTGTGGTGGATCTGGCAGAACCTGGACCTCCAGAAGCGCCAGAACGCCATCTCCGGTACCGGTACCTTCATGAACAACCCCGCCTCGCCTAACACGACTCTGGACACTGTTATCGATATCGGCTATGCCAATGGCGGGCCCATCGCGATGCGCGATATCATGAGCACCACTGCTGGTCCTTTCTGCTACGTGTATCTGTAGATGGAGACCATTCCACGCTACCATTTCTGTTTCTATTCTTAGCCCGGGATCCCACGGACAAAAAGTCATCATAAATAGACAGTCAACCTATGTACACAAATGACTAGTATAATAATAGACCCATCAAATTGTATATAACCACCATTCCTACAATCCCACCATGCTAATCGATCCCTCAAAAAACTTAAAAGTTCCACCCAAACGTAGCCGAGATCTGACCCTCGACTACGGAGTAATATCCCCCTGGAACCCCAACTCCAGAACTATCGACGACAGAACCTTGGGAGCATAGGCCAACCGAGCTGCATCTGAACCACGGTTGACCCCGAAAATGTCTCATAACACGATGTTTAAAAACTGGGGCCGGGCTCTCCTTGGCATGGACTTTTTCATATTAGCTTTTGTTGCCATCCATGGATGGGCTTATTTGCTGTGCTTACTTTTTCCGAGGCGGGCGTTCTCAATCAGAGTTGTTCGATCGATTTATGGAAATGGTTTGTTTGGGAGATGGATAGATACACTGGGTGTAATTCATTATGTAGCGAGTATGGTTCATATATCTTCTGAATTGGTTTACCAAGTGCATGGGGTGTTCACCTATTAATGTCTGACAACGAGACGAAGCCCTAGACTGGGTACACCAACACTCAACATCTTCTGTCCTATCATCCCCAGATCCACAGGAGCAGGAGAGAGAGAGAGAGAGAGAAAGAGGGAAGATGAAGAGATCATCCCTCCCAAAAACCACATTAGACTCAACCTCGCACATACATCGGCGAAACCAACCCATGAATCCCCACAGATCAACACCACCACATGGTTAAGCCGATCCAGATAAGATAGTCTAGTCAATCAATACCTCAATTGTGGTCTTTCCAGGCCGGCAAACCCATCCAACCAATCAATCACCGTATCTCCCATCTAACGTACTGGTATCTAACGATCATCACTTCCTCTTCCGCCCATCAGCAAGCAGCATCCCCGTCTCGCGTTCCTGGCGCCGAATGTACCAAAAACAGATCCCGTAGAGCAGGTCAAAGCCGAGGAAGGCAGCACAGCACCAGAGCATGAGGGGCTGGCCCAGGAAACCGAACTTCTCGGGCCAGTATTTCACGCGCAGGTAGAATTCGGGGACGAGGGTTAGGGAGCCTGAGAAGCGGAAGAACCTGTTTTCATCATTCAGTGGGGATTGTTTTGGGTTGTGGTTCTTGCTTTTTTCTGTCTTTATGATGGAGGTGAGGAGAAAGGGGTATACACCCACCACAAATCCATCGCAAATCCCCTCGTACTTCCCCGGTGGATTAAGTTCCCAAGATATCCCACGCTCAGCACCGCCTGGCACACAATCGCGTTGATGAAGAACGCCTTCTCAGTTCCCAGCTCTGAGGCTGCGCACAGATGCAGCGCAACAGAGACTGCCGTCCCGACCACATAGTACCAGAGGAGATGGCGCTGTACCAGGGGGGAGCGGTCCCACTCTCGTGCACCGTGGGAGATGGCCGCCCAGACGACAATGCAGTTTAGGGGCACGGTGACGAGGAAGGTCGCGCAGACCTTCCAGTCGTGGATGAACATGAGGCCGAAGGTTAGTTCCCAGGCGATGTTGAGACATTGAGAGTAGAGGGGCATGGCGTAGGACTTGTCTTTGATGGAGCGGTAGATCATACCGAAGTAGACGTAGAGCCAGGAGGCGTTATTATAGAGGTTTAGGCAGATCATTGGAGTGGTGTAGGCTTGGATTTCGGGGGGTCCGTTGGTGAGGTCGAAGCTCTCCATCTTGCTGGTTGTTTGGTGGTTGGTAGTGCGGATATGGGCTCTATGAGGGTTGGTATAGTATCTCCTAGGGCCCCCCTTTATACTATAAGGTCGGAACAGTCGATTGCATAACCAGCATAACTCATCTTAACCTGTACTCCATCACTTGTGCTACAATCATCTCCATATTGGGATGACGAGAGATACACAATCCAGCATTCGGAGAAACTCTCAGGCGCATGACATCCAAGCCGACTAGTCCGAATCCCAATCTCTTGTCCCCCTCATTCGAGGGCTTAATTCTCATTGCTCGTGTACCGCGCTCATGGCTGATCGTGGCGTCCAAGTTGGGGAGCCAATACGATGTCCCCGTCAGATATTGCCAATGTATCCCAGACTAGTAGACGCTTTAGTTTGACGCAGTGTGTCATAAGGTCCTCAAGCTGAGCTTGGAGTCTCCAGTCGTGCCGGGAGGTCAGATCGTATGTGGAAGTATATACAGACATCCAGGCATCGTGCACCGTGCACCGGACAGGTCGGAAAGACGCTGTACCGAATGCGAGACGAATATACAGGGATTGACCAGGTTTGTTGACAAACTCCAGCGACTGAGGCAGACTCGATTGTCGATGAGAGTGACAATTGTCATTCTAATGGCGTGCGGGGTCAGTAGTCAGATTTCAAATTAACCCAGACCGTGTACGTATATATGTATGAATGCATGTATAAAGCCTGAAGGTTAAGGTACGGTGGTTGGGCAGAAGGGAAGAGGGTCACGCGTTTCTATAGAAGCGCCACTGCAATCAATGAACGAACACGACGACTCTCCGCCCAACTCAGTAAGTAAACGTAAACGCCGGATGATCGTCCCCAAGATTCTCCAACTCCTCCCTGGGCAACTGATACCGATAATCCCTCCCACCTCTTCCCCTCACCCGATTCTCCCTAACCAAATAGCCCAGAAACAGCACACAGGCAATCCCACAAACCCACGTCATGCCCAGACTAACCCCATACCCGGTGCGATACCCCGGCGCCTCCTCCTCAAAGAAGATATTACTGGCGACCAGCCCACCGCAATTCCCGAACCCGATCTGCATTGCCGATGCGATGCTCTGCTTGTAATGGCCTGCCATGTTGTTGCTAAGCCAGCCCATGAGGATTGGCTGCGTCAGGTACCCGCCGCTGGTGACGGCGAAGATGGCGAAGTAGCGCGCGCCGACTGGGACGGTGGATTGCGTCAACAGGATTACGTAGCCCATTGTGGCTACCAGGCAGCCGGTGAGAGTGAAGAGGTAGCGGTGGCGGAGGAGGTCGCTGAGGAGGGCGGCGGAGAGTGTGGTGATAGTTGCGACGACGTATACTGGGATGCTCATTACTTGAGCGCGGACTGCGGTCCAGCCGAGTTGGTGGAGGATGGTGGGGGTGAAGAAGGAGACGGCGTAGCCGGTGTTGACGATGCCGAAGTACATTATCGGACTATTTTGTTGGGTTGGTTAGTGAAGTTCATTTGGGATCACGAGCAATCTCCGTTCGGCGATAGATCTGATGTTTCAGAAAGGAAGAGATAGGGATGATGGTACTAACCCAAGGTAGATCTTTGGATCCGAGAATGTTCGTCGCATCGACTTCTTATCGAGTCGGTTCATTCGTGCCTCGCCCTGGTCTTCTTTCAGACGGGCGAGAAGTAGAGCTCGCTCACCATCATCCAGGAACTTGGCCGACTCAGGCCAGTCCACGATGATGAATTTGGATATCACTGCTATCACTACTGTGGCCAGGCCTTCGATGATGAAAATCCAGCGCCAGCCTTCGTACCCAGCTATTCCGGACATGTTGTTGATGGCGTAGGCGAGGAGCTGCAATCATACTAGCATCAGCACACATCACATATCAGTCCAAGGTGTAGGGTGTAGAACCACATACACCACTCACCGCGCCAGCGACGATGCTAGCGCTAAAGAAGAGGTTGAGCCGCCATTGGAGTTCGTGACGACGATAGTACATATTTATTAGGTATACTGCGCCTAAATTGATGACTATTAGATGAAGGTATGATAGAACGATGGTAGAAAGTGATAGCTTACCAGGCATGAAACCAGACTCGAAGAGTCCTATCAGTACTCGACAGACTACTAAGCCATTGAAACTGGCCGTGACGCCCTGACAGATCGTGATGGTACCTTTACAACAACGACCATCAGCATTGAAACGTTCAAGCAAAGCCTGCAGTCTTTCTCAGGCTGGGCAAGAATTCAAAGTCAATCAAGAAACGAACCCCATGCGAACATGATCCCACTCAACCACCATGATGGCTTCACCTTCTTCAGGATCATATTACTCGGCACCTCAAATAGGATATACGGAATGAAGAACACAAACAGCGCGATATTATACTGATGCCCGCTCATGCCCAGGTCATCTTCCAGGCCCATCAGCCGCGCATTGCCGATGTTGATACGGTCCAGGAAGGCGAGCATGAAGAGGAGAGTGAGGATGGGGACGACGTGGAGGTCACACTTGCGGAGAAGTCGTTTCTCGGCATCGCGATCGGAGATGTCTGGTGTTTCCGAGGAGGTTTTGATGTCTTCTATTGTGCAATCGTCTACTTTTTCGGGGCCTTTAGACATGGCTTATGGGTGTAGGTGTTCGTCTCCTGGGGAAGTGGAGTGGTTGTAGGGTTACATTTACATTTGTATGGTCATCGGGTCATTTTTATGCACGTCGAGCTGCAATGCCAGCTCCGGTTTATCCCCCGCGATGTTCAGCTCTCCCCGCAGAACTCAAAGCCGTAGAAATTCAAAATTCCGCATTTCTTACCGGTCTTCCGCCCTGGGGGGATGTTGTTCGCCAAGAAGGCGCACGGGTCTATTCGACGAAGACTTTAAGCGAGAGGATGAATGAAAAATGAGGGCGGCGAGCTTAAGTCTATTTTATAACGACGGGTCGTGGATTGGTCCGCAGATCACCCAAGAGTGCGGGGAAATTCCATGGCGATGCTGTTCTAAAATCCGGGGTTGGAGATGTATTTGGACTGCGGAACGGTGTTCCGCTCAAATGCCAGAGATGTAAGGCGCCGAGGGGGAAGAAGCTCCCCGAGGTTGGCCAAAGCCAACTCCACCTTTATATGAGATATTATCGCCTGTATACTGTCCTCCTCCACTCAACTGCTCCACCCGAATCCCCGTGACTGCCAGTCCTGGTCGTTTTATATTCCGCATTGCATTCCCAGGATGAGATTGCCACGCCTTCAAGGCGGAACACATATTCGTAGCTGTAATCAGGGTGGCTATCCTCCGATTTAAGCTCCCCTTTAGCTCGGACAACATATTCCTCGCGCCCTGATCCTCCATATTCGAGGCATGGAGAACCCACGAGTCTCAATTCGTGCGATGATTGAGGAGCTTCTTCCAGCTCTACACCCGAATTCGAATTGAGAATGAATATTTGCACCTCGCCACTATTGGTGTTAGTTTTGCCAAGCCGATAGATCGATCGAGCCGATGGCCTCAGCGTTCCATCGACTCTCTTGGCCTCGTCGTAGGTATATTCCCTTTCATACTTCGGATATGTGGGATAGGTAGGAGAAAACCTTGCCGTGCCTGTTTCCTCGCTGTCGTATATCGAAGAGACCCGTGAATAATTCCAAGTTCCGTGCAACGCTCTGAAAATAGCCCTGGTTAACCCGGCTCTGGAGGTATCACTGTCGTAGGTGAGCGTATCTCTTAAAGAAGCCAGGGCAAATTGTGACTCGGCCAGCATTGAAGGCTTCGTTTGTCCTTCAGCCATATACCGAGTAGGGAGAACCGGTCCAAGTCTTTCCCCAGCCTCTGGAAGTGGGGTCCGAGGGATTCCCATGTCCCTAGCAAGAGTCTCCATCAACCCCACGTAATCCCCCATGGGGAACTGACCCCGCGAGTTTGGATCCACACTCTTGTAGTCACGCATGCTTTGTCTTTCCTGCGCCTTGTTCTCCAATTCCTCCGCTGAGAATTGGATCCCTTGCTCGGAATCAGCTCGATACCAAGATTCTGCAACTCTCCGCGCTTGCATTTCCATGACTCCCCAATAGGGCCCTCGGTAGAGTCCCACGAATCCCAGATCCGGGACTTCTGCATTGGAGGTGCCTTTTTCATCCAGAATGAGAGGGAAGTAAGAGTCTTTGGCTGAATACTCAAGTTTGGAAAGTACGTCTTCTGGAAGAAATGAGAGGGAGGCAAATGGCGTGAACCCCGTGGCTGTGATTATAGCTGCGACGTTTTCGAGAGTGGTCATTTCACCACCAGGACCCTTAATATCAATGTTTGCCTGGCCGGACTGTGTGCAGTTTACAGCACAAACACGTCCGATCGTAGGACGTACTGAGCCCGATTGCACGTACTCTGCGTAGTCGTCGCTTATGGCTATCAATGAAGGTTGTGTATCATTTGTACCATCGCGAGAGCCAACGCCGATATTCCCATAACCTGCATGTTGGCCACCTAGCAGAGAAAGAAAGTATTCATTAAACTTGGTCTCTTGCTGGGACGAGACAGGCCCAAAGGTATACTGGACTGGCCCCGGGGGACGTCTGGCCAGATCATGCAGGACAAGGTCCAGGGGTAGGAACTGGACAGATTTTGCCTGGGTGTCGTCTTGCGCAGCAGCGTATGGCAGATAATAGGGTATAGTCCAGAAGGGTCGTGTACAGATATGATGGACTTCGTAGCCACGATAATGGGAGGCAGTAGCACTCATACTGGAAAGAAAAAGTGCAAGCGCTGAGGCAGCCTCAGCGCCCGATATACTCCCTCCAATGACGACCAATTTACCATTACCACTCTTGGTGGCACCACAATTTTCAAGCATAAGGCGTATATCCTCCTTGGTGTGAATGGTGGAGCTGTGAAACACTCTCTCGGCAAAACTAGGTAATCCTGGGATATCTGGGGTGTACGGCGTTGAGAAGTAGCCAGAAGCGACAACGAGGTAGTCAAAGGTTTCTGACTGCACTCCCTGATCCGTTGAGCTTTCTTTTCTCCCATTATCCCTGTCCCTTCCAGTTAACACTCGTCAAAGAATGCATGACCGAGACAAACCTTTCCAAGATCCATTGTATGGTCCACGACGGTCTCGAACTTCCGCTCGTCTCTCGCGTCGATCTAACCACCTTATGTCCCAGCCTCAGAGCCTCCTGAGGTATATAGCGTTCCGCATATGTCTGCAAATACTTGCCCGCTTGCCAGGCCTGCGGGAACATAGGAATATCCGGGCCATCAATGACTGACTCCCAAGCTAGATCAGAGAAGGTCACGGTGAATCGACTCTGATTCGTCGGCATCGACGGGTCCACGAACCCATCGCGAGGGCGTTGTCGAGGGGTTGTTGTTCCATTAGTGGTGTCTTGGGGATCAATCGGCCAAAGACCACCTATTTCATGACGCTTCTCGAAGATGGTGGGAGAAAAGGTTCCCTTGGGGTAATTGTGAAGGAGGGTTTTGGCAGCCACTAACCCCGAGGGCCCCGCTCCTGAGGTCAGTCAGCAGATGATCTTATCGGTAATTCAGTGAGACAATTCTCTTCTGTGAGGATGCTGGTATGATACCAACCAATTATAGCAACTTTCTTCGGTCGGGACATCGCTGCTGTGGGCTTGAAGTCATGATATTGTATTATTGTTGCGCCCCGAGTATTAATTACCCCTCCTTTTAGTGGATCGAGGGGACCTGACCCGGGGCCTTGGACTTTGCCTAAGGCGGCTTAATGTGGACGCTGCTGCATATTCCTGCATGCTGTGGCAGCTTTTTACTGCATATTCTGCCAGGGCAGCATGAGTGATGTACACAAGCGGCTATGTATATATAAATGTATATATGTATATATCTCTTTGCGGTGAGATATGCTCCTCTATTCAATGACCATTCAGGCAACAAACAACCAAAATTGAACAAGTGCTATTAATTAGTAGGAAAGTAACTGTCTACAGTTGGAACTCCATCCATGCAGCGGGTATCGGCTAACAAATCAAAGTGTAAAGAAGAGGAAAAGTAAGGTAATAATAAAGATAGAAGCATATAGGGAGCAAGAAATGAAGGTAGGGAAGAAAATAATAAAAGACGCGGCCTGAGCCGCGGATCGAACGCGGGACCTCTCGCGGGTATGCTTGGGCCGGGCTTCTTGCTGAAAAGACTGCCTTGTGGGAGGCAGGATGTTGGTCTCGCACAGTAAGACTTGCAGCACTGTGCATGACTTGGCGGCCGCGCCCAGTGCAGTGACGTTGATGCCAAGGATAGATTTCGAACTCCACTGGAACATAGCCCCTTAACACCATACCATGCATTTCCCAACTGAGACTTTTGGGAGGAATTTCCCATGGCATTCCCGGTCCCCGACGCGTAAGCGACTGATGATCAATACCGACTTTTGGGTAGAGGTCGAGTCGTTCCAATAAAGCATGTCGACGACAAGAGCTAATAAGAATCGAGGGTAAGGCGAAAGTGTCGTCGATCATCGGAAGGCTGTCAATATGCCAGTCGCTCAAGCCACGCGGAGACATGCAACTCGTTGCTATGCTTCTCGGGGTAACAGGCTTCGGTGAACTGCTGTTCCGTGACGAACGTGTCGACGTTTCTTTCCGTCAAGGGAATCTTGTAACGGTTCTTCTGCCTCAAGAGTTCCCTCTCTGCGCGTGCTGAAGGTGACAGCTTATGTAGAGTGTTGCGGATTCGCCGGATGCCACCCTCGGGGAAGTGTATGTGTGAAATGCGAGGCGGGCCGAACGGCGTCTCAACCCGCCAGGGGTCCTCAGAGGCGATAGACCGAGCGTTCTTCTTGCGTTGTTGGGAACGGAATTTGTTGGACATCCTGACGATTAGATGAGACCGGAAATCGTAGAGTGGAGAGGTTGGCAATGTTCATAACTCAAGCAGAGCAGCAAGAAAAAGGGGGGGTGGTGAGGAAGGCTTGAGGGTGTAATATATATGTTGGCGGGTCCACTGGAGGGGCTCACCTAGTAACTTTGGGCGAGACGTGAATCCCGCCGCAAGAGCAATGGGAGGTGCGGGGACTCTTTCGCTCTAAACCTTGCGCAGGGCGACTTCCCAATGCAGCGGCTCCGAGGAGATACTAGTTCGTAGCATGCCGAGAAGATGTGGAGAGTGACACCCAGGGATTTGCAAACTGGTCTGCCATCGACTTGGCAGTTAAAGTAAAGTTCTGGTGATCGTTGACATTGACTTTGCCTTCACTGTGTCGATTTCCCGGACGATCTTGACCAGGAGACAATTCACTGCGGCTTTGCAGTTCCACCACAAGGTGTTACTTGGGGTATGATTGTTGCTGCGATAATAGCCGGATGGTGCTCAGAGAGCTATAACATCATTGGATGACTTGGACATCCCCGCTTGTTACTAGTCGATCCATCACCATGTCGATCATCAGGAATGGACTCGAACCAAGACTTTGGGGGTGATTTGGCTGAAGGACAAGAGTAACAACGTCCACACACGATCACGTGGCACAGCCCCAGTTGATTCAGTACACGAATCATCACAGTTGTGTCGCGCAGCTTAATGTGCCTGGTTTCCTTCTGCATGTTCCACACAGCCAGCCGAAGAGGGTGGCGTTGAATGAAGTAAGGTTGACTTGCTCTACCAGTTAAGCACTGCGTATGGTAAGCCGCCGTCATTACGAAGGACCCGTCCGCAATCGGATAAGGATACACGGTGCATGAAGGATGTCTTGGCGTGGTAGTGATCACCGTCATGGGGTTCACACAATGGGGGCTAATTATAGTATGACTTGCCTCTGACTACAATAATACAATTTGAGTTGTACAGGACACAGGCAACTGTTATATTAGAAGTAGTGGTCTGGCCATCAGTTATGAAACCGATAGAAGATAAGGAAGAAGAGAGATGTATCGTAGAGTATCTTAACTTTTTTTTTTTTTTTTTTTTTTTTTTTTTTTTTTTTTTTTTTTTTTTTTTTTTTTTTTTTTTTTTTTTTTTTTTTTTTTTTTCTTTCACTTCGTAGTACACAAACGTCATCTTAACCGAAAGTGGAGTCAGATTCTATCATTCACCCATCAAACTTTTGTTCACGGGTACATACGAGTATTTGGTTCTGATGTTTTATCTTCTTCGGTAATCCTTCCCTCTTGAATTTGCAGACCATTTGATCTCCAAATGGTCATGCTAGAAAGGCCTGGAACACGTCTAGAAAGCAGAGAAGAATTTCCGAGTGCGGGGTATGTAACGAACGGCCCTCCATGGGTGTCTAGAATGACCCTGCGATTTAATTAACATCTCCGAGGGAGGGTGCGTCGGGAACGCGGCAAATCTTCTGATTGGATAGTGAAAGTCAGAAGACTCAACATGCATCCTACCAGTCGTGGTCAATCCGATCCTTGGGAAGTGTGTAACTCCTTTGGGAAGGCAAACATGCGTGCACAATCGCCGTCTCTTCATTGGAAGTCCGGGTCGATTGACTTTGGGATAGGATTTTGGTCCGCTGTATATTCAGGTTGCAGTGGCATGAGTATGTATACTACTGCTTGTAGTAGTAGTAATACTACCCAGCCTTATAGCTTGTAAACAGTCCTTTTCTCTTTCCTATGTCTGTCACTAGACTCCACTCCATGGCGGATTTATTCTTATACTACGGTCAAAGCTCCTACCTAGCAATGGATCTGGCCCGACTCGAAATGTGCGCTGGATCTGAGAAATAATCGCAGTCATAAGCATACAGTTATACCACCGCACTCATCACTTGATACACATTATATGGCATTAATCATTTCTAGTCGTCCGATGCAAAACAGGACCCCGTACACTTTGGAGAATAGTTAATTAAAACGCAGAAGGAACTTTTCTTGCCAGATACGGATTCCTCTAATACATATCAGGCCGAAGCCGCCGATTCTGCGAGTCAACCTCTACGAAATTAATAAATCTTTGACACTCATTCCGATCTTTCTTTGAGTGTCTTGCAAGGAGTACTGACGATCTTCCGGGATAGGCTTAGCATGCTCTTCATGCGGCGAGCCTACACTGCCGCGACAATCCCGATTCAACATGAGCAGTGCCGCCGATGCTTCATGGTCCATCTCTGCTGAAGACGCATGCCGAATCTGCGGCTGGAGCACCGGTGAGGGATTGGTAGATGTTGCTGCCCAGGATCCACGGGACGACCGTAGAGCGCCATCGCAAGGGTGGGTCGGGCCCAACGCTGGACTCGGTAGGATTGAAGAGAAATCTATAGCTGTGCCCGTTGAGGGGATACGACTGCGAGGCGAAAACGCCGGTGAGGTTACGTTGGTAGGACATCCACTGGGAAGTATGTCGGGAGATACGGAAGCCGAGTATGTACTGCCGGCAACTTCTCCTAGCACCTCGGGTGACGACGGCGAGGGAGGAGCAGGTGGCATGCGTTGGGGAACCGTCGTTTGACTGTCCCCCGCAGTTTTAAGATCATGTATACATTGCTCTAGGTAATTGACGTAGTCGATGCTTGCCTAGAGTCCAAGACCCATTAGTTAACCAAATTAGGATATGTAATGCGAGTGATTACCAACCTGCAAAATGGCAAGCTTGTGCATATCCTGACCCCTACAAGCCGGGATCATGTCTTTCAGGGTTGCAAATTCTTCATTCATCTTAGACCTCCTTCGCCGTTCAATCAAGCTATGCGCCGTCTTGCGAGCAATCTTTCGACCGGCAGCGCTCGTAGCACTTGGCTGTTTCTTCTTGGAAGCGGCAGGAGGCGTATTGTTATTGTTGGAGGTGCTTTTGCCACTTTCCTTGGAGGGCTTATTAATGGTGGGTGCTGGCTTGGTTTGGCCTTGAGTCTGTGTCTTGGGCTTCATTTGGATGATTTTGCGGGTGCGAGTGGGAGGGGGTGGGAGGTCAAAGTCTTCTAGTGGTCGTTTGATACCCGTTTGACGGGGAGGGTTTGCACCGCGTCTCATATTGAGATCTGGAGAAGTTGGGGAAGCCGGAAAATACGCCGACTGGTCCGACTTGGATGACCTGCGACTGGCACTTTCCATCTTGGCTGGACTCATAGCAGCTGGCGGCAATGCAAATGAGTCGACAGCATCCACGGGCACTTGGTCCTTGACTATCAACTCTCCCGACATTGCCGGAGTGGGTGGTAGACGAGAACGTGACATCTCTTATGTTCAGAGGAAGTGGGAATGTCTCCAAGAAGGTCTGATGACACTTCACCTTGAAAGAGAAAAGGAGGAACTGAGACAGAACTGAGGACTAGACCAGTATAGTAGGACTATAGTAGGACTAGGTAGGACAGGACCGGGGGTCTCGTCTGAGTGATAAAGAGACGTGGAGTGGACAATGCAGTGCGTGAAGGACGGACAGGTAGGTAAGACGAGGAATCAGCAGGCAAAGGGGTAGATAAGAGCGAGCAGGGAGGGTTTATCTCCTCAAAAGGTACATGGGAGAGGTTACCCCGAAGGAACAGAGCACGAATAAATTGGATGAACGGATCCAAGGAAAGGCACCGGCATGGTGGAGAGCAACGGGAAAGAGCCGGAAAGGATATTTGAGTGCAGAAAAGGGCAGAGAACGTTTGAAGGGAGTGGGATTGCGGCGATAGAACGACCAGCAGCTGGATGATCGACGGGACTGGGAATTGGGGATCGAGGGAAGCTGTTGCTTTAGGTTGACCTCTGGGACTGGTGTCGCGTGCTTGGAGAGCCCACGCGGTACCATTTCCCTCTCTGATTGGGCAGGGGTCGTAGGGGATCACGGGAAGGGGGGCACGAGACTTGGGCTGGCCAGAGCCAACTCTCCTATCGCTTTGGGGCTCGTGCTCAGCTTCACTCTTCTTACTCCCTGGTTTCAGTGCAGTGATCCTTCCATTTGCAACAACCCCTCCCTCTGCTCCTCTTGGGAACGGAGCCATGAGGGTGGAATGGACATGCTGATTGGTACTACCACTTTAAACGTCCCTGAAGTTAAACTATCCAATTCCGACGGTTACCACTAGTCGCACCGCAGACATCCTGATGTCCATACATACATCTGCATGGCATGTGTCCTCTTTCTCCTTTCCACTTCCAGTACGACATCAACAAGAGACGAAGTGGGATCAATCCAACCAAGGACGCTCCACCCTATCCATGTATATTACATCACATATTATGGAATCCAAATCGCACAATCCCCTGTAGCCCTAGTTCTCTGTTGCTGTACCCCTATCGCTCATGGATGATCCCCCAAGGAACCTACTTAGGTAGTACTAGTAGTAGTCCTATGGCGAATCGCCCGTCCAGACGGGCATCAAAGCACGTGCGCACCCTCCATCCAACCAGTGGATCTTCTCCAATCCTTCCGGAGAACTTTACAGGGAGCCACTGCGCTTGGGATATTGCCAATCCACCCCCGATCCTTCTGCCATTGGCTAACAACGCTTAATACACCCGGAATATGAGTCCCAGCTTTGCCACTGTTAGCGATCGTCTCACATTGCGCGAAATATAGTGCGCTTTTAAAAGCAAACCAAAGCCACGTACCAGAAGTTCGCTTCACTAGGGAGGGCTACTACACAAGCCAGGCCACCTAGCGCGCAGGCCTGAGTGCAATTTGACATCCCGCCGGTACTCAGTGTCCCGTTGGTCGGCGTCGCATGGAGACTCGTGCTGTCAGTAGTGCTGGGCTCTTGAACCCCCGTGCGAAGAATGGAGGTCGAATTGAGGACGCCAATGAGTGCGTTGAGGAGGCTTTGCTTGTTCATTGTAGATGTTGGGGACCCGGGAAGTCGAAAGCAGCTGCCTAGATGTGTTTTGTCTGATGGATTTATTCTTCGTCCTCCAAATCAATATTCAGGTAGGTATCGCAAGTACCGTACAATACCTCTCCGCAACTCTCCTTATATAGACCTTCCTTTCCCCAAAGGTAAGCTTTCTATAAACAAACGTATCCCCCACCTGGCTTCCCATCAATCCCTCCGCATTCCTGTACTATTTGCCAGATTCTCTCATCGATGTAGGTGACCACCTATGGCATTGATATCATTCTTGGGCGCTTCGCCTTCCAAGGTGGGCACAAAGTTGGTAGTGTGCTGCGTATCTTCTGACCAATCGGGACATTATATTAGTTCGAGTTGTCCGCTTGTCAACGCCCTACAGGCCCAGAACGCCACTCGGTATATCTAACTGGGGCATGGAATGTCAATGACTGCCGTCCACTGACGGACAGCAGCTCAAGGCATTGCTACCATTAAGGAACCAAGTTCGGCCTGATAGTTCACGAACGATCAGGTATGCAGTATGTCATATTCCATGGTTTACCGCATCAACATCACACACCGACACTTTTCTGAAATCGCATACTCTTCCCAGATGACAGGGGGGGGAGAGAGAGAGAGAGAGAGAGAGAGAGAGAGAGAGAGAGAGATTTATTATCCAAGCCTCTCGAAAGCTTGGACCGAGAATAACTTCAGCTAGTCTAGACTTCAGTCCTTGCATTCCATCTTGACATTGAAGCTTCGAGACAAGCCTCTACCAAGTATACGACGAGAAACCCACTTTACCGTCTTGGTTTGTTGTCATGGACGATGTGGGTTTCAGGCAAGAATTTGTGGCGGCTGCAAAGCTGTCACCAAAGCTTAATTGCTACGCCTATTGAAGTATCATCAGTAACATTCCGGTCAACAATTGAACGGAGACTAAGACTATTTCTCTCGAATATGTGTCAAGCATGCTATATAATTTTTATCTTTATTATTGTTCAATACATACGACCATAGGGTGTGGAGAACAGGGCTTCCCGTCCGCTCAGCCGTACTTAAGCCACACGCCGGGAGGTTAGTAGTTGGGTGGGTGACCACCAGCGAATCCCTCCTGTTGTATGTTTTTGTTTTTTCTTCTCCTTCTCATCAAGCATTCTTGTTGTTTATCTGTTGTTTGACTTCACATAGTCCCTGGGGGGCGGAGGAGGGGGGGAGGGGTAATGGCCTGCATGCGAGAGATTACGACAAGCCTATCTCGTATCCATGGAGTTTCTCAGGCAACAGATATATACTTCCATTCTATCATCGTACGTACGGTATATATATAATCGTATCTACATTCTAGCCTTCTTCAAACACTACAGCCACTTCAACTGAACAACCGCTCAAGGAGGACAGCCCCGAAATTATTCTCGACCGGCGAAGCATCCATCCTCCAGACACGGTTTCCGGCTCTCGAGCTCAACCAGAGGCCATGATCGCTGGAGTGTTCCTCGTCGCCTTCGATGCGGTGTCTGTTTCGTCGGTCAACGACACACAGACCCCGGGTCCACTGTCCAGTGGTCTCAATCCGGATATCCTCCGGCGAGGTCGCGGTGGGCTTCCACCGGTCATCATCTGCGGTAATGGCATACCACACGCAGACGGGGTCATGCAAACTGAGCTCGACATCATCGCCCACCCGGCCCGTATGCAGACTCTCGACCGTGCGGAAAGTGTGGGCCATGAAGGCCGACACCCACTCGGCCAACGGCGAGCCTTTCTCCAGGTGCGGAGTGACTTTCTCACGGAACAGGCCGCGCGAGACGCCGTGGCGGAGCGTGATGTCCAGCGGGAAAATGCGCAGGGTGAGCTGCTTGCTGAGATTGGCGGGGTACTCTGGTAGACTTGAGTTGGTTGGGGTAGTGGTTCTGGGTGAAGGGGATGTCAAAGCATAGACCCGTGCAGCTGCAAATGCGTCGGCATAGGCGTTGAATTCAGCGGCCGGTGTTACCTGTGTGCAGTGTTAATCTCTGGTGACCGACTTTGTCTCACGGAAAAAGTGTCCTTACATTTCCGGGTTCGTTGACAGCTCCGCCCATCACCACCACTTCCTTGACACGCAGGAATGTCTCCGGATCAGCTGCAGAGGCCAACGCGAGGTTGGTCAGAGGTCCAACTGCCACCAGAGTGACGGTGTCTGGGTCGTTTTCACGCAACACACGGAGTATCTCCTCATGTGCCCGACGCTTGGATGGGATGAATGACGGGCGTGAGGAGGTGCCCTTCGGGACGGGTTCGACTTCAACTGGATCCGCGGAAGGATCAAAGAGATGCTCCCAAGTCTCCTTAGGAGTCAGATGGGGGTGCTGGCGACTTCAATCAGTAAGGCTCTCGCGAGATTGGAAGTAGCACGCTAACATACGCTGGCATGGATTCCTCCCAGACCATCGGTTCCATCTACAAGAAGTCAGCCTGGCAAAAATCACCCAGCAAATTGAGATGACCGAGAAACGTACGGAAATAGTCCGCCAGCATCTTTTGATCCTCTAGGGGATCCTCAGCACCAACCGCAACGACAGGCGGGGCGGCGCGCAGGGCACCAAACCCTTCAGGACGGCCCTGCTCCCGACGCCATTGCATCTCTCGTTCAAGGATATGGAACATCGAGACGACATTGCGAAGACAGCTACTCGTCTCAGTGTTGATCGGTAAGATGCCTGCACAATAGTACTTACCTTCTCACTTCAATATTACCGAAGGTCAAGGATATCAGCAGGACTTCAACCTCCTCTGGTGTTGCAGACAAGGCGAGTAGAAGACCGAGGATATCATCGATCCCCTTCGAAACTACAAATCAGTACTTTGCTCAGCGGGGTACGGGCAGCAGAGAAACATATATATCTCACGTACCGGGTCAGTATCAATGATGATCTTCTTAGGTGCCATGATCTAAGCTTATATCTTCTAGACCAACCGTGACTGCGACACGAAAATTATAGAATATTGTGAACAAAAATTGTCAATACTGACTTTATAGCGGAGAAAGTTGATTTGGAGCCAAAGTGGGATGGTCTTGGCTTTCGTTATCACTGGTTCTCCACCATTAGTCATTGACCAAGGCCTTGCCAGGCACTCAGGTACAATACTAGTAGTAAGTAGTAGAACATTACTGGACAATGTTGATGTGACTGTATTTAGTGTATCGAACGAAGATTCCAACACTTCGGAATTCAAGAAGCATTGCCATAGTCTACGAGTATCCTACTTCTAGTACTACTTGTTTATCTATCTATCGACTATCTAGGCATACCTCCACCTGACGACTCGGAACGATGCCGTGAAGGGTGGACAACAGTAGGCCAAACCAGGTTTGGTTAGTCCAACTTCTGGAAGCTCGTGATGCTTTAGTTTTGAAACCCGCAGAGGAAACACCGAATACAGAATTACCACGGTATGAATCTGCTTGGAGAAATATTCTCTAATGGCCAGGGAACTTTTGTCACCCAAGGGGGGTTCAGAGACGTACACAACTCCACGGTCCCCAAGCCTCCAGGTCGGCTAGCGACAGCCATCGGGACTATTAGCGGTTCCTCAACGTGCTATTTGTCAAGTTCCCCATGGTCCTCCCGCAGGAGGGTTGGACGACGTTACATTTACTCACTCTAAGCAGGCAACCGAGCTGTCTACTCAGTCTCAGTAAGAAAGATGCTGCGGACTCAAGGAAGCCTCGTGGCTCCTTGTATGTACAGACCCAATATGCATGAGGTTGGGATGACTCTTTCAGTGTGGCATGAATGGTTGGTCCCTTGCAAGGGATTTATTTGTTGAAGCGCTGAACTGAATTCCTCTCCTTTGTCTTGAATCTAAGCGTAAGAATGATATTGAGAAACGGGTAAACACCGGAATTGAGGCGATGTGGCCTGTTCCCGAGTTGGCACGTACCGTACCATACATACATTACCTACACAGGTGCTTCGTCTGAGGACTCTAAGAGTCCGTACTAATACTCCTAGTACTCATTGTGAATACCGGCCTGTACGGTAATATTTCTCCGCTTTCTTTCAGTGGGCGTCATCTGCAGCGTAATGTGAATACCACCAATTACATGCATGCATGGAGGCAGTGAAGCAGCAATGGACATGAGTCGCTAAACATTATTCGTGCACACAAGAATCCGCCGTCAAACTTTTGTCTAGACGTCCATCGACAGGGATTGAATGGGGATTGGTTGAAGATCTCTCCCCGCGCAGGGCAATTTGCCCCTGGTGATGGAGGTAATATGTAGTAATTGATACTATCTCCATTCTCCTGTTTTATGACCAATTGTTTCTGGAAACTCTTAGCTCCGTTCGCTAGCTGGATAAGAATCCTTTGCTGACCCCAATTGGGTCATTAGTGTCGGTGCGGACGGTTGAATCATGCTCCCAATGAAAGGAGAAGGGGAGGAGAAAAGAGGATTTCTTAGAAAAAGACAGATAGAGGAGACAACCCAGACACCACCCTTGTCAAAACGCCACCAACATGATCAAGATGTACCATGACCAAGTAAATCAGCACTGGATGGTGCTCCTATCAGACTCGGTGGAAGTGGAGAAAAACAGATGGAGGTGCGGGTGTTGGCGCGCAGACCATTGAACTAATATTCGCCAGTAGGTAATTAAATTCACTGCCGGATGACCGCTAGTAAGAAAGGTCACCCCTTCATCTCAAGCGTGTCCTCTTCTACCACTCGTCCTCCTTCACCTCCTCCTTTCCCCTTCACCCTCCCCTATATCTTTCTCTTTCCCTCACCCCCCTCCATTTTCGTCCGACCGCAATTCGTCCCGCCCCATTGTCAATTCCTCCTCCACGGTTTGGTTGAGGTTGCTAGGCGGTTCGATGTTCCTTGGTTGATTCCCGCTTTTTTCGCCTCCCAACGCCCTCGAAGCGCACTCGACATCGTCCCAGCCTCGGTCTGGCTACCCACAAAGAGCTGAAGCACCTTGAGATCATTCAAATAGCCTTCCAAAGAAGTGCCTGACTTGCTGCAGACAAGAGCTACAGCAATTCATCAACCGGGATCCGCGCTGCGACGCAATCTGGCCTTTCGGAGAAAGTTGACATTTGGCTTTCCCCTTGTATTCCAACCACCCATTGTGTCGTCATTTCCCAGCCTAATGATTTGAAGCTGAATTAACGACCCGCGAGAGATCGCTTGCTACTTGTTTCCACTTTCCCCCTTACCTTTTCTTTTCCCGCCCCTTTTGCAGCTATCTGCATCGGATTCTTGCAATCACATTTTGCGCCCAGCTCCATTACGCGCGTGGACTTCTGTCGCAAAGACGAATCTTGATTATCATTTGGAACGTATCTTGTTTGACTCTCCGATCACGATTTTGCTACGTTTTCTCAAGAATACATATTGATCGTATGCTTAGCCCCGCAAGAGTTATCAAGTCACCATTGATCATTGACTAACGCAAAGTGGATATAGTTTTGACGATGATGAATCCTTACCTCAGTTGGGCTATTCTGCTCGTGGTAGCAGGTGGCCTGGGCTGGTACTACAATGGCCCTGTCCCCAAAACTAAAGCCCCCATAAAACCTATCGTGGAGAAGGCCGAGAACGCGGTGGGCGCGAAGAAACCCAAGAAGAAGACGAAGAAGTCTCCGGAACCGTCTCCTGCCCCCGCTAAAGCAGAGGAAAAGCCAGTGCAGACTCCCAAGATCGAGGAGGCTGATGTGGCGGATGAGGAAATCGACAAGAAAGAGATGGCCAAGCGCTTTGCCGCTGTGAAGAACGGTGCTCCCCTTAAGGAAAGCAACAAGGACAAGGCTCAAAAGAAGAAGAACAAGAAGGGAACGTCCAGTCAGCCCGCCGCTAGCAACAACGAGCGATCTGCCTCCCGCGTCTCTACTCGTGCCTCATCCACTACCGGAGCCGAGGCCGATGATGACCTCTCTCCAGCTGGATCCCCTAAGGTTAATGCCAGTGCGTCTGCTGCTGGATACGTTTCTGACATGCTTGAGGCTCCTGCCCCAGCAGCGTCAGTTCTCCGTGTGACGGGCTCTTTGGAATCGGATTCCCAGAAGAAGAAGCAGAAGCCTCAATCCTTCAAGCAGGTTGAAACCAAGAAGCAACGCCAACAGCGCCTGAAGAACGAAGCCCGGAAGCAGCAGGTCCAGGAAGCTGAGGAGGAGAGACGTAAATTGCTGGAGAAGCAGCTCCACACCGCTCGCGAATCTGAGCGCCGTGAAGCTGCCAAGTCCAAGCCAGCTGCCCAACCTAATGCCTGGCAGACTCAGAGCGCGAACAAGGTTACCAATGGCAATGTTACCAACGGCACTCACAAGACTGCTCCGGCCCCTAAGGTTGAACTGTTAGACACATTCGAACCTGAAAACTCGTCCGCTGCTGCATCCTCCAAGGAATGGGATCAGGGTCTCCCATCTGAAGAGGAGCAGATGCGCATTCTCGGCGCAGGGAACGGTGAGGACCAGTGGACCACCGTGGCTAGCAAGAAGATCAAGAAGAAGGGCGTCAAAACCGATGACAGCGAAGTCAGCGCTGTTGAAGACCAGCCTACCCCGGTCGCACCTGCACCTGCACCTGTTGAGCCCAAGGTGAAGATCACTCCTACCTACCTTCCTGATGTCCTCCGCTCCGGAAAGAAGGGACATCCTCTCGACTCCGATTGGGCTGCTTGAGCAGCCTTGGAGCTTCTTAAAGAACTGAAAAGGTACATGGTTTAGGTGTATCTTTCGGGAATTTTTTTCTCATGGAAATCTTTTCGATTTCACTGTATGTATTATTCATGGCTTCGGCGTTCGGGGTCTTTTATCACACTAAAAATGCACCACGCAGCCGGCGAGGTGTGATTTCTTCTGCGATGTCAGCACAGGGAACATCAGCCTCAACCACCCAAAACCAAGAAAAACCCCCTAAAAAAATAGAGCCGTGTAATATTTTATTTTTTATTTTTTCTCCTTCTCTTATTTGTGTACTGCTCGGAATTTCGAATTCTTGTTTTGTTTTATAACACATTTTGTTATCTGATCGATAATTATGGACGAAAAGACGTTTGATCTATGACCGGATCTCGGGTTTGCGCAACAATACCAAGCTTATTACTTATTATATCCTTTCCCGATTGCTTTGTTTGTGGACTAGACCTTCATTCCTTTGCTTGGTCCAATGCCCCTGCGTTGAGGGCCCCGGCATTTTGCATGGAATACGACAGTGGAGGCCTTGATGGGGGAGCATGGATCAAGATCCGCAAGGGTTTGTCCCCGCAAAAGCCACCTGGCCTTTTCTTTGTGCCGGGATGGTCTTGGGTTCGTTGCATTTACTATTTCCTGATTTACTTTTGAGTGCGGTGTTTATTGTTCCCTGGATCTGGGATTTAATGCGTTCTCCGCTTTTTTTTTTTTTTGCTGATATATTTGTTTTGGATCCATCGTAGTTCTTAATCCGGCAAAGAATGGGCCAATTTGGGAATGACGATCATATAGTCCGTGATGTGCAGTGGGGATCCGTGTGGTATCTCTCATGTATGTACTTACTTTGTAGTCGGGTAGTCGGGGGTACAACGAACGATCTGCCATGGGAAGTAGCCTACAACGAAACGAAAGGCTGACTTCGAGTACTCAAAGTTGTGACGGGTTTTAAAAATAGAATGGTTGTTCTTGAAGAGAGACTATAATTGCAGGAGGCAGTGTGGGATCTTCTTGTTCTGCATATGTCGTCAGAGAACCCCTTGAGATGGCTTGGCAACCATGCCTCACCGGGACTAGCAGCGAGTTCCGGTCATCGTGGCCTGAACTGCAGGGCCGCCGTAAAAGTCACGGGCAACGAACCAACGGATGCAACTTGTTGTTTTGTCCTCTTCTCTTTCGCATCATTCGTTCTTTCGGTCTTCTCTGCTATTTACTCTTCCTTTCCCTCCCGTCTTCTTGTCCTCTTCTTTCGTGGGAATTTCGTCTATTCTGATTGTCACTTATTTTCATCCTCTAATACACCCTTTCCTTATTTCTTATTTACCAACCCCTCGTGGCTAGTTCCCGAGGTTCCTATTCTCGGTACCTCTCTCATACTCCTCCTACTTGGTCGAACTTCTCCCAGTAAACAACAATTTCCGCTATGGCGCAAATCCGCGGCACCGCGGGATACAATCTCGGTCACCAAAATCCCTTCGGCGGACCTGGTCGCGCAGAGGCTACAAGTGACCCTAGCCCCTTGGATGCCATTCGGGAACAGACTAGCAAGATTGAAGATTGGTTGGACACGTTGGCAGATCCCGTCAAACCGTATGTGGTCTCTTCGAACCTTTTCTTTTTCAATTCATTCCGTTGTTTTCCCAGCGAACTACAAGGGAAATACAAGCAACTATCAGAATAATAGTTTGGACTCGCACCGCTAACACGGTGTCTTCGGTCCACAGGTATCTACCAGCCATTGGCCGTTTCCTGATCGTTGTCACTTTCATTGAGGACAGTTTGCGAATCATTACACAATGGAGCGACCAGCTCCTCTACCTGCGGGAATACCGTAAAAGTAAGCTTGCTCTTGCCACTCACAGCAACGGTGATCATTGCTGCACAGTGAGCCCTAGTGCCTCCGGGCTAACCATCTTCAGTTCCGTGGGGCATCACACACACCTTCCTCATTTTTAATGTACTCGCTATGTCGATATGCTCATTCCTGGTTATTGCTCGCAAACACACTGAAATCGCCGTCGCCGGCCTGTTGGGTGTCGTCGTCACCCAGGGTCTCGGATATGGACTCATCTTCGACCTCAACTTCTTCCTCCGCAACCTGAGTGTTATTGGCGGTCTCCTCATGGTTCTCTCCGACTCATGGGTCCGCAAGAAGTTCGTTCCGGCTGGTTTGCCCCAGCTTGATGAGAAGGACCGCAAGATGTACGTTCAGTTTGCTGGTCGTGTCCTGCTCATCTTCCTCTTCGTCGGATTTGTCTTCTCCGGCCAGTGGAGCTTCTGGCGCATTCTGGTCAGCTTGTTCGGCCTCGTCGCATGCGTTATGGTCATTGTGGGATTCAAGGCCAAGTGGAGCGCAATCATCCTGGTGGTGTTGCTGAGCGTCTTCAACATTTTGGTCAACAACTTCTGGACCGTATGTATACCTTTAATGACATGAGTATATCTAGTTACTAATGGCTTCTTAGCTCCACCCTCACCACCCCCACAAGGATTTCGCCAAGTACGATTTCTTCCAGATCCTGTCTATTGTGTAAGTTGCACTTATCCCTGTCTCGCCTTAATGTGAACCGCAGTCACTAACCGTTTCCTCTAGCGGTGGTCTCTTGCTTCTGGTCAACATGGGCCCCGGCCAATTGAGTATGGACGAGAAGAAGAAGGTCTACTAAACCGGGCTCAACTGAACGCGGAAAATGGGGAGCGAGAAAGGCAGAAAGACAGAAAAAACAAAAAACAAAATTCAAATGGGCCACTGAGTGGATGCGCATGTGTGCTACGTACTCATGACATGTTTCTTATGGGCTACCGAAAGCATCTCTATCTCTATCATTATATGATCCGTTTTTTTCACGTTCATCTTCTCAGCATTGTTCCGGAATCTGTTTCCCCACATATAGTTCAATCATTGTGTACTGGCTATAAGCTCGTGATATATTGGCTACAACCCATCATTTGCTCACTCACAATATACCTCAAATCATACGCGTTTTTCCTTTTTTCCAAACCGCATGACGTAACCAGGTCTTTTCATTATAGGAGGCCTATGGAGATTTCGGAGTACTCAGTATAGACCATTCCAATTCATCTACTATCAAGATACAGCTCAACATTGAAAGATTCATGATTTATACCATATCATTATAATGACCAACAAACACCCAGGAAGATAAAATTAAATCGTTACAACGCAGGCAATCGCGAAAAACATGTATTAAATGATATTAAAAGATATTATACATGGAACATGAGGATGGGGCTTCAGGACAAATGCATAGTTGAGAACAAAGGTCAAAGAACAATTCAGACAACGGAGAAAGAAAATGCGTTTGAAACTAGAGAAGGTAATCTGCGCTGGGAATGAACGGATGGATGGAATTTTGCAGGGATGGTATGTATGTATAGGTACTGTATGTTATGGAGACAACGGATAAAACAACAGTCACGGAAAGTCTTTAGTAATCTTGTTCGTTTCTGGTGGTCCTGCCATGCACATAACAACGGGACTTCTTCGGGGTAACTGGTTGCTCCAATGCATAGAGAATCGATAGGATGATAAAGAACGGAACGATCGCTTTTGTCTGCTGTTAACGCCGAGAAAAACCAGGTATCAAGGTGTATCGGAGTGTCTGAGATCAGAATTCGAGGAAGAAACAGAATCAAGGCTAGAAAGTTGCTTTGAGGAATCGGATACTACCGCTATATGTCCATGCTCCAGCGCCACGGCCGTATCTGTTCCAGATCACCGAATCCGACTTCCTCATGGGGGTCGGAAATCTCCAAATGCAATAATTCAACTTTCTTGTCCTCCCGATGCAGGTTAGATAATGTCTTCGACACATGCGGTCGGAACAGTTTGCTACCGTCATCGGCTTCCTTAGACATCGGTCGGGATATCGGTGTCTGCGGGGACTGTATCGAAACCCTTGGGGATTCTATGTCATCGGAGTCAATCGAAGCTAACGAAGACGAATCTGACCGTGACCGTAGAGACGACGCTATGACAACATTAGACTCATCACGCCCGTATGTTAAGGAGGAGGGTGATCTGTATTCGCGGCTATCCTTGGGTTCAGGCGTCCTCAGAGGTCGAGGATCATCGTCGTCATCGTCATCATCATCGTCAAGGTGGGCGAACGGAGGACGAACTCTGGCGGGTTTCTTTTCCACATTCTGGGTAGATAAGGGAGGTAGTGGGGTTCGATCGGAGGTTTTGTTGGTACTCTTTTCGTGGGTTAAGGAGGGGTCGCTGGTACTACTCTTCTGGGTAGGGAAACGATCTTTTCCGGCCATTACCCTAGCGCTAGGTACAGGTTGCAGCATCCATCGTGTCTCGGCCCTAGACTTGGGTCCACTGACGATAGGCGGATGGAGATCGTTGACTGGAGGCACCCGTGCGATATAGTATTTGCTGGGTTCGTGGGCATTCGCTTTCCCGCTACCTGATAATCCAACCGACGAGCCCTTCACCTCCACTTCTTCACCCCATAACGGCTCGTCTTCGCGCTGATATCGCATGCGGTTCCACCGTTCCTCAATCGGCTGCATCAGACTACTCTTGTCCTTCTTTTGCGACGCACGTACATCCTGACAGGAGGTTGCGGAGATTCCATCCGTGTTCCAACTATCCGTGCGACGATGCGCAGACCGGTTGCCACCTCTTCTTGCTGGGGGGCCGGGGCCTAACGCAATTTCCTCCGCCCATCCGGCATTGGTGCTGAAGGCGGTTGGTTGGGGGAACGGCCGAGGTTGGTCGGCGATGATCTCTTCGTTCTTCTCCTTTTCGCGACGGGATCGAGCGGCTTCGGCTTCCTTCATGCGTTTTCGACGATCGACTTTCTCGGCACATGGTGTACAGGTGGCATAGTAGAAGACTGCCGACTGAGCGCCTCGCCACAGCCACATGGTTGAGCTGGGGAGGTTGGAGGGAGGTTGGGAGCGGTGAGGAAGATTCGCAGGTCAACTGATAGCGACACTGGCCAAAACGTATGGCACTCACGAGAACAGAGAGGCCCGAGGGCACCGGTAAATATGTCTCGATGTTTGTCGTGTCGCTGACAGCAACATGAAGGGCGTCTAGTTTGATAGCGGGTGGGACGGGGGAGACAGTTTAAAACGGAGATCGCCCAGCGACCTACAACGTTGGAGAAAGAACTTGAAGTAGCACCAACGTAACGGGCAAATCCAAAAGTATACGTGGGACAGCGACACCGAAAACAATTGGAGGAATAGAACAAAGGACGACGACAAAAAAAAAAAATAGAATAAAAGAACAACAGCAATAACAACAGACTAGACAATGAGGAAGAGCGATAGAGAGAGAGAGAGAGAGAGAGAAGGAGAAAGGAGGAGTAAGAGAGAGAGAGAGAGAGAGGGTCAGGGGAACGCCAGACGGGCGAGAGATGGTTGGGCGATGTTGCACTTGGCAGGGGCGGGGCGCGCGGCAGAGGAGAAACGGCGCTACCAGATTGTCTGGGAGTTGTCTAGGAGTAGTTAGTTGAACGTCTGTGTCGACGATCTCGCGGAGAGGATCATTTGTTTACTGTGGTGGTCGTACTCCGTATTCTCTCAGTCCTTATATCCTTCTCCACTCGGGTCGATGTTCGGATTGTGGCGGAGTGGAAAAGAAACCCAAGAAAAACGATTGATGCGGATAAGACTTCTCAACCCCTCACTTTGAGACGCAGGTTAAAAATAATAATAAACAATTGGGCAGCGAAACCAATTGCATACCGCACAATGTGTCCGCAAGCGATTGACGGTTGAAATTCTTGGTGAAACGCAAGGTCCAATCTAGTTGACGCCGGCCAGCGTTAGTGGGAGTTATCAGTGGGAGTGAGTAGTTAGTATCTGGTTGCCTACGCCCGGAACGAAAGACGGCGCGACTCTCCAAATTCTCGCCAAGCCTTCAACACGACAACCACGCTCAATCAGTCCATTTTAACGCAGATTCATGTCATTCATTCATCAGCTAGGAAAGGCCACTGCATTCTCTGCATAGGACATCAGATTGGGTTCCACTCGCCCCCAATCAGCGTGCGGACATTGCAATGCGCATACATAGGTATACAGAGGTATACATTGTTGAGATCCATGATTCATCATCATCCACTCCCTCAGATTCTTGCCTGTGTACTCCGTTGTCGAGGACCGACCATCCTGAAAACAATGTACTTGCTGTCTCCCTTGTTGCGATCCCATCCACTTTCATCTCTCTCTCTCTCTCGCTCTCTCTCTTCCTGCCTCCCTCTCCCTTTTCATCCCCTGCCCCTTTTTTCTCCTGATGTCACCAAGTAAAACCTCAGGAGCCGTAGCGCCAGTATTTTTGACCTAAGATCGCATTTTTTTTTTAAATAAAAAAAAAAGCTGCTGCCCATTCTGAGCCCCACCATGGTCGCAGAATACACCACGATAGCAATCCAAATCTGTATCACCGCCACGCAGAATGCCCATGGCGGAACCCCTCCGCGTGACACGGTGCGCAAGAAGCGCTCGGTACGTGAGGCTTTGATGGACTGTTGCACCCTCAGCCATGAAGAAATAAGAAAAAAGAAATAAGATCTATCACAAAAGGTCTAGTCCAACCTAACCACCATGCCACGTTTCGATCATCCAACGTCACTCTCATGCAAAAGGGAGGTGGTTCGTCCTGGAGCAAGAAAGTTCGCATCGGAGCCGGTACAAAATCAGGGCTCATGCGTTCTTGGTCCCCTTGACCACCTCGCCTTTAACCTTGGCCCAGTCGATCTCGCCATCGATCTTCTCGTCCACTTCGCCGCATGCTACCACGTTATCGCCTCGGATCAGGTACAGACCGTGCTCGATCTGAGAGCTCGGCTCGGGATCATCGGGGGTGCGGATGATTCGTTCGATGGTATCCAGGAGAACCAGGTTAGTCAACTGATCCGTGGAAAGGAGCGTCCCCAGAAGAGTCCGCCCGTCAACAGTCAGAACCAGGACTTTTTCTTTTACGGAACGCGGCGTTAGCACGGTCTGGCATAATGTTGGGATCCACCGGTCATTGGATAACTTACTATTAATATATGAGTGGAGAGACATGATGATGCGCTATAGGATTCCCTGAGGTAAACGGGTGGGAACGACGTGCGTACTCGTGCGCGAATACGTCCGAACCGGACTGGCGCTCTGGAAAGGCGATGAGAGCTTGCTGAAGCTATCGTTCACGACCCGAGACCGCCGGAAAAGGTAAGCCGATAGAACGTAGTCGGGAGTTAAGGAAGTCTTTGGCTCCAATTAGTTTCGGAGGGGGTTAAAGTCTATCGAATTGTAGCACTCTCTCGCCGACGTTGCTGTGCAGAACCAGTGGTGGACGCGTGTAGGGAATTCGGGCTGCTGCTCTCCGGCCTCGTTAAATGTTGCGGTTAGAAGCCCATTTAAAGTAGATTAAGATAACATGCTATCCGAGACGATTGGGCAAATTATGGTGAACCAGCACAGCAGTGGTCGCAACAATGAGTTTGTTCTTTCTCCTCCGTCCAGACACTTCGATACGATTAGCCTATCACGTGACAACCCATGACCCTCTCTCTTTACGGAAAACATTCAATAGCTCGAATGACGTCGCGATGTGTTGCCCCTCATATTTACTTTTTTACTTGGAAAGCATTGGAAACAAAGACAAAAATAATAAAACGTCCATTTATTGAAATGTACGTATCTAATTGTACATGAAATAAAAGCCTAAGTCAAAAGAAGAAGCTTTCGTTGCATTGCCTATTGACTACCCCGATGACAAAGTGCAACTTGAAGTCACAAAGCAGTTGGATAAGCCTCAAGTCTGTTTGTTATCTAAAACAATACCCTAGCCACTCAATGCGCTCAAATCCAATGGCACGCTGCTGCCTCGTCCAGCACGGTATCGTCTGGGGCCTCCTACAAAAGGCCGAGGCTTGGGGAATAAACCTTCGCTCTGGAACTTGAACCGAACATCTTCTACCCGGATCACCCCGTGCGCTGCTGAGCCTAGAGGGCTTGACCCTGATGACGGCCCGCCGTTGCTCAGGGTGTAAGCGCTTGGATCTAATGTGGATCGATCCGGGATGTGACTAGCTGGAGGCTCGTGGGATAACGGGCGTGATGGTGGCTGGCTCGGAGGGGCACTCGGAGGGGCACTTGGGGGAGCACTCGGAGGAGCACTCGGAGGAGGTGGAGGGGGCGCTGAAGGCGCGGATGAAGCGGGTGGGGGCGGAGGCGGGGCTGACGGTGTCTGCTGACTGTGCCCAAAAGCGTTCCTCGCTGCTTGGACAGCTATTGATGCAGCAGCGGTTCCGTTAGGTGGTTGCGGTGCTGAGGCTGCAGGAGGCGGTGGTGGTGGAGGGGTAGATCGTGCAGGCGCTGGGGGAGGCGGTCGGGCTGTAGGTGGAGGTGGAGGTGGTGCAGCTGGACTTGTAGAAGGGGGTGCAGGAGGAGGTGGGGCTGGAGTTGATGGTTTCCTAGAGGACACGGGAGGTGGTGGAGGTGGCTTCGCTGAGCCTGGTAACGGTGGTGGTGCGCGAGGTGGTGGAACATCTGACGCCGACCTGGCCGATGCACTTGAGACAGTAGATGATGGCCGCGAGGCGGGCCTTGGGGGAGGCTTCTTTAGACCAGCAACCAATGAGTTAACAGGAGGGGCGGGAGGAGACTCTGAAGAAGGCAGTGGAGGAGGACGAGCTCCTGGAGGCTTCGGAGCAGGCGACACTGGAGGTTTCGGTGCCGACGAGCCTTGTGATTCAGATCGATATGGCGAATCTCGATTGGCTCCAGTATCAACTCCTCCTCGGCTGCGTAGCTTGGGCATACCTCCAGCAAAGAGACCTCCCAGCTGTGGAGCTGGTGGTAAAGCCGCACCACTGTCCCCCCCTGAACCAGCTCCGCTATCACTTCGTAGTCTGTTCACTGCTTGCCCGGGTACCGGTGGTGCCGAACCCGGGAGTTTCGGCATGGTTGGAACGGGCGGTGCACCTGCAATAGGAGGACCAGATGATTTCGCGCCTCCCCCGGCAAGCTGAGGCGCTGATCTGTCATTGGTTACGGTTTTCTTAAGTCGTGCACCTTTATGGATATCCGAGAGAAGGGCACCCTACCAAATAGATTAGTTTGTCTGTCAGGCATTATTTCAAACATATAAGCTTACCCGGCCTTTCGCTTCCGCGCCTGATGGCCTACTCGGGAGAGCTCCTGGAGGGGGAGGGGGAGGGGGCCCTCCCATGCCACCGGGCGGCGGCGGTGGAGGTGGTGGAGGAGGAGGAGGAGGCATTTTGTTGATAGAAAAGGTAGAGTATAGCTTCGAACGTTGAGGGAGAAAGAGGTGAAGTCGGTAATCACGGGGGAAAAGCGATCGCGAGGGATCAATCCGCTGGAATCGAGGGGATCATTTGACGCTTCTTTCAGGGAGAAAGATGACGTCCGTTGGAATGGAGAGAAGACAATGTAGCCTGATGGAGCAAAGCGAATGGGATCAGTTAAGTTGCCCAATAGTGGAGAGCGTCCAGAGTTAGTGGCGGTGCTGCAGCGGCAGTAAGACTCCGCCTTGTGTCGCAAATGGCAGACTGCCAGTCCTCGTATCTGTACTCAACGGCCTGGAGAACAACGCCAAAAGGACTTTCACTGCTCACCATGAAAGGCATTGCTTTAAGGGGTCAAAGAGCCTCAAGGCCTCAACCCCTGATATGTCAATTCTGCCGCTCCTCCGCATCCCCGGCTCCCCGGCAACGAACCTCGTTCACGCGATCTTTTGCATCAATCGGACCAACCATCTCGAACAGAGACGTGAGGCTATGGAAGGCCAGGAAGAGCTTGAAAGGCCATTGGACTACTACACAAATTATATCCTCTAGATTTGTGTCGACCACACCCGAGACAACTACGCCCCGAGATCTAGAAGATGTCTTGCGACGGATATCACACGATTCAGCCGAGCTCCGACAATTGGATTCTGTGCCCTCCAACGAGGCAATTGTGGGGCTCCTTCAGAGATGTGAAGAGATCGCAGAAGCCCTTTCACACCAAGAGCAAGACACAACAAAGAAAGGGGATAATGAGATCTCCAACCTGCTTGACCTAGAAGAAAAGAGCGCTGCGAAGAAACGCGCCAAATCACCGAAGATTGCGGACCCACGACTAGCCAGTGCTCTCTCCGAGATCACCTACGAGCTGCTGACGGATGAGAAGGTGTTTATTTCCCCGGAAGCACTGGCCTGCTACACCAAAGTTCAGTGTTTACTCAAGCGTGCCGGACACTTTCCAGAGATATTTCATCTATATGCCCACAAGCCGGTCCCGGAGGAGAATAGCTCCCCCGTTAAGTTCCACAAGGCGAATCCCAAAGACATTAACAGTGCTATCCCCACCGAGCTCGCCAACATGGCTCTAGATGTCGCTATCGAGCAGCGGAACCTGTCTCTCGTTCTTGCGATCATCGATAATACGTTCTGCGCTCCCGCGTTCTCCCGCGCGAAGGTCTTTAAGAAAGCGGCCGTGCCGCTTGGTGGGCTGGCTGCTGCACCGGCTGCTTGCTATGCCATTGCATCCTGGGCTGCAACCCTCCAGAATACCATGGATCCCGGCACGGCTACAGGCATTGCATTCGCTGCAAGTCTTGCATACGTGGGAGGTGTATCATCAGTGGGTATCCTGGCTATCACCACGGCCAATGATCAGATGGAGCGGGTAACATGGTTGCCTGGTGTCCCATTGCGGCATCGTTGGCTGCGGGAAGAGGAACGAGCCGCTTTGGACAGAGTCGCACTTCAGTGGGGATTTAAGGATATTTACATGCGTGGCGAGGAAGAGGGAGAGGAGTGGGAAAACCTCCGGGAGTTTATTGGCATGAGAGGAATGATTCTAGACAAGACAGACTTGATGCCTGGCATGCAATAAGCATCCCACGGGCGTACATGCTTGGGCTACTGTGTATTTATAGATAGATTACCGTTTGGCATGGCTAATGCAAATACCAAAGACTTACACACTACGTTATATATCCAACACCAGAATTACTGCTACGGCAAAGACACGGAGAACGAGTTAGGAACAAAGTTGTGAGTTAGATTTCCGAAACTATGGCATATACAATCCCACTTCTAAGCTCCTAAAAAATCCCCAGCGTGACCAGAGAGCGCCAATAACTTAGTAGAGACGCTTGGGAGGAGACATGGAAGCCTTGAGGACAAGGCTGCCAACGTTCTGCCAGCCCTTCTTGAGGAGGGAGACAAGGTAGTTGATGGCCAACATGACGTTGGCGATCAGCTCATCCTCAGTCATGCCAACGTTGCCAACGGCAACACCGAGACAGAGAACCTTCTTAAGCTGGAACTTGATGGTGGACTTGACATCGGTGACCTTGTTGGCCATGTCCTCGGCGTGAGAGATGGGGGTAGGGAATTTACCAGCTGAGAAAACTGTCAGCATATTGCATAATCTCATCGGGCGCAGCGCTAGATAGTGAACATACCCTTGGAAAGACCGGGACCCAAGAGACGGGGGATCTGCTTGATGAGACCATCGGAAGCAAGGAAGGCATCGTACTTGCGAGCAAGCTTCTTGATGAGCTTCTTGTTCTTGTTAAGCTTCTTAAGATCCTCGGTGGACATGGCATCAATACCGTGGTGCTTAGCACGGTCGAGATCGTGCTGGTCACCAAGAATACTATAATCCATCACTTGTCAGCTCGTCTCGCTCATTCTACTCCATCCAGCATCGTTTTCCTCCAAGTTTTTATCGAAACGGCGATGCGACCGGAACGGCACGTACCAGATGGTCATGTTGGGGCGAGGAACGGAAGGCAGCTTGATGGTGCCAGAGAAACGCTTGTCACGCTGGGGATCGTAGTTCTTCAGACCGATCTGAAGCTCGACAGTCTCGAGGAAGTTTCTCTTCTTCTCATTCTGAGAGTAGTCCAGCAGCTGCTGGATATTCTGGCGCACTCCGGCTGTAACAAAAAAAAAAAAAAAAGGGTTAGTTACTGAAAGCTGGTGATCTAGATCATATTAGAATCCAAACACATACCGACTGTGATCTTAGACATGATGGCGACAGTCTTCCAAAAGAATCAAATCCTTATGGTGTGGCTCTGCGCTGAATATCGTGCAAAGAACGAAAGTAAAAAAGGCGCCGCCGCCCGCCGCAAAGAAAATCGCGTCTCCGCTTGTGGGTGTGGATGTTACTAACCGTATTAGGACTGGTCTTGCCCTAAGAATCGCAGCCTTATTAAGCTGGCAGCGTTTCAAATACCAATGAGCGAAACGTTCTTCTGCATGGAAGCTATGGAAGTTCATCTATACAATTAATTTACGTTCTTATCAGAACGTCTAAACCCCTGATGGTCTAGTTGGATATGGCGTCTGACTGTAATGGAATTTATAATCTTGTAATCAGAAGGTCGCCGGCTCGATTCCGGCTCGGGGGACGACACTTTTTATTTTTTGAGGTGGCCAGGTGGGCTAACTCATAAGAGACCCGCAATCAATCCCCGTGATAAAGGGATCGTGACTAACCCGATATGGTAAGACTCAGGGTAGGGCAATGGGTCCATGGATTTGTTCAAGTATACTATGTTTTAGATCAAAACAGAGGGTCAAGAGTGCCTGTGAAAGTATTAATGCAACAAAGTTCTCACATTTGAGGGTTTAGGGACTTGTTATTGACTGAGTGGAAGCGAAACAACATCATCGAAGTGCGTGTCCGTGTCAGCTGTGTTTGTGACAACATCGGCGGCTAAAGATTGCTAGTGCTAAGGGCCGGCAGCCTACGAATGACCGCGGTCATTCGCCCGACTCCAGCACGAGGCTGAGTATCTGCAGCATGGACTACCTACGCGGCAACCTACTCAGAAGCGCTTATACTTCGTTTCCCCCTTCCTTCCCGTTCACTCTACTCATCTATTAGCTCTTTCCTATATCCTTAATCTTCCAGTCGCATACCATCTTGTCAACCAAACACTAGTCGTCACCAGCTCGTATTTGCTAAGGCTAAGGAGACATGTCTGGGTTTCCTTCATCGCACAGCCTCCAGACCCCCAAGGAATACTACTCTAGCTTCAAGAGCAACTCGAATCTCCAAGGGAAATTCCACGACATTGATGATGAGGCCCAATTCCGTGCTTATCTGGGCTATCTGCAAGATGCAGAGACCCGAAACTTTGTGCTAGATTTCGGAAACGACGATGCGTGGTGTGCAGTTGACCTGGAAGAAGAAGATATTGCGACACTATTGCGCAGCGCCGTATGTGACTAGATACAATAGTGTTGATCGTAAATGAGCTTATACTAACTGAACTCTAGAAGCCAAGGTTCTTTGGGACCAGATGGATGTGAGATACACACTAAACTCGGCGAGGCTCTGGAGCGTACTTACCATGGTATTAGTAACATCTGGTCGCCAGAGCAGCAGAAAGATTTAGTCAAAGTTTGTCGAGCTTTGCTTCACTGAGCTCACACTAGACTGACATCTCCCAGACAATCACGAGCCACTACGGCATCTCCGAGCGTCTACAGGGGATGATGTGCACTGACCCGGTAGTTCGCCCGGCCCAATCCACGAATCCTTTAGCAAATGGGGTTCGCGAGAAGAACGACGACCGGTTGCTTCGTGTCTCCCGTAAGAATGACCTTGAAGAAGCTCAAGAACTGAAGGATTTGTCAGATCCTGATGAGGTACAAGCGGCTGCGTCATTCAGAGGCCTTACCTTTGCGCATGTCACGAATCAAATCTGGCATTTCTGCTCCGTAGACTACGGTCCGAGATGTATACAACCCTCATTGGACTTGATGACATTACGTTTGCTGACATGCTGTCTAGATACATGTATTGGCTACAACTCGTTGTACGTAGTGCCGAACGTTGAATTTCCCAATGGACAGGGCCTCCCTGATGGGAGACGACTATGGTCTTGGTTGATCTTATGTGATGACGGTATGATTGCTGCCTCCGGTCACTTTGTGATACAATGTTAATCGCCGAAGGCACTGTTATTTCCATGCAAGAGAACCCGTACCCTGGACTTTCTAGGCCGTCGGAGCGGGAGCTGAAGTCGGTACTCGGTATAGTTCGCCGAAATGTACAACTTATCTTTTCCGGTGTGTCTAAGCGGCACTCGGCCCTATCGGAGAGCGATTCATTAGTGACCATTCGCGTACGACCTGCTCACGGTGCTGGCCCAGATCAGGCTAGTATAAAACAAGAGGATGGCCCTAGTTTATTATTCTATTATATATTCGACGATTGGGTTTCCAGTTACGCACTTGTTGCAAAACGAGAGCATCAATACGGGGTTCTTCTTGATCGACTGGTAAGAGACTCAGAATCATCCCCAGCTGGATATTATTCAGGAACCCTGACACTTTGATAGAGAGAAGAGATGCTAGGCAAGCCTGTGGTTGGGCTAGTCAATGAGCTACACTGGTTAGGCAGGAGATTAGCCGTCTTGAAGCGGCTTTATCAGAGTTACGAACTTATCATGATGCGTATTCTTCAACGACAGCGCCATCTTCGAGACGAAGCGAAATCGAACCGTCCTCCACTGCCCATCGGGCCTATGTTCGGAGAAAATGAGATGGTGGACCTTCGACAGCCGACCCTGCAGAGTAGTTGGAGTTTTTCAAGCAATTTAGACACCTCTGTTGGTGTACAGCTGAGCTCACCTGCTGTGGCCCGTTTTGAAAGACTGCTTGATCGTATCAAGCTCTACTGCTTGTCTGAGATTGACACCTGCTTGACGGAGAAAGAATCTCTCACATTCCTAGTATGTGTATTCTGCTTTTTAATTCTCCCGAGACAAGTACTAACGCCTACCAGAACTTCAATCTCATCGCGCTCAAAGACTCGCAGGCTGTCGAAAAGCTCACGAGGATCACAATTCTGCTAGCTAAGGTGACAATCCTGTTTTTGCCCGTCAGCTTGATGACCGGGTACTTTTCGACCGAGCTCAAGAACGTCAAGGGGGTGTACACAATCAACCAATATTGGGTCAGCTTCGGCGTCATTATGTTTTTGTCCATCGTGCTCCTCACACTGTTCGGCTACCTTAGCGACACCGTGGAGGGCAAAACTATCTATCAATCACTATCCCGTTCCTTTGTCCGATCTTCTAAGCACAAAATATCGAATCGAAAGGAGGAATAGGACTATCCGAAATCTCATCAGTTGGTCACTAAATGACTAAACAACGACATTCCCACTTTTCGTTTTGGATAAGAGCTGAGGAGCTACAGCTTCGCCAGAGCACAACTAGCATGCCAAGATCTTTGTGGCTTGAGACGTCTATCTATGTTTCTGTGCCTGGATGAACCAAGGCATTGTAATTGTTAAGATTATTGTTATGTTCTTTTGTTCGATTATCACAGTCGCCGTATTCCATGTAAATTTAGGGATGTGCTGTAACAAAATTGATGCAGAGATGTAAATGAGAAGATGGTGTCGGTAGCACCATAGAACACTTAATAGCATCGGACCACTGAGATCTTTCATTTTACTCCAATCACTTCCATCTAGATATAGAGCGGTAAATCGCAAAAGGCCGACAATGAGAAACGAAAATAAATATGAACCATCAAGGAGAGGACTACTAAAATTATGCTCGAGATAGATTCCTCGGTGGTTTGACTATTTAAACAACGTAATATGTGGGTATCACCATCTGCACAAGAAAGAACCATAGTGGGCCAGTTATATATAAAGATTGGTGTAGCTCTTGCCACATCAGCAGCCTAGAGATGAATCATGAGCCAGCACAGGAGTCATGACAATATATGTATGGTGCGACCTTCACAATCTGTTAAATTTACTCACAGAGCTTACCAGACGATTAATCTAGCACTTGTTGTTTTCTCTTTCGAACATCTTCGTTCTTGTACCCATCCTCGGTTGCGGAATTGGGCATAAATCCATCTCCAACCCAAGAGAAAAATGTTGAGGTTCCCCGCACTAAAAATAGGAAACGCCAAACTGACAGAAAGCACCAGGCCACGCTTTAGACCAACAAAGCAACCAAAGCCCACAGTAATAGCCTTACTGGGCCTGGGGGGACCAGAGCGGGATGTCTTCATCGAACAAGTAACAGGCGTTATCCCGGACACCCGCAATCCCAGGAACAAAGGTGATCTTTTGTCAACCCGTATCTTCAAAGGTGAAGTCAACGACAGAGATCTATGGCTGCTTGATACCCCGACGTCAGATATCCCTGTCGCCGAGCTGGTGGAGGGCATTAACAGCGCCGTAGCGCGGAAGTCCGGACGAACAGATTCTGCCGTTGATAGGATCGTGTATCTCCATGATATAACGGACACGAATGTGACGCAGAATGCAAGCGAGAATCTGTCTGTCTTTCAGGGGTTGCTTCGATCTGCTTCTGCGGATCATATCGTCTTTGTGACGACGTTCTGGGATCTTCTGCGGACCCAGGACGAGGGGGTTCGTACGGAGGCTAAGCTGAATGCGGTGTATGGTTCTGTTGCTTCTATATGTCGGGTTTTGGACTCGAGTGATGGGCAGAGCTATCGCGATATCATTTGGGATGTTGTCAGCGGGATTGCGGACGCAGGTCTTGTTGAGGACTCCGTTGATGACGATGCGATGCCGACGCCGACCGTTGAAGAATTGCTTAGTATAATCAACGAGAAGGATAAGCGCATGGAACGCCTGGAAACAGAGCTTCAGGCTTCGAAGGAGACTTCTGCTCGACAACTGCAGGAGGTGCAACAGAGCGCAGCGGATGAGAAGGCGAGCCTCTACCAACAGCTGCAAGTTGCGTTAAAAGACGTCAACCAGCTTCGAGAAGATCTTAGTCGAATCCAAAAGAGTTGCGTGGAGGAAATGAGGAACCTTAGGAAACAGTTCGAGTCCAGACAGCAGGATTCAACTCGCAAGCTTCGGGACTTAGAAACACAGCGGTCGATTTCAGCCGGACATGGGGACGAACTCTGCCGGGATATGACTCCGACACGTTCATATACAAGGAAATCTTCACATCAGACGCATTGTTCAAATGGGCAGGCGTCAAGCCTGAACGTTCTGGACGCTAGAGGGGAGTTCCCTCTTTATAGTGCTGCTGCTGGTGGGTACTACGACGATGTGAAGCGAATGTTAGAACAGGGAGCAAACCCGTCCATGAGAACTCTATTTCATTGGACGGCGCTTCATTGGGCTGTCGGCAATGGTCATGCGAAGATTGTTCAGCTATTGCTTGATTATGGCGCCGACATCAATGCAATCTCGGACACAGGTAGTACTCCTTTGGATATGGCACGAAACGATATGATGAAGGGTATGCTTCGTCAACGGGGAGCCAGATGATTTAAGCTTAAATCGATCCAACCACCAGAAATCTCGGAAATTGCCAGGAAACGGACTCGGCAGCTACCTTCCCCTGGGAGATTGGAGCACGTTCATACAAGCTCTAGGCCATCTACCTATCATTCTCGCTGTATCAACTTTGTGGAATGATTGTGAACCCCACACTCGAGTGGGGCCTGCCAGTAACTCGCATGAATTAGCGTCCCGAAAATGATGTTTATCTGGGCTTCGATTCCAAGCCATAATCAAACCATGTTGAGTCAATTGCTTTGCCATGGGTGCAAGGTGCTTCTGTAGGATTAGGCTCTCATTTATCTCTGAGACGGTTTAAACTGGGTAATAAATATTATTTCTCGCGGGATATATAACAAATCGTAAATTCAATAAAAACTTAGTAGAAGGCAGAGGGAAGGTTGAATTTCAGACGCATTGCATAGTATCCAGGTGATATATCAGAAAGCATAACCATATTTACTTCATTCGTAATAAGCTTATCTTTGAGATCACGAGTGGGTGGTGATTAGTAAGCTATTCTGGCCACTGATGAAAGTTTTCCCGGTCCGGATCCTGACCGCTACTGGACTTCGTACTGTGTACATAAAGCATTACAGTAAGATGTACTCGGTACATTCTGTGCCAGCATGAACTATGAGCGGTCACATGTCAAATGTACCAAAGTGGCGGCACCTGAAAAGATTACTTGTCGTTATAGAAATAAAGCAATGCGGTTGTATAGAAATATTACTCCCCTCTCTAGATGAGAAACAGGACGCGTAGTATTCCCAGTGGTCCCTTGTGGGTTTGATAAACCGCCTACCATATGCGGGAGGGGTCTGGATTATCATCAACGATAGATACGCAATTCTTTGTCAAGAGAGCACGAGAGAGCCACCGACAAGAGATCCACTGGGACGGGGAGACCTCAAAACTCGTCGGGAACCTATCAGAAGGCTGGAAACCGAGTGGAAACGGGGTGGTGTCTGGACCTCTTCTTTTTTTTTTTGGGGCAAAGGAGGGGGGAAGAAATAAAGTGGCAGTGGAAGGAAGAAGAAATCAGACGAGATAACCTTAGGTGAATGGGACTAAACCAAAGGTACGGTACGGTGTTGATTACGAGTAGGAGTGGGAAACACCGTGTCCTCTTCGTGGCAGAGGTATTCTGAAGTGTCTAGGCAATCAGATTCATGTAATTTATATAAGATGAGTGTTGATGAATGAAATTTATAATAGAACAGAGGATCTTAATATATTTATCAAATTTTTTTTTTGGAGAATTTAATTATATTAACAAATTGATATCGATATTCTCTTAGAGTATTATTTCCTAACCTCCCCCCTTATGGTCCTCATTTGATTTTCCAGTCCTACTTTGTAATAAATCTTAACAGAATAGGATTGTTGTGGTTCTAGTCGGGTTTTCGTTAGTGACGGAAGCTACGCCGGCGGCTGAATTTCTCGACCTGGCACTTTGGCACCCAAAATTTCCAACTTGGACAAAAACAGTGGTCCGCCGGCGCTCCATACTAACGAACGAAACAGCGTTTGGGACTTGTCTTCGTCGTCTCTACCCGTTTGACTCGATTCTCCCTTCCCGCCATATCTCGATCTGTGATTCTCACCATTTACTCACCTTCATACCCTTGGTAAGCCATTCCTATTCTTTTCTCCCTAGATTTTTTTTTTTGCTCTCCTTTTTTATTTCCCTGTATCTCTTTGTTTCCCCCCTTGTGCCTTGGGTGTTCCTGTGTGGCCTTCTTTCCCCCCCCTGATTATTTGCCCGTCTGGCCACTGTGCATTCCGAGACGTGATCACGCCCCTCGTTCAACCACATCTCCCCATTCGCCGTCTTCTGATTTCAAGTTTTCAACCCTATTTCTACCGATTTCCTCTGGTTCAGTTCTCAGACGACCGAGCGACATCTATTTCATTTGCAGCGTAACTGGTCTCATTCCATCTAACATCGCATTATTCCCAGACCTTTGAGAATCCCTTTTCGCCACCGCCATCATGGGTCTCACCTTCTCCAAGTTGTTCGACCGCCTATGGGGCAGAAAGGAGATGCGAATTCTGATGGTTGGTCTTGACGCAGCCGGAAAGACCACCATCCTGTATAAGCTGAAGTTGGGTGAAATCGTCACCACCATCCCCACAATCGGTCAGTCACCTCCCCTTATCCTCCGGGGCCGCTCTCCGCCAGTTGGCTTGGTACCTCATCGCCGCGCGGGGTGTATAGTTGGATGGGATTGCTGACATATTGCCATCCGTTGTGAAGGTTTCAACGTCGAGACTGTCGAATACAAGAACATTCAGTTTACCGTGTGGGATGTCGGTGGTCAGGACAAGATCCGTCCTCTCTGGAGACACTACTTCCAGAACACTCAGGGTATTATCTTCGTCGTCGATAGCAACGATCGCGATCGTATTGTCGAGGCTCGTGAAGAGTTGCAGCGCATGTTGAACGAGGATGAACTCCGTGATGCTCTTCTCCTTGTTTTCGCTAACAAGCAAGATTTGCCGGTATGATATTACTTTGGTTGTCCTGGACATTGGTGGGGCGCGGATGTTAACGCTCTTTCTCTCTAGAATGCCATGAGCCCCGCCGAGATTACCCAGCAGCTTGGTCTGCAAAGTCTCACTCGTCGCCCTTGGGTAAGTCTGCCTCGGTCCCCTGGATCTCCAGAGGTTGAACCAACTTCTAATGTCTATATGTGTAGTACATCCAATCTACCTGCGCTACCACCGGTGACGGTCTGTACGAGGGTCTCGAGTGGCTCGCCGATGCTTTGCGGAAATCGAACCGTGATTAAATTGTTATAATGCGATGAGCGGAAGAATACCTGGATGTGTGACTGGGAGTTGGGGATGATGGATGGGGGCCGAACCGGAAAAGACACCTCGCGTAGGGATGGGATATGCTACTTGGTGGTGCTTGTATGTTCTCTAACGGCTCTTCATTCTTCTATGCTATTTAGCTTTTATTGTTCTCTTTCATCCCGGCGTCGATCCTAACGAAATACTCCTTTTGTGCCCTGAAACCTCATATCTTTCATTTCTTTTTTTGGTCTCCTTGTGTTCACTTGCAGTCAAGACTTGATATTCATGATCACGGAGAACGGGTTTACGCTCCAGACGTCATATGTATGTCGACGCATTTTATCTGTTTAACTGAAAATGTAGATTTTGTGGCCTGTAGGCTCTTGCTATTCTCCAACTGCATCGATCTAGTTCTGATCCCTTTCAAATGCTTCTCAAACAAACATAGCAAACGTTTGCACGTGAAAGTCTTCCTGGTTCGTTTCTACTCATTCTCATACACCCATCACCCCAGATAGGAATACGTTACTCTGGCAAATAGTTGGGCAATGCTTCCCCTCGCACCCACCATGCTGCGGCGCGAATGATCTCCACTACACATCTCCGCTCTTCTTCAGTCCTCGGAGCATAGATCATGACAAACCCGGACGGCACGGAGCGCCTCCACCACCACCAATCCTCTCGAGCAATCGGGTGTCTCTCACCCCAGCCTTTCTCCAGCACAAGCCGCACATCCGCCGGGTGTAGCGTGAGATGCAAGCTCCCGTCAATCGGATGCGCATGGCAGACCTCGCCGTTACAGGTGAGCCGCTTCTGTTGCTGCTCCTGCTCTTGACGTGACAACGCAGCCGGGCCAAGCTTACAGAAGATTCCTGTACTATGCTTCTCGAAGCATGATGTGCCTGTGTAAAGTACGGAGGGGTAGGCATTGACGAGGCCGTGGATTTCCTTCGTCAGCGCTGCGTACATTTCTGCACTCGCCCTCTGGGTTGTTTGTCGGTGCGGCACGATACCGACTACTTTAGGACGGGGCCCGGAGCGGTCTGGGAGATTGCGGCTTTTGAGATAGCCTTCTTGGGGGAGGAGAGTGCATGGGAGGGAAGGTGGTGCCAGGGGGTTCCGGACGGCGAAGGGCCGCAGGATGCAGATCTGGAGGTACCCTGCTGGGGTTGAGGGTACTCCCCCAGGGCCTAGAGCTAGGTAGGCATGGTAGTCTTGTCGGATGTGGTGGGCTAGAAAGATGGTTGGGAAGAGGAGGAGTGGGAGGAGGATATCTAGAGCGAGGTTGAATTTGGCTGTGGCTTCCACTGGGGTTGGAATTGCTAGCGGGGAGAAACCACTTTCCTGGAGATCTTAGTTTGGTTTGGGTATTCACTAGGAGAGGGCTCTATACACTGGGGGATGTGTCTCGCAGGGAATGGTACATACCATGTTTGCTTTTGGCTGTCTATCCTAGTTGTTGGGTGAGTAGTAGTAGTAGAAGTAGTAGTAGTAGTAGTAGTAGTAGTGGTACTGGGGATCGACGATGCAGTGTAGCAGTGAGGTAGAACAATAACTGACCCTGGACTCGAAAGCTGGCTTTCTCCTGCATATGTGTTCGTTGTTTAGGTCACACGTGCCACGACTTTGTTTCTAAATAAAACCGGCCCAACCATGCCGGCCGTGATATTCCCAAGGATATCGGTCAAGCATGAAACGTGGATAACCCTCCGACATGGACATGACTTATATACCGGTCTATTATAGAGTTCAACCTTGGGCGACCTGGAGCTCTGCGAAAGGAACTACAATTGTATCCAATGGCATTCCGTCAATCTGATGTCAGCAGGATTGGGGATAACCACATGACCACGAAACGGAATGCTACTAGTAACTGACTTGTCACGTTCAGCAAGTTGAGAGATGTCCTTGGTCGAGACTTGTTGAAAGCTACTGTGGGGACTGAGCGAGATGTGGGCCCTCTGAACGGCGTCATAGAGTCGCGAAGTACCACTCCTAGCGCATGGCCGGAAATGGTAAGCGACCTCCAAAGTTTCCTCCCCATTTAAAGGCTGCGGAATCATCTTCTGATGGCCTTCTCGGTAGCTCTGTATGATGATACGATACTATACTATTGCTTACAAGACAGTGACCTCTTCTTTTCGCTATTGCTGGGAATCCCTTGCGGAATCATTTCTCCCCTTCAGCGACGCCTGTTACGTTTCGACCGCCATTGATCGTTAGGCGCCCTGCTATCTCCCTGCATACAAGGCAACTCATCACCGACAAGCCAAGCCTAACTTTGACCCCTGCGTGTGACGGTGTGAATACGTGTCATTCCTTTAAAACAATCCCTCGTGGCTTGGCGATCTATCGACAGTTGAAAAAAATGCTCACTTTCAATGAGATTAACGTTTAATGATTGGGTAGTAGACGCTCAGAGATCTGAAGCTCCCGACTTTATTTGCAGGTCATGTTAGGAATCGTGAAGGCGCCCGTCCGGGCTATAGGTCAGTCAAGCAACGGCACTCGAGTTGAGCCGATGTATACTTGTGGTTTAATATCCACTCGGATTCGGTTGTAACAATATGTTGGCTGGAATACTAGGGCTGGTGACATGAATGGATCTATTTTCGTCATACCGCAACTCTTCCAAGAGACCAGGGAAGCATTAATACCGTGACTCAGACTCTTAACGACGTTTGTGCTACTGTTCTTGGTTGCACATTGTCTTCGCCCGAAGATACGGCGGGTGGTGTCTGCAGGGAAGTGTTCCTTCTGTAATGGAGTCTTTGGTCGTCCCTCTCATGAATATAACTTAGTGTGTCGACGGTAGGTATAGTATGTAGCGCTCACTATGGGATTTATGCTATTGACGCAGAATATCAACAGATGACCTGTACTGGTGTCTTATCCAGAGTAGAGGCATTGATGTACGGCCCGGGGAGTGATATGCTTGCACCGTTGTGATCTCACGTGTCTCCCCAATGCAGCAGCTGCTCAAGAGACATGACCGAAAGGAGTCGACCAGAGTGAAGCTTCGTTCTCTTTGTTCAACTTCCAAGTCAAGGTAACGAAGGGATGAAAAGGGAATAGTCCCGTCCTGTTTAGGACCCCTTGCTAATCCGGATTGAGCAACGGGGCAAACGCCTTCCGGAAGCAGCATCAATCAGAAGGCACTTGGAATACTTAAAAAAGTCGATCGGGAGGAAACTCTCAATCCTATAGACATTTCTTCATCCTTGCAGCTTTCATCCCCATGATTGTACTGGACGTGCCTGACTCGATTCTTTCCATCGGTTCACACCTGCCAAGCCGGTCTGGCCCGCATTAGCGTGCGTAAGCGTGGGATATCCCTTGGGCAACGCCGATTGGATTGGATTGCAATACTACTAGTAGTTGCTGGGGTCGCTGTTTTGTTTTCCTATGTCTTGTTCGCCTGAGTCTTGAATCCCAACTTGATGCAAATCAATTGATATCCATCGACTTGGTCACCGCCGACGGTCGAACTGCCAGAACTCTTCCATTCCTTCCCCGCATCCGTTGCGGCCGTCCAAACATTGAACGCCACTGATCGATAGTGTCGCATCCTGATCTCTGGGTATGTATGTCTCTGTAGCGGGAACCTAAATTGTCTCTTCTTCATGCTTCTCGCAATGCTTATTCTCTACGGATATATAGTTCGCTCCGAGGAAGATATACTCTCTCCCATTCCGGTGAGACGTCAACGCCGTCCCACACTGACCATTCTACCGACCGCACGGTGACGTATTCAGCATTCCGTCCGATGTCCACCGGTTCCTCTCAATCATGACGGGTAAGACGAGGCGGCATGCCTCCGCGTACAACAGCCGAGACGCGGTGATAGATGTCGAAAAACAGCCCTTCCGGCCTAAACACCACCGACAACATAGCCACAGCTCGTTCGACTCAGATAGTGGTGACGACTCTGTGACCTCCTCCGCTGCTTCCTATCAACCCATGCTAGACGGTCCCGCACGCCGCCGTCCCCGGCCCGTGACGGGGTTCTATCGCGTGCCCAATCGGATCATGAGACGACTGTGCTTTGGGTTGTTCATCGCGCTCGTACTCTTCATCCTTACCCTCTTTCGATTCACAATCAGATCCTCCGTTACCCAGGTCCCCCTCGAAGTTCCAAAGACAACCCCAAAACCGCCCCAGTGGGAGAGTTTCCCTTTTCTAAAACGATATCATGGTGGGCTGCGGTCCCTGGTGCCGCGTAAAGGCCAGGTACCTGAATACCCAGGTGACAACCCAGATGTGATGGGACTGGGGGGCGATGCCGAAGCGAATGCAACAGGCCTCCAAGCTTGGGATGAGGCTCTGCCCATTTCTAGTCTAGCTTTCGATCCGTACCCCAACTACACCTCGCCGGAATACATTGCAAAATACGGCGAGAAACGGGAATGCTTCTTAGACGAAAAAGAAACAATGCGCATTCCCCTGGTTCATTCCTATCCTGGTGTGCCTCGTGGGTTTCCAGAAGCCGTCATGGGCTCAAATGAAGAGATAGGCATTCGGGATGATGTCTGCTTTGATCGCTTTGGCCGCCTAGGTCCCTATGGGTTAGGATATAGTGTCAGGAAAGGTGGCATTGGTGCTGGCTTGGAGGGCCATCGAGAAGGCGCGGAACATGTCTGGGATGAATATCCACCAGTGGACTTTCGCAAAGTCGACTGGGCTGCCGCTCAGAATCGGTGCCTGGTAGCAAATGGTCATCGCTTCAAAGACCTCCCACAGCCGCGTTCGAATCGCTTCCTGTCTATGCCAATCGGTGCTCGAGACTTAAATGACAAACCTCAGGAGGCTGCTCCTGTCGACCCTGAGCTGCCTCAAGCGGGGACAGGGCGCTTGCCTCGAACAGCGGTGATTATACGGACGTGGCACGACTTTCACTATACTCCCGAGGATATATTGTATCTGCGATCGTTGATCTCCGAACTCTCTCTGCTTTCCGGTGGAGAGTACACGATTCACTTTCTAGTGCATGTCAAAGATGAGAATCTCCAAATCTGGTCCGATGATGAGACGTATGAACGAGTGCTAAAGGATGCCCTGCCAGAAGAATTTCGCGGCATGGGTACTCTTTGGTCGGAGCGACAGATGTCCCTTCTGTACTCCGGACTGGAAGAAACATGGACCCGGGGGCTACCCATTCATGGCGTATACCGCAGCACCCACATGCCCACGCAGTATTTTGCGCAGCAGCATCCGGAATATGACTACTATTGGAACTGGGAGATGGATGCACGCTACACTGGTCACTGGTATCATCTCTTCGACAAGGTTGCGAGCTGGGCCCGGGCGCAGCCACGGAAGGAGCTGTGGGAAAGGAATGCTCGCTTTTATGTCCCCGATGTCCATGGAACCTGGGAAGATTTCAAACACATGGTACGGGTGCAGACTGAGATTGGGACCAACAGCCCTAACAACTTATGGAGTGCGCCCCGACCTGGGCAGGACCAGTCCTCAGGAGATAAAGCTCGTCTTCATCAACAGGGAGATAAAGCTGTCTGGGGTCCGGACCGGCCTGACGAACGCGATATCCTTGAAGTTGAGGGAGAAGGAATCCCACCGACCACGATGGACAAGGATCGGTACGACTGGGGGGTTGATGAGGAAGCGGACTTGATCGTTTTCAACCCTCTCTACGACCCCGAAGGAACAAGCTGGCTCCTCCGCGACGACGTGACAGGATACAACAAGGATAACGGTATGCCCCCACGTCGTGCGGCTATTATCACCGCGTCCAGACTCTCGCGCAAACTGCTGCACACCATGCACCAGGAGATGGTTCACAAACGCCACAGTATGTTTTCCGAGATGTGGCCCGCCACCACCGCCTTACACCACGGGTTCAAGGCAGTCTACGTGCCCCATTCTGTCTATATCGACCGGAGATGGCCGACTAAATACCTCGAGTCCGTGTTCAATGCAGGCCGCAACGGCGCATCGGGCGGTGCCAGAACCTCTATTTTCGGAGACCGCGAGCACAACTTCAGGGGCACTACGTGGTTTTACTCGGCCGGATTCTCGCCGAACCTCTGGAGACGCTGGCTGGGCTACAAGGTGGACAACGACGGTGGTGAGCTGGCTGAACTAGCCGGTGAAGGCAGAATGTGTCTTCCTCCTATGCTTCTCCATCCTGTCAAGGATGTGGAAATGATAATCGACGACGGTGCCAAGGAAGGCGAGTAGGGCATGCACCTTTATAGCTGCACTTTGGCTTTGGCTTCTCTAATGATTCAAGATAAGATATATGTGGCTTTATGTTTTTTCAACGATCTTCTTGTGTATATGTGTGACGTATCTGGTTTTGTGGGCGAAAAGGGGCGTTCTTGATTGCTTAGGTATTGATCTATACCTGTATATGAATGAACTTGCATGAATTGGCCTTTGAAGATGGAGATTTGTATCCGTACCTCTGGGCCTAGATTTAGATGTGTCTTTTTCAATATAGATGTGTGCTATGTGCTTGTCTATCCGTACGTCATGCATCTCTCGAGAGTCAATCGTAATCCCCTGGATGGATTATTATGGTAGTATAGTGAAAATTGAAAATGTCATACCCCATTACTCTGTTCATATCTCTTAAGGTCTAGATCTATGCCACTAAAGCATCACATTCTACAATTTCGACTGGGCTTGATCCTGTCCCTGGGATACCAAGCCCGCTTCTATAGCCTTGATCTGCAGAGCCAGGAATTTAGAATAGATACGGCATAGGGCTAGGTTTCCTCCATGGAACCAGAAGCCTGGGTGGCCGCTGGGTCGCCACATCTATATTGCTGTTAGTATTGCCAAGTTTGTTGATAGTGTGCATACTGAGAGGAATGGGAGGGAAAGGGTAAGCATGAGCGTAAGATGAACAATACAACGTACCGCATTGACCTCTCCTTCCTCATCAAGATCCCAGACATCCTTGCACCGGTCTGCGACTGTATCACCCAGGATTTTGCGGACGGTGGTCCGCATGTTATCGTATCCCGTCGCAAGGACGACGATGTCTGCTTCAAGAGCGCTGCCGTCTTTCAGGATCAGACTGCTCTCATTGAACCCGGTGATTCCCTCGGGACTACGCTTGACTTTGATCTTGCCGTCGGCGATGAGCGGGCTGCATCCGACGTCAATGTAGTAGCCTCCGCCTCGGGTCATATATGCGCGGGAGATGCCGGCGCCGTCTACGCCGAAGTCGAGCTCGAAACCTGCCTTTTGGAGGCCCTCCAGTATATCTCTTTCTGCAGCGTATGCTCTCTTTGTGAAGTGGACGGCGAGTGCGAATTGGACTGGGTATGGTAAGCTTTCTGCCATGATGTCGGCTTCTTCTGTTGGTGGTCTGTTGGGATTTCCTATGTTAGTGTGATGATCCTTTCTAGCTTCTGAGGGGGTCCGTACCCGTTATCTTCGTGGAGGCCTTCGTGCATCATGAAGACACCCTTCTCTGCTGTGATGACGTATGTTCCACTTCTTTGGAGCATGGTTACCTGTGCACCGTTCTCGTAGAAGTTCTGAGCAATGTCGTGTCCGCTGTTCCCGGTACCGACAACGACAACCTTCTTCCCTCTAACGTCATGCTTGGATGCGTCATCGTGTTGACTACCATGGTATACCTGCCCCTTGAACTGGGGTTGTCCTGGGAAAGTCGGAACCTTTGGTTCGCCAGAGTGACCGGTGCACCAGATAAGATGGCGTGGATGGAGGGTTCGCTCGGACCCATCACCTCGGGTTACAACCACTGTCCATTGTGCTTTTGCGTCATCATATACCGCGGATTTGATGCTGGTCCGGAGCCACACGTTCAGCTCCATGATGCTAGCATATGCTTCGAACCAGTCGCCGAGCTTGTCTTTAGGGGTGAATTGCGGCCAGTTCTTTGGGAAAGGAAGGTACGCCATGTGAGTGAACTCCGCCGGATCGTGGGTTACCAGAGTCTGGAGTAAGACATTATTAGCAGAGTTCTTACACTACGTAGCTTTACCAAAATCGGGGCTTACCCTGTAGCGCTTTCTCCAGTTGTCGCCGATCCTCTCATTCCGGTCGACTATCAGGCAGGATACACCGAGGGATTGAAGCCGGGAACCCATATTAAGACCAGCTTGACCTATAGCATTGTGTCAGCTACATCCATACTAAGAGTTAGATATAGGTGAATATACTCACCGGCGCCAACAACAAGTGTAGTAGGCTCTTCATCTATGAACTCTTGTTGTCTTTGACGTCTTTCTAGCCAGTTTCCTTGACTGAGACCTCCCGGCATTGTTTCGATAGTTCCTTCTGGTCTTTTTGATCCGAGAGGCTCTTCGAAATCTTTAAATTCCTGTAGCGAAGTGTAGATTGAGTATGCTTTCCATGCTCCGGCGTCGTTTTGCGTGAGACGAAGAACGCCGGCTCCACGTCCGACACGGGTCTCAAAAAAGAACATGGAAGATATCCAGCTTAGGCCGTCCACTGGCCTGTCGAATGTGGGCTGAAACTTGCCCTCATGCTGCAGACGGAAGGCTGAAAGCTGAGACTTTGGTTGATGACGGCGAACGTAGTCTTCAATGTTGCTGCAGTTTTGAATTGTACGAAGGTCCCAATCCAAGGCTAGCATGTCTCTCCACCAGGACTCCTGGTGGAAGAGCTCTGGGAGTTGCGCAAAGTCTCCACGTTTAAGGAGAACTTCTATATTCGCGATCCATTGTTGGGCAATCGCACGAGGTTCTAGGGATCTAGTCCTCGAAGGCGTCACAGGGAGCTTGATAACGTAATGATTTTGAGCAAGAGACATTGTGAAACTAGAATCGGCTCCACAACCGCAAAATCTCCGCTCTAGGGAACGAAAGACGCTTCGGGTTCAGGTAATATAAGGGCCTGATAGAATCGTGTTCTACGACGCGATCCTGGCAGAAGCCTGGTCAGAAGGTCCTCTTTATACAGCATCGCTACAGAATCCGAGGGAAACTGGACCGAGATAAAGAAGAACCTGCGCTATCTTCGAGGGGGAGTTGCACAGCTGGAGCGAAGTCCGATAGAATCATAGAACCCAAGTCGGCAGAAGTCCGGAGGGACGATAAGATGTGGGGTATGAAGAAATACCCCGGAACAAAAGTAGCCGAGAGGGGCCAATGGTAGGTTTGCCGAAAGTGGTCCAGGAGGTAGAAAAGCTGAATCATTCGCAGTTTGAGAATCGCATGAATTCCCCCTTTCAGTAGTTCTTGACTGGTGTTTCCTTGCGTACCGTTGCCTGCCAGATTAGGTGATTGTAACCGCCTCCAAAGTTTCTACTTGTCGCAGCCGCTGAAGTGGGGGGCCTCAGTACATGGCAAAGAATGATTGAGTGTTATTGATGTGCTAATGCAAGCCACAAAGAGATGGCAATCCTGGCATTGTTTGGCTCGTCCCGCGGTTTTTGTTGGTTGTTTGTTGGGTGTAATTTTATGCTGACAAATTTTGACGGCAGTTCAGTTGCATAAAGAACCTGGATTGACAGCGAAGGACCCAAAAGATGGAAACCGAACCAACAACGGGAGTCACCTGCTCAACAGGTGATTGACAGGTGACTGCTGATGCTCACGTGGGTCAGCGCAAACGAAATGAAATTGTTTTTGCAAAGGAGACCTCCTTGTGTAACGAGATGAAATAGTCGGAATAAAAACAATGCACTTGCGGCATGGGTTGGCCCTTCCTCCGATGACCAATTATAAAGGCATCATGACACAGATTGGAGAATGAACTACGGATGAGTTGTCTGAGGAAAGAAAGAGCCTTCCTTGGTTGCTGGATGGCAACACGAGCGCGCTCTTACATTACAAAGAAGCACAGCCTTGTCCTATATAAGATTCCGATCGGCCTGGGCGCTGTCTCGTATCCCGAACATTGTTTGTTACACTTGTTTGCCTTAATATTAACCCTTCATCTCTTCCCACAGCCTCCTGGCAATCTCCAGCTTGCCATACATTAAACAGCTCTGCCCCATTTGTGAAGAAACAGGTGCACTCCGTCTTGATCACATTTCGAACAAAAATGCTGTCCAAATTCCTCGCCGCAGGCGCAACCCTGGCACTTTTCTTTTCATCCGCAATTGCCCTTGATGCCCCTGTCATCAAAGACAACCAACCTCAAACCGTGTACGAAGCTGTTTTCCAGGACAAAGACAACAGCACTGTTCGAGGAAAATATACTGCCTATGGTGCTGATGATGGAATTGGAATCCATTTTCGTGTTACTCTTACTGGAGTTCCGAAAGATACATTTTTAAGTTCGTACATACTGGGTTTGGATTCACTAACAATAAGACTGACGCGTGTTAAACGTAGACTACCACATTCACGACAAGCCGGTGCCCGAAGATGGCAACTGCTACTCCACAGGTGGACACCTAGACCCTTACTTGCGCGGTGACCAGCCTCCTTGCAATACCACCGTGCCTGAGACATGCCAAGTCGGGGACATAAGTGGAAAACATGGACCTGTGTGGACTGCCGATGGCGACTTCGACGTCTTGTACAGGGACTTCTTCCTTTCGAATGTGAAAGATACTGTCGCCTTTTTCGGTAATCGCTCGGTCGTTATACACCTGCCTGATAACAAAAGGATCAACTGTGGTAATTTCCACTTGGTGTCTGATGAAGAGGAGATGGGGAAAGAGGCGAAGAAAGACCAGGGTTGTTAATACGACGTGTTTTTCTTGCTAATAATACGTCCGGCGTAGATTCTAGTTGGGTATCTCGGTCTCGGTTATGGATGGTTTAGAAAGGCCGATGCTTGCCGTGTCGCTTTACGGTTTACCTTTTTTTTGTTGTTGGGAAAAGAAAAAATCAGGTCTAATAATAGTGATAATGCATTCGATTTCGGACTAGTCTTTCCATTTCTGTTTTCAGATTGTTACCTATATACTATTGAGAGGCTCTGCTGGTTAAAAAAGGCCCCCAAAAGCGTTCCCAAAGTTGTGTTAGGCCCCCCAAGCACGAGTCTAGAGGACTAGCATTATGGGGCCTGATATCCTTCGCTCCACACCGAGTGGCGGTAGATGTCGCTGGATCAAAAACCTTACGCCCTTTTTATAGGGCGTATTTTTGCGCAGCTGCATCTGGAGAAGAGCTTGCCCTTTCCACGGCAGTTACGAGAACCCCGATTAGTATCCGACTCTGTTCTTCGGGAACAATGGAAACTGGCCGCAAACGGAGGCGACTGGCGACGGCGTGTAACTGGTAACATGACCGTTTTTTTAAACTTAGGCGTGCGGCACTGTCTAGTCCCCACAGCCCCAGTAATCTGACAACGGAACCCGATTTCACCAGGTCGGTCTCAGGTAGGCTGTCCGTCCAAGCTCTCAAGCCTGCTTTGAATTGCATTCTGATCATCTTGTCCCTCTTCCGCCTTATATTCTTGGAGTACAATAGTCCGCATTAGGCGCCGAGGGGCGCGGCGACCCGTGAATAGCTCGAATTGCGCGAATCCTTGCTCTGGAAGGACATCAAGGCCGTCCAACGCAACCCAGCCACGGTGAGAAAGAGCTCGCATTTGTTTTACCAGCGGGGTATCGAGAGGCTTATAAGCGAGCTAGATAACAATTAACAGTCTGTCCAGGCATACTTTGCATATATCTTGAATAAGGCAATAACTTACCTCGACCACAACTCCACCGGTAGGGCTTCCAAGCCACCGAGAGGGTATTTCAAAGTTGGGGGCCGGCTGACCCCCGATGCTGTGCGCTGGTATGCACGAACATATCACGGTTGGTGGGTTATAGTTAGCCGGCCAACTATCTTGTAGTGAGCGTAGAGTATGAACTGTCGAGTGAGTCGTTGGCGCATTGTTGTTATGCGTAGGAAGATTTTGTCGATTGTAATGGTATGCTAACTTCTCGGCATTGGCAAAGGTACGGTTCCATACAAATATGTTCTGCACTCCCAAGTGGATCATAGAGTATACGGCAGCACGGGCCATACCGCCTGAGCCAATAACCAGCCCTGTAGACGATGGACGAATCGCGTTAGCAGGCGAAAGTCCCCGTCGAAGGCAATTGCAGATGCCAATCCAATCCGTGTTGTCTCCATGTAAGCCTTTTATCGGCCCTGCCCGGCTTTTCTCCAGATACAAGGAGGACCCTTTGGAAACAAGAGCGGGATCCTCCAGATCCCGGATTGGTATCAGAGTATTAACGGCCCCGATTGCTCGGGCGTGAGGTGACATTGAATGAAGGAGCGGGATAGATTCTGTCTTGTAAGGCAGACTGACACTGGTTCCTCCAAAGTTCGGGTTTGCTACTAACTCATTGAGGCCTCGCAGAGATGGTGACTGGCGAATACTATAAACGTGTGGCATCCCACATGCCTTATATGCTGCGTTGTGCATGGCGGGAGACAAACTGTAAGTTACATTGGCACCGAAAACGAAGAACTGCATCGGGTCCAGAGCGAAGGAGGCATAGAGCGCTTCTTGTGCCTCACGTAACGTGATGTAAGGCAGGTTCTTCGCTTGGGTCTCGGACAGTAGGGCTTCATTATTTACCGGTGTCAATATCGGGTTAAAACAGCAAGACAGCCGACCCAGTGAGCCTGAATTGTAGGCTATGAGAGGCAACTGCGGGCCAGGGAGACCTTGGATACGATGACGGAAGCGTTGGACAGCGTGGTTATCGTCCATTGATGATGCCGGCTGTGCCAATCGAACTATATCGCATCCGAGTCGTTTGGCACGTTCGTACAGCTCGAGGTAGACAGGACCGTCCCAGCCTTGGTCAACGGGTTGTATAGAAGCAAAATGCCCAATAACCTTGCTTGAGCCTTTCGAAGCGATAATTTGTGATAAGACACCGTCATCGTAAGATAGATCAACCGTTATGAAATCAGGAGCCAGTCGTAAACCATGGTGTATCAAATTTAGATATGCGGCACTAGAACGGTGAAACGGCTCATTATGCGGTGATGCCGAGCCAACCAGGCTTACATCGCTTTCAACATGGTATATCAGAGGGACAACAATGTTCCGCCGAATGTTAGCCATAGTTTGACTAATCCTATCCGCAAGGGTGGATTCGAGCCCTAGACGAGAGGAAGGAATATCCGTCACATCGATCTTTAGTTCGAAGGCATCTGCAGTTGATTCCAAATCCTCAATATTGAGATTCCTCGTGAAAAGAGTGGATATCGGTACAGATACAGCATAAGTGAAGATCCGTGTTTCGACTGGTTGCGTAGAGAGTGGGAATGATGCATGTTGGTTACTCAGGTCGGTAGCATTTCCAGTGGCGAAAGCAATGAAACGAACAAAGTCACGTTGCAACCGTTTAAGAGTCAGAAATGGCGTGAATGTTTGGGAGCGCTGATCTACTTCAAGCTCAAGCTGTGAATGATGCTGACCGCTCTTCCCTAATGTGAGATCTCCATGGCCGGTTTCCGAGACATTGAAGAACTCAAGGTTTGAACATGCGCGATAGATAGGACCCGAAAGCTCGAGAAAACGGCGAACTTTGTCTGTGTCCCATGCTTGTAGATATGCTTGAATACTTTCCGGATCTCGAATGATATGGATGACAGGATGCGTTTTTGCATATTCCCTGAGAAGCATTTGCCCACTGCGCTCCATGGAACCTGGCCCGCACGCGATGACCCAACCTTCTTTATGTTCCGATAGCATAGATTCCATAGCTCTAGCTTCCTGCTGACGATACTCGGCAATTCCATGTTCTTTCTTGAAAGCTGCACGTGAACGTCCTGTTACTTGCTGGAAATAGCGATCGGCATCAATCAATCGTCTTCCGGAAGTTGCGGCCAAGATGACCGCAAGACTAGACTTGCCTGTGCCACGAATTCCAACTAGTACAATGGAAACATTTGGTGCGAATGTCCTCTGTACCTGGAGGGGGCTCTCGAAGGATACAGGTGACGCCCTACTGGAGTTCAGCTCACGCGAAGAAGACTCTCTAGTGGTCTCCGCCGGCTCTGCCAGAGGGGAAGCGGTGATTATCGGATGCCCAGCATCTTTTCCAGAATTCAGTTCCAATGACAGATGTGCACTGGGGGTAGCATTTTGGTAGCGACCACTGTATGATAGCCTATTCCTTTCCTCAAGCCCTTCGATTTCAGATCGTTTACGTTTTGGCGGCCTCACGAGTATAGACATATTGTCACACTGAAGTAGGAGCGCCTATGTCTTCGGCAAATAAGGGCATTCCTGGTTTATGCGCGGCGTGGGTAGTGAGATGGAGACATTGAACAAGGAATAGATGTACGACTGATGGCGAAAATGTAGAAACCAAGGTACAAGTGCTCGGTAGGGAGAATTCACTGTAAAAAGCTAGAATAATCGGGGTGACGGCATGAGTGACTCTGCCAGGGTTCAACGCGGCGTTGGGCGACTGCCTCCCGTCCAAGAAAAATCAATCAATGTACGATGGTGGTTGTGGAGGTGGAGGAAGAGCTAAGGGGTCCTAATCGTGGGGAAGCGACACAGTTGGTTTGGGGGAGCCTTAGGGCCTCGGAGATTTGGATCCGTTGGAGTTTGCGGACAAATGCTCAGCCGTGAAAATTACCACCCACAGGGTTTAAAATACTGTATCGTCTAGAATCATTCTAGGTGGCAATTACTACCCCGCGGGGATTAACCCACTCGGGCGACATTCCCGAAAAACAGTATTGAGATACGAAATAATACCGAGTCTTACCGACAACTCAGTATAATATGACCACATTACTCGCAAGCATTGACTTGCTGTTTGGGCATTCCTTCATATGAATTAGCAAAAGATCTTTAACACTGTCCCAGTGAAATAGGTACTTACTGGGGGCCTGCTCGCTAAGTTCATTTAGCGATCATGAGTCGAAGGGGAAGTGGAGAAGATTAGATTACTAGTGCCATGGTTCCCAAGTGTTTTCAATCCGTCTACTTTGATTCGGGGGAGGTCATCGCTTGCTCCGTACTCTGTATTGACACTAGACCGCGGGTAAGCAATAGGGCCGCTTTCCCCAACTTCCACCAGCATACATTCGTTTTTCCTTTCTCCGCTTTTTCATTCTGTCAATATCTCAATTTTTGCTGTCACCACCAAATTCGGATTGGTTACGCACAGATTCTAGTTCTAGTTGGACTAAGCGATCTAGTCTCGCTTGACAGCACGGACTAGCTCATATTCCTTGTGTTCCCATTGCCCTGTGTGGTGGGGTGAATTGAAGTTCAATTTCTGCAAAGTCATCTGCCGGCAAATGATACATCTCGGTTGCATCTGACGATGGACATGCGTCCAGAACAATCTAGTGCACTGCTATTTAGACGATCATGAGCAGCGACATGCGCCAAGCCTCCGGGAACAGCAAAGCTAAACGACGACTGATTGATGCCGACGACGATAATAGATCGAATACTGCTGCAGATGAGCATACCTCTAATCCCAAGAGACAGCGGGTCTCGCGCGCCTGCGACAGCTGTCGGTCGAAAAAGGATAAATGCGATGGGGTCCAACCAGTGTGTTCAACCTGCGCTTCGCTGTCCAGGCCCTGCACCTACAAGGCCAATCCCAAAAAGAGGGGCTTACCAACCGGGTACATTCGAACGCTCGAGTTGCTATGGGGTCTCGTGTTCTGCAAGATAAAGGGTAGTGAGGATGTGGTTCGCGCGTTGTTAAAGGCAGCCAACATGCCAAGTCATTTGTCTACAATGGGTAAAGAGGCTGAGGGGTCCGACACACTTCTCTTCTCGTGGAAGAATAGTGCTGTGCTTAGAGATGTCGAGCGGATGTTGACCTTATTAGAGCAGCCGGAGGACGAGCAAGATAAAGAGCTACGAGCCCCTGGAGATAGTGATTCTCCTCAGGATGCCGAAGGCAGTAGTGTGCTATCTTCCGATACCCTCGAGTGGTATATTCCTGAAGGGTTAGGAGATGGAAGGGAGAGTTCATTAGCTGCAGGGCCATCACCCATCAAAACGCCTACAATTGGATCAACCGCTAAAAGCCATCCGACACGCAATACCCGAGACTCCAGCACTCAAACATCCTCCCCGAATGACGCCACAGAAGACCCCAGATTACTAGCCACTCATCCACCACCGCTGCCTCACTCCATCCATTCCTCTGAGAGTACATCGAGATACCCGCCTCCCCTCCCCTCCAATGCTTGGGCATTGATTGACCTATACTTTACATATACACAATGTTGGTTTCCAATACTCGAAAAGCACGATATACTTCGGACTGCATTTCGCCACTCGGAGGATGACACCCCTGTTTCGGCTACGTCTGCTGGCTCTGGCAATCACGCGGCACTATGGGCAGTTCTAGCTCTTGCCTCTATTCAGGAGGCTTCAATTACCACGACTCGTCAAATGCTGCAAGCTTCTAGCGACCGACCAAATCCTCAACAGTTGTATATAACTGCCAAAAGTCTAATCCCAGGAGAAGAAGGTGCCTATGATATTGGCCATGTTCAAGCATTGCTGATCTTGTCACTTATCAAACTTGGTCAACAAGAGTGGGCAGCTGCATGGGTGCTTGTAGGACAGGCCGTTCGTATTTCACAGTGTCTGAGGCTGGATCGCCCTCCAAGCACCCAATTGATTAATGAAGATGGGCTAAAGAGCCCGGGGCGAGCGAAGCATGTCTTTTTGGGCTGCTTTCTGCTTGAGACTGTAGTTGCGATGCAAACCGACCAAATCCCGTCATTGCGCAAGGGCGACCTGATGAGGATTGGCCCAATTAATGAGGATGGTTTGGAAGAATGGCATCCCTGGGAAGATCAAACTGGCCTTCGCCCGGTCGAGTCGTCACGAGGTAATTTCCATCGCGGGCCGCTCCATGCATTGAGCACTTTTAACCGACTTATCTCGTTGATATGCATTTTGAACGACCTGTGCTGTACCAAGCAATCTATGACTAGCTCTGCCTCACAGCTAGAGGTGCTGGAACGCCAATTACAGATCTGGATCTCGGCTCTTCCCAAGAGTTATCGTGTTGATGTGCAAGCGAACTCGGCGAAGCCAGCTTCACCTCACATCATTGGACTCGAGATGATGTATGAAGGCGTCGTTGCTACTCTGAGTTTGCAATTCGCAATTCAGAAAAGCGACGCCAACGTACACGAGGCGATACACAAGGGACGTGCGACAGAAAGCTCAAAAAGATTGCTATTATTACTTCAAATGTACATGGAGACTTACAGCCTCTCCGCCACTTTTCCTACTTTTGGTACGGTTCTTTCCCTTAGCACGCCCCAGGAATTTGAAACACGCAATCTGCCTTTGCTGTTTGATCTCGATTCTGGCTTAAAGCAAAAATTGCGATCGTTTGCCTCACACCTCGCGACTGTGTGGTTTGTGCAGGAGAAAGACACGTCGGGGTTACGTATGACAACAATGACACCAAATGTGTCATCGATGTCCGTAACTCAGCGACAACGAAGCCTGACAAATCCAACCTCGGCTGATCAGAATTCTTTCCACCTTGCGGAAATGCCAGTCTCAGGGAATGCAATAAGGAGAGCTGGAGCAATAGACAATACACACCTAGATATTAGTGCGGCTGATCCACTTCTTTCGAACTCCTGGATGCGAGCGGCATCAAATGCCGAGGACAATGCAGCATTGTCTTTACCAACACCTGCCTCGTCGGTGAATATCAACCGAGGAGTGACGGAAACGTTACAGCAAACCTCTCAACCGAGGGAGCCTACTTCTCATAGGCAACACGCTTCAATCTCTTCATCCACACGACCGGTAAACGGAGCGGCTTCATTACCAGACTTGAGTTCATTTCAGCCTTTACAATATCAGACACCATACAGTGAACAGAATAATAACATTGGCGCCTTTCTTGACATGGACGGATATGGGTCTCTCCAACGACCGCGGATTGCTCCCGATCTCGATGCATTATTTGATGAATTAGCATCGTTGGATGGTACCGAAAAGTGAGTAGCTCTCATCCTCGTTGTAGTTGTACAGCCGCTGACATGTGGACTGCAGAGCGGACAATCAGCCAGAATTCATGCAGAACTTAGGATTTGTTCCAGACGCGGGAATTCCGGAACTATATTCTTATTCGAGTCAGGTAGAACCTTTCCTCCTGGCCCAAACACAGCAATTGCCAATTTCCGATCCTTCGGGGGGTGCTACCACGGGAGTCTCAACAGGTAATTGAGCCACAAACTTGATGTTGGATAACACCAAGTGGGCCTCAGGCCAAGTTTAGAAGGCTTTGACTCCTTGGGTGTTCTGGCTTGCCCACCTGTTAGATATGCCCCCGCTGGTGGCATTTGATTCAAAGCACCATCTCATGGGCTGGTCCTTGTAGTGCGATAGCTACCCAGCAAAGGCTATGAAGAGTTTATGCATAGCGTTTCGCCCTTACTTCTAATTCTTCGATTGTATATATCAAGGCGTAAATAATTTGTCATTCGTGTGCAGTGACAGAAATGAATGAACGATTAAATCGATATTCACATCGAACCCTTGCAATGACACATCTACACATTACACTATATATCAACATTCATCCGAGACCTTTTTTTTCTATGAAGCATCTGTAACTGGCACTTAAAGTACAGCCTTGTCCTCCCTCGACTTGAAGTTCACAGCCACATGCTCCACCGCAACCTTATAGCCATATACTCCCAACCCAACAATTATTCCAGCGGCTTTATCGCTAAAGTAGCTGTGGTGTCTCCATGGCTCCCTTGCATGGACGTTACTCACATGTAGCTCGATGAAAGGGATATCCACCCCCACCAAGGCGTCCCGGATAGCCACTGAGGTATGCGTGTATGCGCCAGGGTTGATAACGATTCCATCAACATTCCCCCGAGCAGCTTGGATGCGATCAACAATTGCGCCTTCGTGATTGGATTGGAAGGTTTCCAGAGTAGCCCCTAGTGAAGTAGCGTGGGCTTTGCTCGAGGCTTCGACATCTGCGAGAGTGGTTGAGCCGTAAATATGAGGTTCACGAGTACCCAGGAGGTTAAGGTTGGGGCCGTTAATGAGGAGGATTGATTTTCCCATTTTGAATTATCGGTATATGAAGAATTTGGAGGAGAATAGATTTCGTTATTCGTGATAGTTGAAGCTCCGAACGTGGAAGTGTGGTATTTCGGATGCGGAGTATGGCAAGAATAGAAACTGATAGTAATTTTGTTGTTTGAAGAACTGTTTCTTGTTTCACTATTATACTTTCATACTCGTCTTATCGCATGGGTAAAACATCTGCATTCAACTTTAGTCAAGTATTACGGAGTAGCTAAATCCCCCTGGGGCCTAAACCCATACTCGTAATTAATTAACTGAATATACTTGTAATTACATCGAAAGTGGCAACCAGAAAACTTTGGTGGGGAAGGAACCAGGGTTCTCCGCATTGGACTAAAGGAAACTCCGGTAGGATGGGGAGAATGCTTTCCCGGCATGCCGAACACCCGCAGGAAGCCGGCGCATACGCTATGCAATGCTACAGTTGTTGTGCATGAGCGATGAAGATTGTATTGAGATATAAACAAAGGTGTCTCATGCGCATGAATCTTATATTCCCCAGAAATCTTAGGTACTCCTATTTAGAGAAGAATCATGGCTGTACTGAATTGTATGCAAGTAATTGTCGATGTCCGGGATACCTACACATACTGTGTGTGGCCGTGTACATAGGGCTGGAAGCATACCATTGGCCTGCTGGACAGATATACACGCCCAATTTCTTCATGAAAGGCTGAAAGGCATTGTAGATCAGATTCAGACACCTCGAAGGGTGATGATAGGCAGTTAATAGTCCATAGTATGCACTACGAGCCCACTGCTCAACTAAAGTTTGGCAGACGTTGAAGATCCCACTTCCATTGTCCGCAATTTGGCCCGGGCACTACAAAATGTCTTTTACACAAAATAGATATCAAAATTATGCTGAAGGTTGTAGCCAATCAGTGCATATTCACTTACCTACTAGGCAGATTCTCTTGGTAGGTAGGTTCATGCATGTACCCCATCCAGATGGCCACCCACGTGAGGAAACAAGCAATGTGGAGCCCGTTGATAGTCAATTTTATCGGTTACTCACGGTCGCTGGAGATAACCTGCACTCATAACCCTTGACCGGTCCACGAGGAGTCAGTCATCTTGAATATCCCACTTCAGCTGTGCTTCAGTGGTACATGTTCTAGAGAGTGCAATCAACCCAAGAAGCTTAAAGCACAGTGCTCACGATACCCATCTGAAAACCTTGCAGTTGTCGTTATCGACCCCGCACGATGACGGTCATGCAGCTCGAACAGGAACAACTGGACGAGATCTATGCTTTTGCGGTAGACCTCGGCCGTAAAGCAGGTCAGCTCTTACTGGAAAGCATTGAAAAGCGAATCGGGGGTGAGGAGAGCCAGTCGGTGGAAGAGAAAGAAAATGCAGTGGATATTGTGACTCAGACAGATGAAGGTAAGCTCTACTGCGCCCTTATCGAGATAACAACGTTTCAAGCGACCTGACGATGTTCGTACCAGATGTGGAAACATTTATCAAGACCGCAATTAACGAGAAATACCCTTCTCACAAGTCAGTCAATCCTCCCAGTCATTGCTGAATAAAACCACTTACAGGCAGCCAAAGATTCCTGGGGGAGGAGACATATGCCAAAGGACAGTCTCGAGATTATCTCATAGATGAACAGCCAACATGGTGTATTGATCCACTAGATGGTAAATCTCTCACTTCATATCGCAATTTTCTCCCTGACCATAAGCTCTAGGAACGGTTAACTTCACTCATATCTTCCCCATGTTCTGTGTCTCAATCGGCTTTATCGTTAACCACAAACCCGTCATTGGTGTCATCTATGCTCCTTTCCAAGATCAACTTTTCTCATCATGTATTAACCGAGGCGCCTGGCTCAATGAAAAGCGCCGTCTTCCACTTATCCGCAACCCGTCTATCCCACCGATGCCCCCTAATGCACCCAGCAAGTGTGTCTTTGCCTGTGAATGGGGAAAGGACCGCCGTGATATTCCCGATGGCAACATGCACCGCAAAATTGAGAGCTTTGTAAACATGGCCGCGGAGATCGGAGGTCGGAGTGGAAAGGGTGGAATGGTCCATGGTGTCCGGAGCCTGGGGAGTGCGACGTTGGATTTGGCGTATACCGCGATGGGATCATTTGATATCTGGTGGGAGGGTGGCTGTTGGGAATGGTGGGTCGCCATCTTTTGCATTTTGCGATAATCTCTGTTTCTTGGATGATATCAGTCTGACTGGCCTAGGGACGTTGCTGCTGGAATTGCGATCCTCCTTGAAGCGGGTGGCTTGGTCACAACCGCTAATCCACCAGCGGATCCTGACACTGCCCCGATTGGAGATGTGCGACTGGGCAGTCGCTTGTACTTGGCTATTAGGTAGGACATCCCTGTGAGTACTTAAGCAGTAATTGGTGGCTAACTTTAATTCAAGACCAGCGGGGCCGTCAGCAACCGAGACCGGTCGACAGACGCAGGAGAGAACAGTGAGGGAGGTATGGAAGCGTGTACGAGAGCTTGAATATACACGGCCTGGCGCTTAATTATTTCCTCGGGCTTTATAAACCTCCTGGCGCTTTTTAGTGATTATATAGACGGCCAGGTTTTGTGGAAGAACTCGTTTTTGTTCATGACGACATATCTAAATTTATCACATATGCTATGCTCTAGGGTATGCTATATACAAGAATCATGTATAGAGAATGTTATATATAAAGACAATCAAAGATTGGACTTAGATGACCTTTCAGCTAGTGACTTGGCCACCATATCCTTGACCTTATCCACCACTCCAGGAACAGCAACCACATCCTGACCAGTCCAGAGGCGGGCCTGTTCCAGGCCCTGCCAGATCAAAGCCTCTGAACCCAGGATAACCTTCCAGCCAGCGGTCGAAGCGAGCTGTGCAATTTCCGTCCAGGGAACGGGGTGATAGCACATCTCCAGAATGACACCCTTAACCGAATCCGAAGAAGAGGTCTCGCCCAGGAAAGCCTGGAGCACCTCTCGGGCATTGATTTCCTCAGGGGTCTTCGGCGGGTAGTTGGGAATACCCGAGACAATGGCTACGGGTGCCTCAAGAGAGGCTGCCACAGCGGGATCAGTGACATGAATAAGGGGAGCTTGTGCCGAAGTAGAATTCCGTTCCCTATCTTCGCTCAGAATAGTCTCAACTTCCGACGCATCACGGTTCACAATGTAGATCTTGCTAGCACCGAGCCATTTGCGTAGTACGTAAATCGCCGAGCGAGCCGTGCCGCCTCCACCGACAATCAAGGCAGGCTTGTTCTGGAACATTTCTGTGGATGGGGAGTTCTGCAGCAAGGCTTCCCGGATGCCAATGCAGTCGGTGTTTGTACCGACGTAGGAGCGGCTGCCGTCCTGTTCCTCGCGTAAGAAGATGGTGTTGCAGGCTCCGGCTTGTTTTGCGTCCTCGGTAAGGTCGTCCAGGTGAGGCATGATGGCTACCTTGTGCGGCATGGTGACAGAGGAGCCAACGAACTTGGGGTTAGCTTTGATGGCGGCCAAGTATTTATCGATGGGAGGTGACCGAGTGTACGGTGGAGGGTACGTCGCAGATGTGCCATAAACGCTGGATAGAGGGATCTGACCCCAGTTCAAACCCAATGTGCTGTAGACGGTCTTATGGAGTGGTGGGGAGAGGGAGTTCAGCAAAGGATGTCCATAGAGATATGCGACACCATCCAGCTCAGCTGGAGAGGTAATGGGCTCCTCGGGTTGAGCATCGTTCACAATCTGTGGTGCTGCCATTGTGACGGAAGGTGGAAAGTCAAGGTATAGTTGATTGTCGAAAGGAGATTGGATTGGGTATCTGGTAGTATATAAATGATGTGCAGCAAAAGAGGAACAACGCAAGTATGCCACCAGTTCATTTAACTAATACGAAAATTGTTAGTTCATTTTATCCGACGAGAACGAAAGCCAATTGTAGTTTGAGGATTCCACAACTCAAGCAATTCGGCGGAGAAACGTTTAAGATTTTAGTTTGGGCCCGTGACTTGTTCCAAGATAAGTTCAGGCAGCGGAACTTGTCCGTCGTTTTCATTCCCCTCCTCCGAGATCGCACTCCACTTGCTCTGTATTCTACTCCACAAAGTGTCGAGATTCTTCCACTACGGCTCATCTAGACAAGATACGCAATTTGTCCTATCATTGTTGGAGCACTCATCGTGATCTGTCTTGGTACATTATATGCAGCCAACCGTCACTGAAGATGGATTTCAGTGGGATGCCCAGAAGCACCGTCCAACTTTAACCTAAATCTAACTTTCTACAGAACAATTGCCGGGGAGAACGCTTTTCCCGCGCTTAGGGTGAGCTCGTCTCGCTTAATCTTGTCGTCCAAGAGTCCAGTGGCGACACAGACCCCCATGGGGAATACCTTTGGTAGAGAATCTTTCCCGGCGAAGTCCTTTCCCCAGCCACCGACGGCATCTAGCCAATGGCTCTTGGCCGTTTACTTCACCTGGATGGTCAATGTACTCCAGAGTCCTTCTTGGGGGAAGCCCGGGGTGGCCCCCCTACTAGCCATATCCAGTCTGGGGTTCCCTTTCCTCGAGTACACTAAGTGACTAAGGTCGTTTATAGTTCTTGGAGTCCTTGGCTTCCCCACAAATGCTCGCCAGCATTGCCGTCTGAGTCCCACACCCACTTGAGCGGAATCGGAGCGAGCGTGCCAACAACAATGGCAGAGATTTTATTGCGACTGGTAGAGTCATTCTGGCTTGGCTCCCTCGTAGTACAACAAAGTTTAAAAGCGTCTGGGCAAGAGGTTACGAGGAGAAACAAATACTTTCCTCCACGTGCCCTATAGAATTCGATTCGTTTTGCCGCCGACAGCTTAGCAGGCTGTGGAAAAACAATTTATCTCCGCAACCCCAGGCTCCTTTCAGCTCGCACCCCGGATTTTCGTTCCACGTTCCTTAAACAGAGGCGTTGTCGTCTAGCGTGGGAATAGAGTATAAGTATCTAGACCCCTGACGCGCGGCACTTCTTTCTCATCTTTCTCATCAAACTTGTTTCTTAATTTTACATTTACGCCACCTCAATCCCAGTGTACCTGACTTAAGTTGTTGACAGAGCCTCTGGTCATTCCCTTGAGAGTGATCACACTGTCATCATGTCTATCCTCTCTCTAGTCGAGGATAGACCAACTCCCAAGGAGGTGTACAACTGGAAGATCTACCTCCTTGCAGCCGTTGCCTCATGCACATCTTGTATGATTGGATATGACAGTGCCTTCATTGGTACGACTATATCTCTCCAGTCATTCAAGGATGAGTTTGATTGGGAGTCCATGTCTCCCGCGAGCCAAAACCTAGTGAGCTCGAACATTGTGTCTCTCTACCAGGCAGGTGCATTCTTTGGTGCATTTTTCGCCTACCCTATTGGCCATTTTTGGGGCCGAAAATGGGGCCTGATGTGCTCTGCTTTAATATTCACACTGGGTGCTGGCCTAATGCTTGGTGTCAATGGCGACCGTGGATTTGGCTTACTTTACGGTGGTCGAGTGCTCGCTGGCTTGGGAGTGGGAGCTGGCTCGAATATCACTCCTATTTATATCTCCGAGTTATCTCCACCGGCGATCAGAGGACGGTTGGTTGGAGTTTACGAACTAGGGTGGCAAATTGGTGGTCTTGTAGGCTTTTGGATCTGTGTAGGTGCTTCCTATTTGTTATACTTCCTACAAACTATCGACACAGCTAACCTTATCTGGTAGTACGGCGTTGATGAGACGTTAGCCCCGAGTCATAAGCAGTGGATCATCCCATTCGCCGTCCAGCTGATCCCATCGGGCCTTCTTCTTATTGGTGCCCTTTTTTTGAAAGAGTCTCCGCGTTGGCTATTCCTGCGGGGCCGTCGAGAGGAGGCAATCAAAAACCTCTGCTGGATTCGTCAACTCTCAGAAGACCATGTCTACATGATTGAGGAGATCGGTGCCATTGACCAGGCCCTTGAACACCAGCGTTCTACTATTGGTCTGGGTTTCTGGAAGCCGTTCGTTGCAGCTTGGACGAACAAGAAGATACTGTATCGTCTCTTCCTTGGTAGCATGCTGTTCTTTTGGCAGAATGGTTCAGGTATCAACGCCATCAACTATTATAGTCCTACCGTTTTCAAGAGCATTGGTGTGACAGGTTCGAACACAAGCTTGTTCACCACGGGTATCTTCGGTGTCGTGAAGACCGTGGTGACATTTATCTGGCTTCTTTGGCTGATTGACCATGTGGGACGGCGTCTGCTCCTCCTCATCGGTGCCGCCGGTGGCTCGGTCTGTTTGTGGATCGTCGGGGCGTATATCAAGATCGCCAGACCCTCAGAACGAGAGAACAAGGAGATGGATGGCGGTGGCATTGCTGCTATGTTCTTCTTCTACCTGTGGACTGTGTTTTATACCCCTTCTTGGAACGGTACCCCATGGGTTATTAACTCGGTAAGCTTGTCCCCCGGCTTCTGTGAATGCCATATATTAGTACATTCTTCTCTAATAGCTTCGTCTTTTAGGAAATGTTTGATCCCAATATCCGATCGCTTGCGCAAGCCTGCGCGGCGGGATCCAACTGGCTCTGGAACTTCCTCATTTCCCGATTCACTCCACAGATGTTTGCGAAGATGGATTATGGAGTGTACTTCTTTTTCGCATCTCTCATGATTCTGTCCATCATCTTTGTGTTCTTCCTAATTCCAGAGACGAAGGGTATCCCGTTAGAGAGCATGGACAGACTTTTCGAGACTAAGCCGGTTTGGCGTGCTCACGGGGCCCTCCTCACCCAAATTCGGGAAGACGAGGAACGGTTCCGTCATGACTTGGAGGATTCCGGCTTTGCGAAGAGCACCGATAAACAGGTGGAGGTCGTGGATGCTTGATGTTGATTTTTGATCTTGAATGTTGCAATTTTCTGTGTCTTGTGTGATAATTATGAACTCCAACAGCTAGGCATGATGATGAAGCCGAATGCTATCTGATGGCCCACATTCCCAATGCGAATGAGCTCTGTTGGAAACCCTGTGATAATCATTTATTATATAAACCTAGCTATACCCTACCTGGACTTGCTGTCTTTCTGTCCTCTTCTTTCAGACTGTTTCAACCCCATGGCCTTCAAATCACTCATCAATTAGCGGCTTCCTTCAAGAACGGTCTGATCTAGTTCGATTGTCTGTCCGGTTTCGAGTGCCTTTTGTACAGCTTGGCACACAAGTAAGGCCCTTAGGCCTTCCTTACCGGAGCAACTGGGCTCGGCTTTGCCTTGGATGACATCGACGAAATGGGCAAGCTGCAAATCGAACGGAGTCGCTTCTTCCACGTCAAACTTCTCGACCGTCAATGGTTGGTTCCAGCTCTTGTCCGGGCGGCCATCGTAACTCCAGCGCGTCATATCTGGGACACTGAGAGAGGCATCAGAACCAAAGATGCGGTAAAAGTCTGCGCCAGAAGAACACTTGGGAATGAGCGGATTCTCGCCGGTCCCAGCCTCAAAGTTATGTGGAGATGGCGTAGCATCGCAGACAAGGAATGTACCGACAACGCCTGAAGCGAACCGAAGCGTCAGTGCAGCACCCTCCTCGGCCTCGTGAGGGGGGTTAGGGCGCTGCGAGAGGGTCTTCTCAGCGTGAACGCGCACAATCGGGCCGAACAGGTAATGCATAATGTCAATATCATGCACAAGGTTGATCGGAACCACACCACCCGATGACCGAGCACGACGCCAATCACCTGGAGGCGCAAAGTATTGTTCCGGTTTGAACAATGTCCACAGGCCGTTAATGGCGATAACCTGGCCCAGAGATCCGGCATCCACCATCTTCTTGGTCTTCAGGACGTACGGGTTGAACCGACGGTGGTGTCCTACCAACAGCTTGAGGTGGGCGTTCTCTGGCCGCTGCGCAAACTGTAGCAGTGCCAGGCCATTGTCAATGCTGTCACTGACTGGTTTCTCAACTAGGACGTGGACGCCACTGGCTAGGAGCTCTCGTGAGACGGGGACGTGGGTGTGGTTGGGCGTGCAAACGATGGCTGCATCAGGCTTGGGAATGGCCTGCATCATGGCTTCGACAGTTGGATAGTAGCTCGTTTGTAGCTCCTGCGCTACCCTGGCAGCATTGGGAATTGGATCAATGAGCGCTACGAGCTCTGTGTCTGGATTGGAGATAACAGATTTGGCATGTCGAGGTCCAATAAGCCCTGCGCCGACGATGACAATTCGTAGAACCATTTTTTGCTGGTGCTGTTGGAGGAATCACTTGAGAGATGTATTGGGGTCAAGAAGCAAATAGGGGGGAAGAAAACAAATGTATATGACACTTTTGTTGAACAGAAGATAGTCTACTCATCGGACCACATCATCCGATTTGGGGATAAATTCAAGGCCAAGCGAAGCTTCATTGCCGAGGAGAGACCTTAATCTACTCGTCGCAATTGGTTTGGGGGTTACAGAGCTCACAGCCGGTTAAATGCGGCGGGGAAAGCGCTTTGCCGGCGGTTCTTCTCTTAGTGTTTCCTGCGGTGGAACCCCGGCCCTACTGCATTGGGAGAGTTATCTTCCATAATACAAGCACAAGAATGGCCTTGTGAATCGTTCTTCCAGGGCAGGGTGAAATTAAAATGTATTTATTAATAACACAAAGACCAGCGCGCAGGGAGAGATCAAGTGTGCTATGGGATGCTGTGATTAATACCTACGTCAACTGAACACGAGACATTAAATGACGCGGCAGTTAGCGTGTCTTTAACAGTTTCATACTTTGTTCTCACCTCTAAGTGAATTGGGATCGCGGCCACATCCTTCTCTTATAACTACTCTACTGCTCTCTTCATCTACTGCTTCCTTCTTTCTCTGTGTCTCCTATTATTACAGCAACTGCTTTTCACAATGCCTAACCGTCTCGGAATTGGTTCCATGTCCCTGGGGCGCCCGGGGATCCATGATCTGCCAACCAAGCTGCACCAGGCCTCCCAATTCGGTTACAAGGGTATTGAGCTGTTTTTTGACGATCTTGACCACTTGGCGAAGTTGCTTTATGATGGAGATCATATTTCTGCTGCTCACCATGTACGCCAGCTTTGTGTTTCGCTGGACCTCTCTATCATCTGTCTGCAGCCCTTTTGGCACTACGAGGGACTTCTGGACCGCACTGAGCATGAGCGTCTCCTCACTGAAAAACTTCCCAAGTGGTTTGAGCTCGCACGCATTCTGGACACAGATCTCATCCAGATTCCATCTAACTTCCTCCCCGCAGATGCTGAGACCGGCCAGCCCCGGACCACAGGTGACATGTCCATCATTGTCTCAGATCTTCAGGAGATCGCCGATCTTGGCCTTCAGCAGTCTCCCCCTTTCCGTTTCGTCTACGAAGCCCTAGCATGGGGTAATCACATCAACAAATGGGAAGACTCCTATGAAGTTGTAGAGCGGGTCAACCGTCCAAACTTTGGAGTTTGTCTTGACACCTTCAATATCGCCGGAAGGGTGTATGCCGATCCCACATCTCCCACAGGGAAGACACCTAATGCGGATGTCGAACTCCAAGCGTCTATAGCACGCCTGCGATCTCGCATCGACCTTTCAAAGGTTTTCTATGTTCAAATCGTCGATGGTGAACGCCTAAGTGCTCCTTTGGACGAATCTCACCCATTCTATGTCAAGGGTCAGCCCGCCCGCATGAACTGGTCGCGTAACGCACGCCTGTTTGCCTTCGAAGAGGACCGTGGTGGATACTTGCCCGTCTTGGATGTCGCTAAAGCCTTCTTTGATATCGGCTTCGAGGGCTGGGTTTCCCTGGAATTGTTCAACAGAAGCCTGGCTGATCCTGATCCATCTACGCCTCGCAATCACGCCAAAAGAGGTTTCGAGTCGTGGAAGAAACTAGTTGCTGCCTTGAAGCTGAATACCGGCGATGCTTCCTCGGTGTATGGTCTTGACGGTACAGTTTCACCATCGACTTCCGCTTTGCCTGTGCAGCATCGTCTTTAGCATCGCTTTCGGCTTCTTTAAGCTTTTTTCTTTCTTTCTTCCACTTCAGGCGTTGGTTTTAACGGGTTTAATTATTTGGCATATCTGTCCTCTCATGGCATCTTCACAGCGTATGTCCTCTAAGTTGTTTCTTCCTGGCCTTATGGCCTGTAATGATTGTACATTATGATAGAAATACCCGAATGGAAACAGTTAGCAGGCCTCCTGTCAATAACTGCTCATGTTGCCATATATTCTCCTGATAAACGCGGGAGAGTGTAATTCTCAGCTTCCAAAATAATATCTTCCCAACGCAAACTGCTTGAATTCGACATGACTTACGTGAGACTGTCACGCTCGAGTTCAATTTCTCTGGTGAACTTGCCTGCTGGTCACGAGGTGGTTAACGCTCACATGATTTCACTTTATCTAGTCACACTTCGCGCAAGCCTAGCAACAAGGAGCAAGCGATAAATAGTTGATTGAAACACCTGCACACAAGAAGATACGATCCTTAAGTCGCAAGGTCAAACGAAATTACACTTATGGATGCTAAATAGAATGTACTGCGCCGCACTTTTGGCTGAGTAATTTCAGCCTTCCTAGCTTCAATATTTGAAGCCTGTTAGTTCCCCATACTGGGAAATCCCGAAAATCATATCTGGATATTATATGTGAGATCAAAGATGAAGGGCCGACTCAAGCGCATATTCCACTCACCAGTCTCACTGTGTCGGGGCTCAGGGCCACCGACAAATTCAGCCAAGCATTTACAAAAGAGACGATGCAGTACGACATTACCACCGGATACACCAAGTGATTCATCTACTTCTCCAGTAGTGGACTTCTGGCAGAAGGCGCTTCAGAGGCTTTCTATGGAAGACCAGGTGATAATACAAAAACATACTACAATACAATCAACTTCATGTGCCGTTAGCGATATGTCAGTCTTACTGCTGGAAGAAGTCAGGCAGAAACGGGAACTGTGTGAAAGTAGAAGGTGGGATGTCAGTTTTCAAGGCAACACTTTCCGCTTGAGCCATATTGCAGACAAGGTCATCGCATGGCTAGAAAGGTTGAAGGCTATTGGCGATATTGCTGTCAATACAGACCCAATACATGCGCAATTGCCATGGGCATGGATCAGGATGTTGCTACAGGTAGGACCGCCCTCTGTAACGGAGGTTAAAATAGCTTTTGATGTCCAATATCTTCATAGGCAGCGACAGCCGATCGCGAAACTATGGGTTCCCTCCTAGTAGGGCTTGACAAAGTTTTCTACTTCATTGATCTGTGTAAGGTCTACGAACTTCTATATCCCCACGATCCAGAGATGGAGCATGCATATCTTAATTTAGAAGCCACGGTCATTGAACTCTATGCCCTAATCCTGCAGTTTCTACTGATTGCAATCCGGGCGTATGAGGGAAACAGGTATACAACTATTTCGACGGCGTTTTGCACCCTCGATTGCATTAACGATTATAACGCACGCTTTGAAGCGATCGTTCCACGCATCGACTACGCGGCTCAAAACTGTGAGCGATGTTATAGTCTCCTCGGTCGAGTTAGTTCCACCGACCAATATAAAAGCTTAAAGCGCATGCTCGAAGACATTGAGCGAGTAAAGGCCCTTGAAAATGAGCTTAGAGATGCTAATAACAGGGTCCAAAGCATATGGCTGTTTCTTGAAAATGAAAAGCGAGGTGACGTCCTTAGGTGGATATCAAACATTCCATATGAGGATCACCACACAGTGGCGAGGGCTGGCCGTACAGGAGGTACTGGTGGGTGGCTCTTTAAGCAACGGGAGTTTCAAGATTGGCAGCTTTCTAAGGACTCAATGATATTTTGGTTACATGGTATACGTGAGTCTTCCAGGATGATATTATCAAACTCGTCGAGCTCATACCCATCTTTCCGTAGCCGGCGCAGGGAAAACGAAGCTTGTCTCCCGAGTTGTTGATGAGTTTCTGCATGTTCAGGGGCAGAAGTTGGTATATTTTTACTGCAATCGCAATGAAGAACGTCGTCGGAAGCCAAAAGAGATTCTTTGCAACTTTGTCAAGCAGCTTTCGATCGCGGATGATCAAACCGTAATCCATGATAGTCTTCTCCAAATCTACGACGATAGGCGACAAAGAGGCTTCCTGTCGAAGGACTTAAGCCTTGAAGAGAGCGAAGCGCTCCTAACTCAGTTGATTTCCACATATCCGAAGACAATATTAGTGTTAGATGCCTTGGACGAAAGTGAAGAAGGCTCGAGGCAAGGCCTTATCAACTATTTCTGCCGACTTGTCGACCAGATACAAAATTTGAAAATATTCATCTCCAGCAGACGGGACGAAGTCATAGCAAGCCGGCTCGAAACTAATGCCAATGTTGGCATTGATGCAACAGATAATCAGAATGACATTGCGAAATTTGTCTCACAGAAGATAGATGAAGATGAGAAGAAACGGGCTAACCCTATTTCTTCTGAACTGAAACATGACATTGTCCGTATCCTTCTAGATAAGAGCCAGGGCATGTAAGTGTTCTGCCCATCACGCGGTGCTGAGTATGAAATAACATGAGTCGAGGTTTCAATGGGCAGCCTTACAAGTTACGGAACTTTTATCCCTAGATCTAGAAAGCGATATTCGTGAGCGTCTGGGATGCTTACCAGCTAACCTACGATACGCATACAACGAGATCTACCAGCGAATTCTAGGGTCCACGGGAAGCAAGTTTAAGATCGTGGCGAGAGCCCTACAGTGGGTTTTATGTTCAGAGAAACCTCTAACGACAGATGCCCTCGTTTTCCTTGCATGCCAGGATCCCCAGACTGACACTTTGATAACCCCATATGTGGACATCCAATTCATCCTTGAGTCATGCTCTAGTCTCCTTGTCATGGATTCCCAGCAGTTTTGTCGACCCTCTCATCTCTCTGTGAATGATTACTTTGAAAATCTTTGGGGCATTGGCATATGTCATGCCAATGCTGCAAAGATATGCCTGACACATTTGCTAGTCGCAAGCAGTCAATCGCCACAAGAATGTTCCAAGTATTCGACTATGGTTGACAACTTTCTCCCTTATGCAGCGCAGCATTGGTTTGTGCACATAAGGATATACGAGCACTATATCAGGAATACAGGTGAAAAGATTGATCCTCGGCTGTCGCAGCTTGTTGAGAGGTTCCTCGGTCGTGTCGAGGAAAGTGGGCCCGCCTATAGGTCCTGGTGTGAACGTTGCGAACACTTGCCAGGTTTCCCCATTGAAGATCTAAAGCCTTTCTCTAATCCTGTGTTAGCAGTTTGCCGATTCGGCCTTCACCGTGTCCCGCTTACATGGTGGGAAGCCGAACGCATAGACCCTAAGCAAACCAACAAAGCTGCCAACTCGCTTCTAGTACTAACGATATTCAGCGAGAATGAACATGCTGTTCAAAAGCTATTGTCACTTGGAGAAGACGTCAATAGACAGCTTGATGGGTTGCTCTGTAGTGGGACCGCTCTCGGTGCTGCCGCATCAACTGGCAATCGAGAAATCATCAAGCTACTACTAAGCGCAGGAGCTCAGATAAACCAGAGACACGCCGGGGGAATTTACGGCAGTGCGCTGGTGGCATCAGTTGCAAACCCAGAAGGGAGAAAGGCCGCCCAGCTGCTGTTAGACTCGGGAGCAGATATCAATCAAGAGCTCGATTGTGGAATATTCGGCAGTGCTCTTGCTGCTGCTGCTACTCGTGGAGCCGGATGGTACGACAATACAAGTATTCATTTACTGCTCCGTGCAGGAGCTAACGTCAACCAAGCCCTTACGAGTGGGAATTACGGCAGTGCCCTTGCTGCTGCAGCTTCAACACCCATAAGTCATGAGACAATAAAGCTATTACTTGCCTCAGGGGCAGACGCCAATCAAAGGCTCATTTGGGGAAAATATGGCAGTGCACTAGCAGCAGCAGCATTCGGTAGCCCCGCAAATATCTCGCTCCTACTAGATGCAGGAGCAGACGTCAACCAGGTGCTTACTTCTGGTCTATACGGTAGCGCACTTGCGGCAGCAGCGTATAGTCAAGCAAAATACAGCGTGAAACTTCTACTCGATGCAGGCGCCAATGTCAATCAAAAACTCACCACGGGGCTCTATGGCAGTGCCCTTGCAGCAGCGGTAGCCAAGAAGGGCGCTGATAAGGAGATAGTACAACTATTGTTGGATGCAGGTGCCGATGTGAACCAGAATCTTGCCTCAGGTCTTTACAGTAATATTCTAGAAGCAGCACAAGCGCGAACTCGTCCAGAGCTTTACGAGATGCTGTTGGGGGCGGCCATCAGGAAGAATCAGAGAAATCTCGAGTATATCAGCTTGGAGGCTGGCAAGTACAAGGACAGAAAGTCGACATGATTTGAAGTTCTCAAATGTTGAGGATAGTGAGCCACTGCCCAAGAGCCACGATATCATGTATAGTATCCTCAATACTCGCATATGGTCACATGAATGAGGGCGTTATACCGCTCTCTCAGACGTATTTTCAAGCGATTCAGCAAATCTCTTCCCGAAAGGTTTCCTTCATCGTTCTACGATATATCTAACAGCTTTAATTGCTCTTTTGCATGCGAAATACTGAATGACATCTTTGAAGGAATATTTGGCCATACTCTTACGCGAAACTAAGAATATATCGTCGTCCTTGCCTAAAACCAACCTTTTTTATATATTTTCATAGGTGTTCAGCCAGCACTTGAACAATTTGAATAGAAAGGTTCTTGATACTGTTGTTACTCGTTATTCAGCCCTACATATCAATCTTCAAGAAAGACACCGGGACTTCTTATATCCCGGGTACACACATATAGCCCTGTCTGGAGCTGTTTCCAATTGACACAGTGCTTAGATATCAAACACAGCGTATCTGAGAAAGGAAGACCTCGGGTCGGTTTTGCATATGGACTCAACGATGTCGTGTGTTCAAGAGGGCTGCAATAGATTACCTTTAGCCTTTCCCTCATAGATCCCCCCGGCTCTATATATATATAAAGCGAATTGTACACCCCATGGTAGCTACGCCCCAGGGAAAATTTAGTTCTTGGGACGACAGTACTCAAGGATTCATATTATAATCCAGTCAGATAGAATATTCAATGTTAGCCCCTCTTGAACCCAGGCCAGATTCAGCTAGTGGCCATGTGATTGCTGTGTATGGCCGCCACACTTGTATCATGTGTCCTTCTCCGATACGTTCGAGACATTTACTTTTTTTTCTTACTCCACTACCTACTACTACTACTACTACTACTACTACTACTACTAAAATCAAATCAACAGCACTAGCCCAAGTAATCAAGAGATGCTTGTACTCCCTGGTCTATCTTTTTATGTGCTGTTGCTAGTTCCTCTGCTTCCCGAGATATGTCTATATAAATACTATCCGGTAGAAAGCCAGACCTTAACAGGTACATACCAGCCATCACTCTACTTTATTCTGCTTCTCATTTGACTAACTACCATTGCTAAGATCTACAGATAACAATACTACAGATCTCGAACCAAGCACACCTTGTTTATATAGACGTGCAATCAGCTACGATAGAAAAACAGATCCCTTGGAACCCAGAAAATTACAATACTTAATTTCTGTCAATGCTATAGACATGAACACGAACACGAACACGATTAAACCCATACCTCAAGAAAGGAAAGAAGAAGTAGAGGAAAAGTGAGAGAAAAAAAAAAAAAAAGCCCACGAACACGCCCATGAAAAGTCCCAAGAACACCAGTACAGTCGTTGAAGACAAAGCCCTTTCCATGCCGTCCTTTTGTATACATTGCTTTATTCCCTGAAATGCATCCCTGTCCTGGTTTTGTGTCCTTTTGTCGCTGCTGCCTGCCACGTGCTCTAGGGAATAATGTTGAAACCCCGACCAAATGACAGCAAAAAAAGTCCCCTAATTTCATGCAAGCATGCTTGTGGTCAAGAAGGTAGAATCTATATGCGCTGATGATGTAAGATGTGAGGTTCTGTTAGGTTGGTAGATAGAGAGGTTGGCTTAAACTTCTTGAGCCCATCGACGCTCACGGAGGGGCATTTCTTCGCCGGCTTGGGCGCGGCTGCCGTCGAGCTCGCGACGCCAGGCATAGTATTCGCCAAGGCGGGTTTCGGCATATGATGCATAATCGAAGTCGATTTGCGAGATTTGGGCTTGGATGAGGGCCCAGATACCCCTGTATAATATTAGCACTGGGCCATGGATACTGGAATTGAAAGGAAGAACGAACCAGTATAATCCGGGGATGCCGCGGAAGCGATCAACATCCTCATAGAGTCGATCGATGATCTCCTTCTGAGACAACTCAGGGAGGCCTTTGTGCTGGGTGTAGCTCCTGACATACTCCGTCAAGAACTGGCGCCGAACGGCACATGTGGGCATCATGTTGTAGTCACAGTCATAGCCACCCCATTCAGCGAAATGGTTGGCGATGTCGAACGCAGCTGGGGATGGAGTGGCATATTCATAGTCGATAAACTGCACAGTCGCTGTGGGCTCACCCGCAGATGTGACAGGAGTATCTGCGGATGGTACAGCTATGACATTGGCGCAGAGAAGGTCGCAGTGGGCAAACACCAACTACCGAGGGGGTTAATTGCTGGCCGGAATCCTTATGGCACAAGAGTGAAATGTGATATCTACGTACCCCGTCTTCGCCGATGCCCTTACCGTCGTCCAGTTCATTGACAGCCCATTCAAGCTCTTTCTGAAGGCCGAGTCTGCGCTTGCGCTGCTCGTCCGTCGCAGAAGGTAGGGCAAGGATCCATTTCTGGAGAACCGCCCACATGTTGGGCCCCGATTGTCTTGGCTTGATCAGAGGGAAGTCAATGTCCTGCTTGGACGGATGGACATCTACTGAGTTCAGAAAAGCATTTTCCACTTCAGACTGGACAGGGGCAGCAGCTCCGCGAACGGGAAGGACCGCATGCCATTGTCCAAGCCGTCTAGCAACGCCACGCCAAATGGACGGCGTCACCAGATCTTCATGAGTGGCGGGCCGTCCACGAATGAACCTATAGAGCAGGCCGTTCTGGAAGCGAGCCAAAAGTGAAGGGGCTAGGCCGTAGCGGGCAAGTAGGGCGTGGGACTTCATTTCTCCTATAGACATCTACTCAGCATTGTCGCAATGGGCAAGAAGGAGAAAGGGCGTATGTCCCGAGTCTGTCTTACTTTCGCGGTCTATAAGAATCTCTGTGTGGTTACCGTACGCTCTCATCAGTACAGCTTCGTTGTCTATTTGTTCTTCGGTCAAGCCAGGCTTGCGATTTATAATTTTGAGAAGCTGGGAGCCAGTTAGTCCATGGATTTGATAGGTTGGTCTCTATCTGCTCCTGTATAGCAGGCTCGGAACACACAGTATTAGTGATACCGTCCGTGAAGCGCACGAACTCGATCTTGTTGCCCGGACCATCCCAGTGAGGGTTTAAGGTCAACACCAACCTCAGCGCAGACGCTTCCGAGTCGGCATGATTGTATGACTGTGCAATGTAGCGCAGCGCTGTGAGAGGACAACCGTTTGGCTCAGATGTCGAACCCATCATGGACGTTTATTAAGGGGTGAGGGGCGAGATGCCGTATGGAGAAGCGGTCAACTACAACAGTACTAGTTTTCAGAATGTCAGCAAATCTCGCAAGAAAGGTATTTTAAGTTGTGCGCAGCGACAGTAACAATGAGGTGAAAGGAGGGAAAAGTACAAAGCAATGGAGTATAAACTAACCTGGACGGCGCCTGTGCCACTTTTTTTTTTTTTTTTTTGGTCCGTTCTATGATGACTTCCCCTATTATTAGTTGAGCGATAAGGATCGCAAACGATAACGATATACGTAATTTCAACGAGTACTAAATTGACCGGCAATCAATACTCAGGGAACACAAGCCAGAAGGAAAAAGGGGGAGAAGTATTAAGCCGAAGTGAGAGGAGGAGGAGGAGGAGACGAAGAATATTGGTCTCGTGCTTGCATGGCCATGATTGGAAGCTAGGCAGCCTGAGGCCCCTCAGGCAACAAGCACCGTTGCCCCCTCGTTTCCTTACCAGGCTGTAAACGAAATTGCCCTCCTTCACTCGCTCCCCATGACGAAATTTTCCAGGGACGAAGACTACGTATGCACCTATGATTATTCAACTCGATCGCCCTATGTGATTTTTCTGTGGGGTAACACCAGCGATTGTCAGCACTCAAAACTGGCCTATGATCAGCGCTCCCGGAGAATATGGTTCGCATTCCTTGCCCGTTAAAAGGAGGAAGTTAAAGTAAGGGAGGGTTGACAGGTATGGAAGCCGTGTTATCGTGTAAGGTACGGGGAGTACAACGACCGTATTACTCTAACCCCTTTGGTCACCGCTCACTCAACCACTTTGCATGTGATTCTCAACCATGTGACCGCCGACGCTTGGCATCCGCCTGAGGCATTAGGTGCACACGTGCCACATAATCTCACATGACCTACAGACCCTAAGCCCTAAGAGCTACTGCTCTCGGTAAGTAGCTAGTCCCAAAGGTGTGCTAGTGGCTCCACTCCCGGCGGCCTACAAAAGGGCTTCGTTGGCGCCGCGACTTTTTACTTCTTTTTTCTTTTCTTTTTTTTTCTTCATCATCAGTAGAGGTTTACATTGACCATATGTAAATCAATACCGGAGCTTCATACAATGTATGACATGCTGAGGGTTATCCGTGTGGGATTTTGCTCGATGGGTTTCCTTCCGTTCCCGGCTTCGGAGAGTAATGCGTTTTCCTTTTTCCCTTCCAAATTATGGCTTAGCTAGGGATTCTTTTCGCAAGATAAGAGCCCCAGGCGCTTGAGCTGTGGAGGAGGCGCGAAATTCCAATTATATAAATAATATCTGTACTGTGATGTCAAATCATAGTGGGATATTCACATATCCGTCTTGTAGCCGTGCTGCTGAGCAGGGAACTTCTTGCTCTCGGGGTTTATATGCTGGACGCTTGAATCGGATGTGTACCTGGCGTATCAATCTTCAAGCATACCACGTGTACCTGGCTATTTCAACTCCGCAATGGTTGGAAGCTTGCCCCGATTGAAGTATCGTCATGGATGAGTATTTGGCCTGCTGATTGTTTGACTACGTCTGTCATTGGCTATGCCCGATATACTTGTTCGTTATCAAATGTGCTACAAGGTAGCATCCATAGCCTCCATGATAGAACGTCATGAGAACATGCCCTGTAGATGTTTTATGTCTCGAGCACGTGCGCAAATCTGCTATGCATTATCCGGACATTGGACACGTTAAGCCAGGATGCTTTGTCAAATGAGTGTTGCATTGTGAAACTCTTATGGCTTTCACTCTCACTTCAATAGCCTATGCTTTTCCCAAACAAGAAGCGGTGTCGACTTCCATGCTCAAACGAACATACCAGCGCACTCCAGCCCCAATGATGTGCTGAAGAGCGATCAGCATAGCAGGTCATATGCCAATATAACCCTCCCAGACTAGTGCTATGTCTTGGCGATATGAGTGAATGTACGCCTCTGAAGCTTAGCAGACACCATGTTTCAACCGTGTTAGTGCAATATATGTGTTTTCCGTGTCTCATTTATGCTATATAGTAACCTCAGACCCGTCCGGCCTGTCCAATTTGGATCCTCTCTCCACTCCATTTATCATCACTCCGCAAGACTGGCCAGCTGGTCCCGTCACCCTTTACCAGCATCAATTCCAGTTTAGTACCCAACACCTTGAATTGGCATTTTGCGGGATCAATCGGCGCAAACAGCTGGTATGTATCTTTGTACCGCTTGTTATCGGTAGTGGGGAGATCCAGATCGATCGACTGCTCAGAGAACTCGACCTTAGCCTGGTTCTTGTCGATCTTCTTCAGGTACAGCGAGACATTGACCGAGTGTGGGGTTTGGTAGAAGTCGTTTCTGTACAAGGCAGAGGAGGTTAAGACAAGGTTCCCCAAAGACGTACCGCCATTCGTAGGACGAAAGGTAGGGTTCACTCACCTGACACTCTCCACCTTCTCCTCACCAGCTGGCTTGCCCTGTCCGACAAAAAGATGCTTCTTTTTCTCCTTGCAGCCTTCGATCTTCAGGAAATCGTCAAAATCCAGAACCCTCTTCTTGCAGCATGACCATCCCTTGCTACCCTCGTGGAAAATCGGCTGTCCAGGGTGATGGACACATTTCTCCTCCTCCCGCGACACGGACGAGTTGTAGTTCGCACCGCATCCCTTGCGACGGCATGTGGCGTTCGCTGGGATCTCAAGAGACGGATCGTCGGACTCTGATTCTTCGGGGGCGGGCGTCGCTGCGTTCGACGGAGGGGCAATGGCGGGCGAGTATGTCGGCCGTGGTACCCCGCTATCTGCGACAGGCGCAGTTACCGGCTGGGGTGCGACTAGTTCAGCAGCAGCGGATTCTGTGTTCTTGGGGGGTTCGACTGGGGTATCGTCTACAGTCGAATGCTTGCCGGTGGTACAAGGTGGGATTTCGAGGAATTCATCGAAGGTGAGGACGCGGGGCTTGCAGCATTTCCAGCCTGTAGATAACGGGATGGTTAACGTTGGTGGATCGCACCGCAGGGAAGGACGGCGGCGTCATGTAACGAATCCCAGGGGCCACCGTAGACACCAAGGTCCTTAAACTTACCCTTTTGACCCTCATGAAAGACCGGTGGTCCAGGATGATAGACGCATGGCTCTTCGGGATCGGTGAAGACCTTCCCGCAACCCTTGTGGACGCACTTGGACATTTTTTTTTGGATCAGGAGGGGACAATGCACTTCTCGTCCCAACAAGATGTATAGTAGACGAGCAACAGTAGAAATCGCTTCAGTCTATGAGACAAGAACTTGGCTGGCGGGGGCAAATCGCATGCAGAAATACTGCCGCCGCAGCTGCCGCCCAAAGTGGCCCGAAGGGGCTTAGTCTGGAGAAGCTCGAAGGTTCCATTCTATCGGCGTGGAGAGCATGATCAGTTAACTAACTCTATACTACATCATTGCCCGTTCGCGGCCTTCAACCACCACAACCTTGTTAGCCTTTCAAGCGCCATTCGTTTATTTTATTTTATTTTTTTCTTTTTAAAAATATTATATTTAAGAAAAAAAATCTCTCACCATGTTCCCTACCGCCGCCCGTTTCTCCCAGGCAGTTCGTGTGACCCTCTTCACTCGTGTCGGCTGCGGACTGTGCGACACGGCAAAACACGCCGTAACTCAATTACACAAGCGGCGGCCCTTCGAATACTCCGAATTGGATATCATGGTCCCTACCAACAAGCCCTGGAAGGATGTTTATGAGTTCGACGTCCCCGTCTTACACGTCCAGTCGGTCAAGGGTCAATTGGAAAACGGAGAAGCCGATCTCTCGGATCCAAAGAAACTGTTCCATCGGTTCACTGAGCAAGACGTCGAAACGTTGGTCGACGAGGCCGAGAAGGCGAAATCGTGAAATCTAGACCGCATATAGCTAATGGAGTCATATCTCAATCCAACCTCATATGCCCTCCATTCCAAATATTCCACAGCATTTCGGGCGAGGTATGAGGAGTCGTTCCCCCTTGTGACGTCCGGAATACGTTTCCGAGGGATCCCTTGCCTCAGCCCTGAAAATCATGAGCAAAGGATCGTTAGCTTCCTCAATGTATCCAAACCCCATGATAATTCCGGTCGATCCCGTCATTGACTCACTTCGCCTTTCTCCAGTGACTGGGAAGATGTTGCACGCCAATGTCGGCGCACGATGGCCTCCTTTGTTCAGCTGCAGAAGGGCATCGTGGCCGTTTAGCCGTTAGTAAGGGTTAATGGAATGACTAGATAAAGCCAGGCATCTGTTAAATAGCCAAGGTGTTGATCGAAAACAGGATTCTATATAGCAATTGCTGATCGTCATAGAAAGTAACAATAATGTCTTGTTTAGTACACAATGCAAGGGTATCAAAGCCTCATTCCAGTGGACCAGCCAAATCTATAGGCAGACTCTCAATCCATCCATAATATGCGAGCGCGTCCCCTATCGACTGCCTCCGGGTTCTGTTAAGGGCCGGATTGCTGTTCTCCGTCCTACCCAGGAGCCAATCTCGAGTATTTTCATTCAAGACTGCAGCTGCGCCGGTTGATGGGCCAGCAGTGCCAGGCTTTTTAACAACATCTGAGAGAGTTTTTAATGTATTGCAGCACAGCTGTGCTATACGCGCCACCTTGCCATTTGGTCTAATACTGTGGTAATGGTCCAACATATCGATAGCACGCGTCAAAGACGTCTCTACCTCCCCTTCATTGATTCCACCAGAATTATTGTCACTGAAGCTGCTAAAGTTACTTAGACGAGCTGCGAGAAAGACCGTTCCGCAGGCGTAAATATAATCGATATTCTCCCAATATGGAGAGATCAGATTATAGTGACCTTGGTCTAGCCTACCATCGCGCGGCCCATCTTCGTGCGTACGGATAAGGTTGATCAGTTCCAAGGCGACCGCCACGCTCTTGATTGAGGCATCGCGTACCATGCTGAAAACCACAGGGGAGGTAGATGAGCTAGGCTCCTCTTTGGTAGCATGCGGGCGGCCTTCAGGTCGACAGTTGCATTTGGTGGACAGTGCGAGTCCCAAGGCCAGCAGAGGCCGATAAAGTCGAAGACGGACATATAGGTAGCGTGCTCGGAGAACATTCCGCTGCCGACACACTACCGGATCATTCCATATGCCGTCCGCGGCATCATTATTCAGATACGATGGCAGAGATGTCTGCCAATCGTATAAAAGAGTGTCCACCTTCAAAAATATTTTGAAGTCAAAAGAAAGGAGCTTCTTCGCAGCACAACTATTCGGCTGCATTCTCAGTTCATCCTCCCATGCTAGAATATCCTCGACATGGCTATACAGCCTCGCACAGGCTGTCAAGAACTCTATTAATGATGGACGATCTGCCGTGGTGGGGGGATTTCCTCCGGATATAAAATCGATGTAGTCAGTGTCCCAATGCGTCGGTAACGGCACCCTCAGTGGATTGGAGGTTTGCGGTGGAAGCCCTAGTTGCAGCGCAATCATCCGTTCCAGGATCATAGCGCTATGCCAGAGTCGCCGAGCGAGTTCGCGATCCCGCCTTCCTCGGGCATCATGCCCCCCTGTCTTGAAGTGCAGGCCCAGAACCTGCGCCGTGCGGATGGCAAACCCAATGAACATCCATGCCAATCTTGAGTTGCCAATCGCATATAGATACTGGCTTTGTAAAATAAATGATTGAATACGTTCACATAGAGATCCGCTGTTCTCCATATCCCTGGACATCCTCTGACCGCGATTGAAGAAACTCGTCACATCTTCGTCATTCACATCGGTTGCACTCAGACCAGATAAACCGAAAATGGTATTCAAAATTCCATGGAAACTACTGGATGTTGCGGCTATATCCTGTTCAGTTCTGGTACTCTCGTAGGCTGATTGAAAGTGCAACAAGTCCAGGATGGGCAAGTTTGCATATTCTCTCGTTAAGTAAGAGAGAACAAGATGATCAGCCATGTCCTGTGACAAGTGCACTGGTGGGTCCTCGCCATTCGATCTGGCGACTGAAGGCTGTATGACTCCGTTTGTGAACATGGGATTTTGAGTTAAAAGAGGGATGTCGCCTGTTAGATCTTCATCCTTAACCCTGCCTGTTCGCTCCTCAACAGCTCTTTGCAACCTCATCATTTGCGAGGCCTGCGCACCACCATCATCGAGATGGAAGCCTTCCTCCTGAGGCACAACAGCGGTGTGGTAGCTTTGCTCCGAATTCACGGAGGAGACCTCAATCACGTCGTCTCCTGTAATCTCAGGCGACCGGCGCACCCCACGAACTCGTAGGCGTCTTTCATTGCTTGGAGTAGAAACAATAACAGCCTCTAGCTCAGAGAACACCTGGGTAGTCATACGTCGTCTCTGGGATTCACTGCGACCGACCTTAGCAGGATTCAATCAGATCAGATTTGAGTCATACGTAGGGGGCATATCCTGGGGTCTATAGGAGCATGGCTGGCCCCTTTGCTGACATGCTCCGCATACTATACACAGTACTTAGTAATTTTGTCGCGCAGCGTAGGGGCGCAAGGGTAAGGAAGTTATGCAGTGAGATTTAACGTAAGCATACTTGGTTTCTGTCTGTCGCATCCTCTCTTTTTGAGGCGACATACACAACAAGGAGTACCAGGAAGTCTTGTCACGTTGCGCATCCTGCAGGCGTTTGAAGATTGTAGATGACTTGAAACCCTGCCATTCAGCGTTCAGTATCAATACAATTGCTAAATGCCCTCCATTTACTAACGGGTAGCTTGTTTGAATATTCAGTTATATAGCAGATTACTTAGATAGTATGTGCACAATGCGATGTGAGGTTTCCCAGCTCTATATTCGAAGCTTAGCCCCGATTGTCACATTGAACAAGGCGCGTCTAGTCAGCTCAGGCCGATAATATTTTCGTTCACACACTGTTGTGATACCAACTCAAGACAATTAGACAACAGCACGTATGATTGTCGATATATACGGATGATGCTGACAATGGGGCTTGGGAGAAGGCGAGCAGACGGAGAGGTGAAAAAGGAACCCTGGCCACGGGAAGGCGATTCATGGATATGGTCCGTGCGCTGGACGTATCGAATTCCAGGTAAACAAATGCAGATCAACTCCAAAACGAACCATGACCTCTCTCACCAAGTTATCGTTTCTTGCTATGTATCCTATGAATATTTAGAGGTCGCTCTTTATGAAGACTTCGCTACCGGTCGAGCACAGAAATTGGTCATCAACGATTAAATATTATTAGGTACTGTACAAGACCATCCAGTAGGCCAGTCCCAAGTTGCCAATCGGCAACCATTGGTATGAAGTACAGACTGCGGACGACTATCAGAGAACTATCCAGGTCATATCTATCAACCAAACGATCAAATCTCGTAAGACATCAAACATGGCATCCCGGGCCGAGGGATATACACAAAACAGCTGAAGTTGTCCATACATAAAATAAGCCAATATTGCTGCAGAGAATCAAAGCCAGCCCCGTGCATGGTGACAGGGAAATTAGTGGTCCACAAGGACGAACAAACGATTTACCAGCAGCCAGTTGCATACCGACTGAAAAGGGAAGAAAACGTACATAAACAGGCGCCAGGTCCGTATTCCGTAAACAGGGGATGCCAAAGTATGCGACAATCGAAGAAAACAAAATCAAACCCCATGCCAATACTGCTTGTTCATCATTTTGAATCATTGCGGTAGTTGGGAGAGTGTTGGAGGCGCACAACGATTTCTCAGAACCACATGACACCGACAACTAGGCTGATGACAATAGCCATGCAACTGCCGCGTGCAGGCTGTGAATTCGGACCATGACCAACGCCCTTGGGCGGCTCTTCAGTTGCCACAGGTAAATCAGGGATGTCGGTTGGCTTAGCAGGCGATTGCGGAGATGTAGGTGACAAGGTCGAAAGCGCGGCATTACTGAGCACCTTGGGTGTAACCTCTTCAATGTGTTGATCAGTTTGTCTTGACAATTGCAATGTCTCTTCGGTGATCGCTTCAGAACCGGGTGGTAGTCGTTCTCTTCGAAGAATATGTGGAACAGTCCAGTCCCCAAGAGAGGCCCTCGTAGCATGGCAGGCCCGCTGCCATAAGTCACGTAAATGAGGAAGAGGATACTGGGGCCGTTGCGAAGTGACTTTTTTCGCCGTGGCCGTGGCATTGCCGCTGTACGACTTGGGAAGGCGTGCTTCAATGGTAGGAGAGGCACCGATAACAGCTAAGTTGGATCCATTTGAGGGGAGAGAGCTAGGTGCTGAGACCGCAGAAGAGGCGCTCCCCGTGACAAGAGGGTTAGATATCTGACTATCATCTGTCTGTTTCGTGAAAAGCGATTTGAAAACGCGTACACCTCGCGCGAAAGGTGATGGTTCTTCGGCAAGGTATGCTATCGAATCGGCGTCAAAAACCGTAGCAGCCTCGAACGAGCTACGTGGAGTGTCTGGCACGGAGCGCCGCGAGCGATGCACACGGTCCAGATCTGGTAGGCAGTAACCATTTATCGCCCACGACTTACACTGACTGCCAGTCGTCCGTATCCTCGACCGGACGTCGACTGGGCCATCTCTAAAACGGGAAGGTTCTGTTCCACGCAATATGAGCTGGGTGTTATAACCGATGAATCACAACGGAACACAAGACACTTACGCCGAACATCGTTATGATGGTAACCGATATACCCGAAGCGCAGATTATAAAAGTCCCACTCTTTTGCCAAGGACACCAAGCTGAGCAGTGAGAAAACAAGAAGAGCAAGAACAGGGAAGGCAACAGGTTTGTGGAAGCCTGACCGCATTATACACGTTCATAGACCTCTCGTCCACGCTGGCAATCCTCGAGAAGGCGAGTTTCCAGAGTCAACAGAATTCCTGCTTGCTTCAAGAGCTTTCGTGATCAGGCAACTTCATTGCCATACGGAATTGACGACTAAGCTGAAAATTAAATCAAGACCCGATTGGTATATGCGGAATAGCGTCTAGTTTTTGACTGAATTCCCCACGCGCACTTATATCTCTGCTCGGTTGCTGCCTCTTTGTTTTCTTTCCTTTTTTTTTTTTTTTTTTTCGCCTTCGGTCGGGGGTCAGTCGCCCGGTCGGTCGGTATCTCGCGAAAGTGACTTGAGAAATGAAGCCCCGGCAACGAGATAGGCACAACACGCAATGGTGGGGTTGACGCCAGATGGGGAGAGGAGTATAAGGCTTTAAATCGGCATGGAATGTTTATTCTATGTCGGGGGGAACTTTTGCAGGATTCGATCGCTACTGAATGACGTAAAGGACGTGGTCGACGCAACGTAACGCCCGGTCGCAAGCGGATGTTGCCAAGTCGATAGAGGCCAAGGTTGAGTTGCCCGTGGGGAACGAGCTGCGAGAGACGAGGATGAGTGAGGAGGAAAATCAACAATGAAGTCGAATCAGAGCAGTATCCAACCCCCTAAGCATGCAAGTATGACCGGTGATTATTTTTGGCAGAGGCGTTTTGGCAGTTCGATTGGCACGAAGTCAATAGCCTTTTCACTAGTCCTGTGGCCGATCTGCACTTTGTCTTTCCTTTCTTTCTCTCCTTATTTTTTTCTGATTCCCGACCGCCCTGGGGATTTTACCGTAGCATCGGTTAGCGTCGTCTGCCTGAGGCGACCCAGATGCTGCCTCATGTTGCAACACTATAGACCGGCCCTTCTTCCTTGGTTCAGGATCGAAATGTACTCATCATCCACTTTCCGTGCACTCGCGCACAGGTAATAATCTGGCACTAGTATACTCCCCACAAAGACGAGGGCAGGATCAAGACTACTTCGCCCAGTACGACATCGGCTTCTATTTTCTTTGTTTGAACCATGTCGCCTCTTTACTCCGGGCATCCACAATGTTATCCTTAGCCCTTGTATCACATATGGGTGCCTTCACTATCCCACAGTAGCACCGATAGCAGCAAAGGGCCCTCAAACTGATCTGGCCACAGACTCGTAAATAAGCATGTTCACTTAGCCAAAAAAAAAAAAAAAAAAGAAACCCCTTGCTGGTTTGACTATCAATATAGACGCAATTGGAAAGTTTTCCACCTAGTCTCCACAATCACAATGATGCTTGGTATTGCAGCATGAAACACGGTTATAAGTGCGCATGTACACCAGTGTTTGAATTGAACCCGACCAGCTGTTCCTTCTTCTCCACCAAAAAGCTGAACAGTGGATCCTTCTCCAAAGTATCAAGAACGTTCGGCTTCAATGTGATCAAGACGTCCCATGAACCCTCTACCTTGCTCCCGTAGTGATTATCAGAATCTTTGATACGAGCTGGCATAATGACACACGTTCCATCGATGGGCTTCAACTGGAGCCACAGGTAATCAATGAAACCCAATTGCCCCCCAAAGTTGAGGCTGTACATTTTTAGCGGTCTCATATCAGTCACACCGAATTCTGCAAGCCTAGTTGTAAGCCGAATATTCTTCTGTTGTCTCAAATGAGAGCCCAACTCGTGAACATATTCAGGGGTAACGGCAGCGACCTTCTGACGGAAGTTTAAGGCAATTCTTGTGAGATGCAGCAGGTCAAATCCCCTGTAATCAGAAAACCCCCCTCCTGGGGATACATCCTTCTGTATCGAATTAATCTGGACAGTGGTCATAAAACTACCGAAATACTTTTCAGCACCGACTTTCCGGAGACGCGGGCGCAGATTCACGGCCAGCGCAAATCGCCCTGGCTCCTTCGGTTTGGATACTAGTCCACTCGGCGCCGCAGCAGCCCGACTCCTTTTCACGCAAAGCGCAAGTGCTGCGCTCACTATATCTGACCTCGAGAGAGACCTAGCTTGTGAAGATGACACTTTCTCAAAGCAGGGAGTTAGGTTATTGCACGTTGTCCTCAATATCTGGATCTTATTCGCAGATAAAGTATACATCTTGTGGTGATAAACCGCTACCACTGAGGCAAGTTCGTCGCGCACTTTCTCGCTTGCGTTGCACCGGTAGTTCTCTGAGAACTGTCCCGTGCTGTATGGCCTAGAGACATCGTCCAAGATCACCTGTCTTATCCGCAAATCGGCCTCTGGGTCCAATGCCAACGGCATCTGAGCGTCAGTGCCTCCGGTTGAAGTATTGTAACAGCAAGCTGCCAATGATTCCAACACATATCCAGCCCCAGCAGCGTCAAACACATTATGAGAAAAGGACATGCTGAGGACAATGCCATCTTTTAATTGGGTTCCCTGAAAGCGAAGGACCGGGTGAGGTTCAGAATCATCCAGACGAGGTCGAATGGGGCACAGGGTGTTTGTGTAAATGGCGGACCCAAGCTGGCTCACCACACTGGACATTGGTACAGACTGGTACTGAGACTGGAACATTGGCACCTTGTCGAGCGTACGAGGTGAGGGCTGTATCTGTTCTTTAAAAGGATGGTCGCAGGGGCACGGGTGGATATCCCCAGCAAGGAATGGAAGCCGTTGGATTAGCTTGGCCACCCCATCTTCTAATGCCTGGAGTCCTGTTTGTGGATTTGTAGAGCGGAAGAAGAGGAGAAAGGCAGGGTAGCCCCGTGGCGATGCAGAGTCGAAAGCTGTCAAAGGGTAGTTGAAGAAATCCATGCCTGCGAACTGAATCTTGCGCGGTTAGGGCCATTAGCAAACGGTCCAAACGCTCAGAAGTACTAGTTCATTAGTTAAAGGGTCATCGAAAATGCAAATGGAAACTTGATACATTATGGTAGACTGGAGAAACTTGGATTTGCTTTGTCGTTGCCAAGTAGTCAGAATGCCCTTGGTTTGCTCAAGCAAAGTCGGAATTCCAGGGTCTTTCTCCATGGGGAAACAGATAATGCTCACTACACTCGATAATAACGGATCATGATATCATGGCGAGTGACTTCAAGTATTCCCTTCAGAATGTTGAGACTGAGATGGTCTGTCAACAGACAGTGGGTCGTATTGCAGGGCCACCAACCATCATAGCTACTGAATTCGAAAAGCAAGCAAGGAACAATGTAAATCCCAACGCATAGCTTCTTTTTGTTAGCATTGTGAGGTTGGATAATACAAAATGACTATCTAGAATTACCGCATTAGAGGTATAAAAGCCTAAACCCAATAAAAGGAAAGAGTATATAATGTCGCTCCAAACAAAGTAAAAGGACAAAAGTCAAGGCCAGTGCCACAGCCGAGGAAGATCTGTGAATTTCATCAAACACCCACACTGCAGCACGTTTGGCCATCATATACAATCGCAGTGACATCGTCGCAATTAATCATCCGCACTCAAAGCTTGTAGTGATATTAGATTGGGTTCATCATGGTAGGGTCAGGAACGGCTGGAGGCAAGTCATTGCTAGTCTTTGGTGATGCTGTTACAGGTGGCACTGGTGTGACCGTTGCCGGTGTATCGCCAATTTCACTCCTCGAACTCCCACCCCGAAGTGTCGCAGAGGCCGTGCTGCTACCTTCAGTGCTAGTCTTGCCCCCTCGCTTAACCATCTTCCCCAAAATTCCAACGATCTCAGCGGCATCCGCAAAGCTTTCATCATCCATAGCCTCTTGGGCTTTATACACATCCGCTATAGCTTGTTTGGCCACCCGCCGGCAAGCATTGGGATCATGGAGGCAATCGTAAAGATACGCCGCATATTCGAGCTTGATAGACAGACGCAGAGGGTGGGAGCCAGGAAGAAATCGTTCGGCCAAGAGAGACGCGTGATTGAAGCATGCCGTCGCCGTAGGGGTGTAGTCGAGAGCAGGCAGGAGAAAGGACGACGCCTTGGGCGGTTGAACGGGTGCAAGTCCCGGGGGAACCTGGAGAGTAGTGTACCGAGAGACATTCCCTGAGCTGTAAGCTGGCTGTTCAGGGACTGATATTGATTCTGCATTCGATCTAAATGAGAACCTCGACCCGGGTTCTTTGCCTAGTGATTCGGCTTTGGGTGCGTTGTTTAGTTTGGTACCATTGCTCGGAAAACTGGTGATGCCGGGCCAGTGAACTGCAGGCTGATTGTGGAAAAGCACAAATATGTGGTAAAAAGATGCTCGGAGTTTATAGGCCAGGATCTTCGGCTCCACATATCCCTCAACCATCGGGAGAACGAACTCTTCCAGAATCAGCAATCCTTCACGGGAGAGCCATAAGATATGATGATACAACTGCAGCGACTTGGTTTCTCGGCTAGGGTCCAGTCGCCGTAATCGTCGTGCACGAAGTAACTTCTTCGAAAGCATGACCGAAAGGCCTAGAACTCTATAAAGCATTGCGGACAGGAAGGGGTTTTCGAGGCTGGTTAAGGCCGCGAAATTGCCCAAGGCCTTCTGGTCTACCTCGGAGGAAGCCATCCACAAAGCCAGAAAATTAGGGTCTATAGAGAAACCGTCGCAGACATTAGCCATGTACATTGCATATTGTGCCATGTTAGCGAAATGATTGTCTCCAGAAGAATCCAAGTACTCCAGATGACCGAGGCAAGCTGTCAACTGCACAAGGAGAAATAGAAGCCTTCGTCGTTTCGACTATATTTCAAGCGCGACAGTGGAATGTGGTGGAAAATATGGAACAGAAAGAGTGCTAAAGAGCTTTTCATCTTACCTCGGAGGCGCGCACAAGCGAACGGTAGAATCAAGCCAGTTTATTCAAGCGCGGTACAGTTTGCTGCCCATGCCAGGCGCTTAAGCCAGATGCACTTCTTTTTTTAGGTTTGTCGCTATGCAATGTCGGCAGTTAAGTGAGAATTTCTTTTGCGTACTGTCACTTCGAAGCTTGCTTCGACTGTGTGCTGTAATCTCCCTTGCGCCTGTCCCTCAAAAGTCGCTTTCGAATTGTATTGGAGAATCAAGAAATTAAGCACCGAACGACAAAGCGAAGCGCTGAAATCACAAAGCCACCAATTGAATCGTAAAATGTATATGTTACAAACAGGTCAAGTACTGAGTGCCTTGAAACCTCTCGCAATATGCAAGAATTTCTGGTGTAGACTGTACAATGGCACAAAGGGAGCTAAAAAGACAGGTTGGTGTTTCCAATCAAAAACGTTACAACGCTGCGACGGGGTTTCGATAACCAGGACTGTATGCAAGAACTGGAAATATAAAACAATCGATTGATACAAGGAAGTATTAGCAACGCAAGGCACACGGAAGGGGGGAACGGTCAAAATATTCAAGGGCAAGGAGCTCGTGGTTGTGAGGCAGGAGGCACTTTCGATGCATCGTGTGCAACTGGCGCGGTAAGGCGGTAGTCTGTGCTTCTCAGCCAGCGGTTGCTGGCAATGAGGATGGGAGGGGCACAGTCAAAAACAATAAGAGATACGAACAAGCCCTAGCATTAGCCGTTGGATGAAGAGGAAGCGGCTTAGATATTGCGATTGTTCAAACTGGATTTGGTCCAAAAAGTGGTATCAGCCACAATTGACAAAAGAAGTGGACAGCCCGGCCACTGCTGCCCGTGCATTGGGGGAAGGAACTGAAATAGTCAGGTCGTAGTGAGAACCGGCTGATGCAAGGGAAATTAGTACTTGTGCGGTCGGAATTTCCCCTGGCGCAGTATGGAAGTGGATGGAGCCGCGGCAATACTGGGTCAGTTCTGTCTTAATCTATACAATGTCCTGTTGTTTCTCTCAATATTCCAATGCCGTCATATGCATTGAACCTCACTGTCGCCTCATCCGATCTTGCTATCCTCCATTGTGGGGGAAATTTTTATTTTCTCCCTTTTTTTTAATTCCCAAAACACGGGAACAGTCGGGCAGCCATACAAAACCCTCCATAATTGAAGATAATCGTCATAAATAATTACGGGGGGGGAAAGAAATGTGGCGAAATTTTGACTGCTGCCGTCCCCCAAAGTCCAAGCATGACGCGGGAGGACAACGCATCGTTTAGTTCGATACGTGTCAAAACCCGAGTGCTGATTTTCGCTGCCTTGCAGCTTTTAATCCAGTCGATGGATGAGATAGGATTAGTACGGTGGATCGCCTATCGTCCGGCAGAAATAAGTAGCACTTAGGCCGCAGATAGTGCTGCAGACTGTAGATGATCTCATTATAGCACAGGCATTTCAGAAAAGGCATGATCTCTGTGCCTGGGCCACTCCGTCGCAGAGACCGTCTCATGGACTAAACCACAAGCGTTGGAGCTCAGCGTCCGCGCGCTTGTTAGCATTGGGATGGCGGCAGAAATTAACTCGGACGGGGCGCAATCTTGACAGTTGGCAGGCATCTGCCAGCGTGGCACCGACATAATCGATGGGTTGGCGGGGGCTGTGAGACATCACCTTGCAACAAGGTGGCACCGTCTTCTTTGAAAGAAAATCAGTATTACTGGTCCCCTCCCTCCATGGACTGCAGTTGAGTCCTGTAAGTGTAGTCAGTCAGTCTCCATGTGAGGATAGAAACAAGGTGCCAAATATGACCATTCCAACACATGGCAGAGTCCCACCGCCCTGTTCACCGCTAACTTATCCTTGCTCTACGGTATGCATATATCTGTTACTATATAGCATGTACAGTACAATAAAGATAATCAAGGTTATGCTGTGAAATAGTGGATTTAGCATTTGTTACTATCATTTATATCCAACACAGATCAACTGTCAAAGTGCAACTCCGTTTTGACATGCATCCCCACATCTGAAGTCTAGCAACACCAGCATTATGAGCCAGGAGACTACTATATACATGTAGAAATACTGGTTCTTTGAAATTATAAAACAAATGGCAAGAAATAAAACCCGTCCCTTGTCGGCCTATTCTATATTCTTCAGCCCAAACCATCGCGTAAAAGAAAACTGAATCATTCTGACATGTCATCAAGGTCATCACTGTCTAAAAATCCTACAAACGCGCGTTCTAAGAACGTTCGCCATACTTTGTTCTGGGCGTTTTTCTTTTTCTTTTTCTTTTGTTGTTCAAAGTCATCATCGTCATAATCATCGACCACGCCAGTCTTACTGGCAGGTAGACCATTGACATTCGTAGTGTCTGCCGAGATATCATTCTTTTTTGAGGATTCCTTCGCAATCCGAGTCGCCAGTTCAAAGAAACTGCGCACTGTGAGATCCTCCATCTTGTAAATTCGATCATCCCTCGTGTCGTATTCAACCTCATAGATGAAGGCATCCTCACCATGGCTCGTTTCAGAAACCTCGTTACTTTCGGTTTCGGTAGGACTGGCGGAGCCACCCGCCACTTCCCTGCTGCTGGTCATATGCTCGTTGATCTTGGTTAGGTTGGCGTAGTATTGAGTGTAACCCAGCCATGTAAGCGGTTGGTTCGAGTACGCCGGCCCTGGTGGAGCAGACGACGACGGGGGTTTGGGAACCTTGAAGTGGGGCTTATTCTTCTTCTTCTTCTTCTTCCCCTTCTTCTTTTCCTCGATAAATGCATCATCTTCTATCATCTCGAAGGATGGCGAGGCTACTGCAGTATCTAGATCCAAATACTCGGCCCAAGTCGTGGCATCGGCCAAGCCAGAGATGTTATACTCAACGACCCGAAGCGATGGGAAGTAATTGGGAACTACGCTGGGAGATACCAATGATACACTGTATCGCTCAGCCCAGGGACCACCAATCTTCTTCAGAAACTTGCGTCTCTTTTTCTTGGACATCAGAGCCTCAAGATCAGCATTTTCGGTATGTTCGGTGGGATCATCCTCAAATAATTCATATAGGTCTGAAATTCCCGGGGGTGGTGACGGCATTTTAGACCAATCTTTCCTGAGATCGACAAGGTAACTTTGGCGGGACTGAACAGAGACCAAGGGAGACGTATCGTCAGCCACGGCTGAAGAAGCCGAGCTCTTGCTGCTGGCATCAAGGATGTCCACTTTACGGCTATCCTGGAGCATAAAATGGTCGATGTTCATATGCCCATAGGCAGTACCAACAATAATGTCACGATACTGATGGACCCAAAGAGTGTATTTCTGCCAACACGTCTCATCCCAGCTTCGCTTGGATCCAGACCTCGCCGGCGGAACATGCCCTATCAGGATTGCTTTCATGTCGCGTGACCGCAGCAACTGTAGTTGCACACGCAGCCACTCCATATGTTCAAATCCTGGCTGCGATTTGGCGCTACAGCCGTCGACCGCGGAGTTGGAGTCAAAGAAATACATTGTGTTCAAGCTGATTACTGTCAACTTGTTGGGAATCACCTCTGACGTAAACCAGCCACCCTCCACGAAGGTGTGGCGCTGATGCTCCGGGATAAACTTTGCCCATACATCGACAAACCTCTTAGTCCATCGGTTTGGGCCATCGTTGAATATGTTGTGTGGCATGAAGTCGTTATTTCCCAGCGTGGGGACGATTGGAATAGAAGGAAAGTGACTGGAACCCTCTTTGAAAGTTTCAATGAATTTGCCAGCAATGATCTCGTTCAAGGCAGACACCTCCTCCTCTGTTCGAGGAATTTTCTCATCATTATCATGACGAGCTGAGTCACCAGTCCATATGACAAAGTCGATATGGCCTTTGAGGTTCTTCTCTATCCAGCGGAATGTTTCGTTTATGAGTGTGAGCGGCGAGTCGCATTCGGTCCCTTCCGATCCAAAGTACCCCGCAGGGCCTTTTCCCCGATGGCATGCGTCATCCTCGTCCACGGATCTCCCGGCCTTGTAGTGCGAGTCTGGGTGTAAATCTGCAAAGATTAGCCTGCTTCCTCCTTCGTTTGCTGGGATACACGGCTCCGTACCTGTTATATGCAGAAAGCGGCCGGTGAGTCCTCGGCCAGAAGAGGAGCCCGGTAGCTTATCAATACTATAAAGATCTCCATCTGAGTGCCCAAGCCGGTCGCCCAACGGTTGTTGGTCCGATATAGGTATGGCGGAAGCACTGCCGATCAGGGTAGAGATAATCGGGAGAAGCAGAATGGGAAGCATTGGTATTTCTTTCTAGACCACGAGAAGCCCCGACCGGGCGGCAAAAGAATAGTTTGGCTCTTGCCAGCACTCCCAAACATGAAAACAGGAAGCAGACACGCGACCTGCAAAGGTTGAGGAAGCGAGATAAAAAACGTAAAAAATAATGGCAGAGTCAAACGTCACTACCGTTTAGTTGATGGATGAAATTTGGAGCCTGATTAGGTTTAGCCTGCCGAGTACCGTGTTGGCCCACTTCCGAGTCGGATCTCTTGGTAGTGTCTTTTTTGAATTTTCAATATTCAAACTTTACACTCTTAACTCAAGATAGGTTGGACAAATGTATAGGCCTTTATGCATTCTGAAGGGAGGGGTCACACGCCATACTCAGGTGGTCGGATTTCTATATTGGAGGTGTCTACTGACTCTGTCAGAGTATATGTGCGGGTACAGTATAGGCTATGCAGTGACCCGCAGCGTCAATCCTCTAACTTCTACCCAACCAAATGTCAGACAGAGCCTCTCCTGTCTGCGGGAGTCCCCACGTGGGTGCCAGGGGGCAGTTGGTTTGCTCGACTTGGGGTTAACTGGAGTAACATGACCCATTTATGCGTGTGGGAGTCCTGGAGACCTTGTGAGCACGGGCTGTGGTTGTGGGTTTCATGAGCAATGCAAACGGAACTTGTAATAGGGCACCGCTTAAGGGTCGGGTCAGTCGAATTCACTAGCGCGAAGGCTTAAGATATCAGATCTGGCCAATTCATCGTCCGCAGATCATGTCTCGTGACTCATAATTATCTCAACATACCGTTTATGCCATGCACTTTTGTGTTTGGTTCTTCTGTAGACATCACCTATTGTGTAGTAGACCGCCACTGTGTTGTTCCAAGGGTCTATGCAGCCTTCCGGGAAGACTGAGCTTGCGGAGCAAAGTGATTTGCGTCGTTATGGAATGCATCTGTAAGCTTATTATAGTCTCTTAGGCCCAATGATGTGGCCAGCACCCGTGAAATTAGTGGTCCACTGGATGACTTACAGATGTCTCCTCAGCCCTTCGAGTTGGGGGCTTAAAATTACCGACGCACAAAAGATGCCGTAATTGACACACCTAATAATAATCCACAATCTCCAGCTAAGTGATAGGTGCAGGAAGAGAAACAATGTGAAGGCTGGAACTTTGAAGCGATTCGGGCAAAAATGAGGATATTTCTCTCTTCCAACTCTGCAAAAGATGATCGATCATGCTGCCTTATTCATATCCAAAAACTCTTTCACTCATGAATATCCAACTATCTCAATTCAAGGGAAGCTGTCTGCAATGGAGCCACACCGTTGATTTGGGAAGTTGCCGATGTGCGTCTTGGATGTTTGGTATGCAGTGACCCGTCGGATGCTGGTGAAAGTTCAAGTGGATTGAGTTTGGATTTATCGAAACGTCCCAGATGTTACGATTCAGGTGGTTCTAATAATCCACAGCGTATGCCCATGAGAACGTGGCATAACGAAATGTCAATGTCCTTAGCTCTTCCATAGGTATATAGAATAACAAATGGATTCAAAGATTAGAGAATATGACAAATGTCCATAGACAAGAACAGCCGAGATTAAGGGAGGGCATCTCTAGATGTTTTCTCCTTGTTCTTATTATATGATCCCCGATAGAGCTGGAGCACAGCGCACATATACAACTGGGAACGTGATCCTCTAATCCTAAAATGGACGTCAAGTAACATCACTGGCGTACAATATACACAGTGTACCACAAAGCATGAATACTACTGACATATGATACGACTCTCCATGGAACTTGTGGCCAGGAAATATGTCGAGGTTGTTGTAGGATAAATGCCCCTCATCGTACATAATCACTCCACTAGTGCGGGGTTCAATTGCGCCGGTCGAAAACCGCGTTCTCCTCGGTGCATCATCGAATTCTAGATTCATTTTCCCTTTAAAGCAATTCAATCACTTTGTATAATCTCTCTCTTGCTATCACTGATCTTAGTTCATCACTAGCAAGCCATCATGTCCGAATTTCCTACTCTTAAGCCTGCCTTCACCGTTCGGGTACGTATGCTGACCAACACCAAGACTTGCCTCATGTTCCTGAAATCTGACTTGAAACTAGGTGAACATAGATGCCCCTCTAGCAGTTGGTGGGTCGTGCTTCCGAGTCGTCAATGCCAAAGAGCGGAAGACAACTAACTACTAGTCTGCGCATAGGCAGCGCTTCTCGGTCCAACCCGCTACAGGTTGTGGTATGACAACCTATTCTTCATCTCTATGTAACATATAGACAGGATAGAGTCTAACTGTACTCTTTTGACGGGCAAAAGCCTATGACCGGAGGTACCGTCAAGGGTGACTCTGGTTTCTCCCCCGCGCTAGACGCAGAGTTCGTCGGAGTCGGCAATGACTACATCCACGCGGATGCCGATGGCAAGCACATGCGATTGAACGCGCATGCAGTTCTTAAGTAGGCTTCTACCTTTTTACGCCCTCTTTATTCCCTCTCTACCCTGCCTTTCTCTATCCTGAATTACGTTCTAACTATCATCGTAATCCAGGACCAAGGACGATGCCGTAGGTTACTCTAATCCGCACTAGAACATGGGATGAAAAACAAGACACTTAACGACAGTTGCAACCAGCTTCTTTACCTGAACTACACCGGTGTCGTCAATCTCACCTCAACAGAGCAGGCGGTCTTCGCCGGCACCGCCCCAGAGGGCTCCACGCCTTTCGGCAATATCTGTGAGTACATCACCGGGCTATCCATGGCAGAACCATCACTAACAGTAGCACTAGTCACTCATTTTACCTTCGAGGCAAGATTACACCCCATCCCTACGCCCCAAAACAAACCCATGTTAACACAAATACAGACCGGCGACGAGCGCTACAAGGACCTCGAGAACCGCGTGTTCGTCGGCCAGGGACGCTTCAACATCGAGAGCGGCAAACCAGTCGTTGAGTACAGAGTCAGCCAGGTTCTCCAGGGCTAAACCAGATCCTTTCGTGTCAGGGTGTACAATGGTCCCGATAGGACGAACGTCAATCGATGTATCAACTCCAAGCGAAAGATTAAACATATCTTCCACTTCCACACAGACAATTTTGGTAGACTAGATCACAAAGTAATACAATGGCTCCATACATACATACATCCCAAGCATTCAATCTCCTTCCAACAAGGGCGTTCTCTCAGAGTTCCCATTCCGGTTCCCTTCCACATCCCCTACCGTACGGACTCGACGCCGACGGAAAACCCCTCGTCTTGCCCAAGAACTCCAATCCATACACCCGCCTCCAAGTTTGCCCTGTCCCCAGGACCGTCTCAGTCTCTTTGCAGCCCATACCACGAAATACCCCAGTGCAATAGCAGCCAATGTCCCCAGGACGGAAACTACGGCTGTCAAGAATGTAAAAGTACTAACATTGCACCCGAATGGCATGGCACGGAGTTCCCATCGCTCCTTGGGCCCCAAAGGACAGATATTAGAGGAGCCAAGAGGAGCCAATATAGGGAAGCGAGCGGGATTGGGCACGCAGGTTGAGGTCTGTTAGGATCGGTTTAGACATATACTAGTAACCAGATGTCTGCGTTGTTGGAATGGGGTGGAGAATATGATAGAAAGAGGGCAGGGGTTATGGCGAGGTGTGTGAGGAAAGGCGACGTCAACGTACCACTGAACACCAGCTACAAGGAGCATCGCCTTGCAAACACCATCCGCAAGATTGTCTGCGCCAGCAGAGGTAAAAGAGCGGATCGTTTGTTTGGAGAGGGTATGACGTATTCGGGTCCATGGCCCGGATTGTGGCTGTTCGGGGCTCGATAGGGAAGTGGAATAATTGATTGTAGATCGTGAGCTGTGTGCCTCTTTTCTGCCCTGGGATGAGGGTAGAAGGATCTCTAGATTACTGTCATTACGAGGTTGATATAAATCGCAGGGTATTTTTGATGTGTGCGGGGCAGCTGCAGGTTAAGGTTACATACTAGTACTTCATTCATACTAGACATAAGGTGCCTTTTCATAAGAATGAGGTCTAGTCCAGGTTCAGTAGCTTAAATGGTGGTACTTTACGGGAACGCCCGATTGGTTTCTGCCTGAGTCCTAAGCTGCGTACCTAATACGTAGGTAGGTAGGTAGGTAACGCTTCTTCAATTGAATGAATTGCTTGTAGATGGCTAAGTATACTCGTGACTGTGCACATAAATTCATATATTTCACTTCGTCACTACGACAGACTCGAAGTCTTTTATTCTGATATAGGACACGCTCCATTGCACAAATGCCTAGAAAACCCCTGTGAAATGCCCGAAAACATAAATTAAACCACACGTTTGACCTATCGAATCACAGTCAGTCATCGCTCAAGGAGAAGTATTCCACGGGGAAAGGACAAGCAAACGGAAGCGGGGAGCTTGTGTCTCATATAACTCACCTCAAAAAATCTCTTCAACCACCACACCTGGAAGATGCCCTCTCCAATAAGCACCGCAAGCTGGAAGATACTCCACCACTTCACTCTAGCATTTGTGCTCTCGGCGGTGTTCCGGTGTACTCGCTCTCTCAACACAATATAAGACTGTTCATCCTTAACCTGGGCCAATGCCTCCGAAAGACGACGAACTGAGAAACCGAAAACAATTAGCTGCTGGAGCGACTTGAGCGCAAGTTGTGTTTTCATCCATACCTTCCACTTCCAAAGGATCCTGGGGCATTTCCGATTCAGGGACGTAGACAATTCCGTGAACATTGAAGGACACCTCCTTCGAGTTCGAAGTCCATCCTTCGTTGCTGAAGCAGTAGACATATTTACCGTCCGCGTGAGCAACAAACGAGTAGTCCTCCGAGGAGATAGCCTGTTTATAGTACTGGCGGTTGTTCAAGGGGTCCTCAACCTAGCAACAAGAAAAGAAAAACGTCAGCGCTCAGTTCAGTCAACTCCAATCAGCTCATGTATCCGGTTGTTGATTCCTTTTGAACGAGGGCCGACGTCGACCGGGGCCCAATCTGCATTCCGAAACAGCACAATGAGAGGGAAGGGCCGTACCCAGAAGTCAATCTCCAGATTGCCACTGCCTCCGAATTCCCGATCACCGACTTGAAAGCTGACCGTCATCTTGTCATCTTTGTGCAGCGATTCGTGGTAGCATTCTCTCGAGTGAGCCTTAAGCTGGATGGTGTGTGCGGTCACAGCGGTGATCCACCCCAGCGCGGTGATCAGGAGGGTTGTTACGGAAAATCGCATGGTGGGCGTATGGTTCCTTGCCTGCAATCGTAGTTTTCGACTCAGGGAATAGTATGAACCTTCGAAGGAAAGCAGGTTGGGGTGGTGGACGATTGCGGCCTGACGGTCGATATTCCCCGACGACGCGCAAGGTGGTCTTCTCTCATTCCGTCTGGGAAGTTGAGGCGCTCGGACCACCTAAGCACTGTATGGCCTCAGGTGTCACATCCTGAAGTTTATGCCAACCATACAAACAAGCAATCAATGGAAGCATTATCTATGAATGATTAGCGAGGTATTGTTACATTGGGACAATAATAAGGATTACTCCATGAAAAGGTTTCCTGTTCAAGTAGTGATTTGCTTCTACTGGTATATCTAATTAGTCACTCTCGGCACTAGACACATTCAATATAGTGAATGAAGTGTTTTGATGACTTATTACTTGTTCTTTCCCTATATTATAACTCTACTGAATGACTGGCACTGACATATATCTGTGGTATACGACTATCAACCTTTTTAAAACTGGCTGACGGTACATCTCTCAAACTACACGGTGATATGTCAGGCAAGAAAATGCAAACGTAAGATGATCCCATAGAGGAGATGATATAGAATAGTCATTGAGACAGATATTTGCATTTCTACAGGGCATAATATCCGCCTCAATTTTCAATCACCCGACTAACCCCTCATCTTCCTTTTTAGGAAGCTACTGTCTGTACTGGAGCTCCAAGTTCCCCCCCCTTCATGTTTCCTCGCGATGCCCACATACATAAACTCACAACGGACAGACCAGTCATCCCATAATCTACCTATAAACTCGTCTCTCTGAGCGACCATAAAGTGTCTGGATGCTATGAAAGATTATCATGCCTGTATTTATAGTGGACGGTGAACGTTACCGAATACCATTCATGCCGTTATTCAGAGGCTACAGGACTACAAACGAGAGATGGCTCACCTATAATGCAAAGATTGTAAGAAGCAATGGTTTGAATTTTACATGAACAAGAAATGCTCAGTATTCAAAAATGCTAACAGTGATATATGCAGCGTGGGAAAGCTACGCCCGAAGCTTCTATAAACACCAGATGGTCTGCTCAAGACGATATGATCCTTCAGGATCTTAGAAAATGCAATATCCCATGGAAATATATATCTGCTGCGATGAACAATAAGCCTGTCGAAGATCTCAAAGAGCGATGGCTGAACCTTCGAGAGGACATCACGAAAGACATTGTTGCAAAACCGAGAAGAGATACCAACGAGGTGCATTTCATCTATGAAATGTCGGAAGATGGGAGAGTTGAGCGAAATGTGTCTTTCTCAGATCCATTGGTTACTAATGACAAGGTGAGTACATTCACTCTACGAGCTTAGTTTGGGGTACTCGTTTCCCCTCTCTTTCTGACAGATTATCCTGGTAGACTGACGATCATCTGATTGCCTCTCAACCATCAAAAGTCAAACATGTGCTCTATACTGATGAAAAATTTGATTTGGAGGACGTGTTACTTCTGCATACAATTGCTGCCAATTGGGATAGAGACAAATGGTTGGCTGTTAGCACCCATTTCAACGAGAGGACCGGGCGCAGTATTACCCCAGACGAGGCCAAATCGATGATCAATCCAGAAGAAGTCAGAGAATGCCATTGCCAATGGAGAACCTAAACCAACGTTGATTTTTTCTCGAGACCCATACCGGGGTTTTCGGCAACCGGCAACACCATGTGGTCGGTACATGGAATGCTTGATGGCTCGAGTACTTGTCCTAAATGGGCAGGTTAGGTGGACATGTCAGAATAAGAATGTGGACGTAATATTTTCCCCTCTGTTTTTCGGCCCTTCTGGTTCTCGTTGCGTTTTTGACTCTATCCGGAGCGTCCATGCCAAAGGTTCGGGTGGATTAGGAATTCGCGTTCAAGGGTCTGTTTGTGACAGTATGACGTTTGTCAACGAGTATCCTTTAGAAATGATTCGGTAGCCACAAAAATTGGACCGAGGTTTCCAGAAGACCTTCCCATGTTTCTTGAGAGCGATAGGATTCGGTGAAGGCCGAGAACAACAGGATGAAGCATCCGCATCCGACCCGATGGAAAAATCATTCGATAACGCCACGCCGTGAGTGAGACTCGGGCATTGGTCGGTACCGATTCGGGACGCCCAAATTGATGCTGTAAGGAGCATTTTGACCATTACCAGTAGTACAGAGTACCTCGTAAAGGCAGTCTTGAACGGAGTCGGCCATGGTAAGATCATGTTACAGAGTACGGAGTATATCAAACTGATAGCGATTGATTCCAGACCCTGAAACCCTGTAGACCCCAAGACAGTACTCCGTAGCAGTTGCACTAATCACTGTGGGCCAGGTCTTGACTTCCTCAAGTTTAGTGGAGGTTTCAGTCGAGAACCCAAGAATAGCATTGGCTTATAGGGATCGCCGGGTCACTTCGCGTCTGCCACTGAGCAATCAGGGAGCCGTTGGCCAACAACAGGGACGGCTGGTGGAGACCCGAAGGGTCTGGAAGGGCTCGAATCTTTCAATGCGACTGTAGATTGGGTGATTCGGGTGGGCCCTGGCATGAGTGGGCCAACTCGAATCTTTTTCTAATTATATCATTGGCCAAGACGTCGTTCTCTTTGATCACTCACTTCCATTCCCTCCGGGGAGATTTGCTGGAATTGTCGGGTGTGCTTCAGGAGGCAATTCTTACCCAATCCAACTCCACACTTTCTTTTCTTGACGTACAGCTTCTATTCTTATATATTCCCAGTCAATCCTTCCTATCGGGCACTACCCCCTTCCCTATATTGTTGTTGTTATTTTGGTCTTATTCCAATTTCTTTCTTTCTCTTTTTTTTTTTTTGTACCTGTACATACCTCCTTTCTCTCTTTTCTCACAGTACAAATAGGCAGAAGGCATTTATCCCCTTCTCCTTCGCGTTCTCTACTCGTAACTCATCCTCTCTCTTTGACTGAGCGACGACATCTCCGAAAATGCGTGCCGCTGGTCTTCTTTCTCTTATACTCGCAGCGATTCCCGCTGTTACCGCCGGGAAGCGGGGTACCCTCGGTCTTTCCCTGGGTAACAAGAATCCTGACGGCACCTGCAAGTCCACTAGCGACTATGAAGCCGACTTTGACGCGCTCAAGAGCCTAACCACCCTCGTCCGTACATACTCCGCCAATGACTGCGACACTGCTGTGAATATCGTTCCTGCAGCCAAGAACAAGCAGTTCAAAGTTGTGTTGGGTGTCTGGTAGGTTACACGTCATATAGATGCTGGAGACCTCGGGGTATTAACGTCGCTTGTTTCGTTAGGGCTGATTATGAGGAATCCTTCAACAATGACCTGAATGTCTTGAAGAAGACTGTTCCCGGAAATGAAGATGTTGTCCATTCCATCACTGTCGGTTCTGAAACTCTTTACCGCAAAGGCCTTACTGCCCAGCAACTCCTGGACAAGATTCGTACGGTCCAGGATGCGTTCCCCAAGACGACCGTTGGTACGGTAGACAGCTGGAACCTTTTCTATGATGGTACTGCCAATCCCATCATCGAGGGCGGTGTCACTTACATGTACGTTATCTAAATTGGTATCGCTTTATATTCGCTACCCTAACTAACAACCTCATAGTATGGCCAATGCCTTCGCCTATTGGCAAGGATCGGATATCGACCACGCTACCAAGACTTATTGGAATGACACAACGCTGGCTCTGGAAAGTATTGAAAAGGCTGCTGGCAACAACAAGGACAAGATTGTCTTCGCAAACGGCGAGACTGGTTGGCCCACCGATGGCGGTTCTGACTATGCAGCTGCCAAGGCTGGCACTCAGAATGCTGCACGGTACTGGAAGGAGGCTGTCTGCTCTATGCTTGCCTGGGGTGTCGATGTTTTCTACTTTGAGGCTTTCGACGAATCCTGGAAGCCCACCAGCATTGGTGACAACGGCGAGGAGAAGGATGAGACCCACTGGGGCCTCTTCACTGCCGACCGTAAGGCCAAGTTCGACTTGTCTTGCCCTAAATAGGCATATGCCACTCTTTCTAGCCTCGGCAAGGTGCCCGGCGGCCGTTGTTTACTTTGAAATTATCCTTGAAATTCTCCTGTATCATATATTCAAATTCTAGCTCAACAGGCGAGAAAACATGGTCGCGCGTATATCTGTGGATGTTTGTGCATTACTATTGGTGCATTATTTGCTATGAAACATGTAAAAGCCAATTATGTGGCAGTAGTTCAACTGTGACGATAGTCCTAGAGTACTGAGAAACCTGATCAAGGATCTATTCTCTATCAACAATGAGTGTAATATCTTATTAGAACCGCCAAGGTCATGTGGTCACGTGGAACACGAGAATGCTTACACAATCAATACTACGTAACTAAAAATGTCGGGTACTGTAACCTTCAGTGATACCAAGCAGGTAGGTAGCTGTGTATGGGTATGGTATGTATGGTAATGGCTTGACCGAGGGAACCGTGGTTTTCGCGGTGGTAGAATTTACCCCTGAACGGAGGACACGAACCAAAGAGATGTGTTTATTTGTTTATGGGGTCGAACATCACTCAGGGGCTGGCCTATTGCCTTTGCTGACGGCCTCGGTGGACTCTGTATGTTCCAGAAAAGATGCAGCTCAACGGAGTACCTATATCTGTACAGTGTAAGCAATAGTGAAGCAACCAACAATAATTAGATCTGGACTCCATACGTGTTTCCACAGAATAAGTCGGATCCCCCATTAGTTCGTGCCCATAGATAATTGGCTATCTTTCCAGGGAGAGTAAGAAATTCGGCTGGCCACATAGCGATCCTTGGTATGTGCATCAGATTGGAGTTTGTAGGAATGCTGGATGAATGTCTGTACAGAGTCCATACTCCGTAGTATGTATGGATGTATGTATCACAGTTGGTACAGAGCAGACGTGTGCTCCGTATTGTAGAGATGGCGGTCAAGTTAAATAGTAGTACTACTAGTAGTAAGGCTAGTAAAGTAGTCACTTGGACCTCCGGTATATTCTGACTGTAAAATACTTTGATTTTCCCCAACGGCCCGGCTTTTTGAAGTCTCTCCGCCTATGATATTCTTCCTCGGCCGCTTTAAGTCTGAACGGGGAAGTTTAGTTCTTTTGGCTGATCGTGTCATGGTCTGAGTCCAAAGATTAGAACAAAAAAAAAAAAAAAAAAAAAA